GTTTTTCTGCAATGAGCAACAAGCGATCTAACACTGGGCTCCGCGGGGTCCGCTACGCAATCTGCGAGCAAAATGAAGGTCTTCCTGGACTCCACACCAGTCAACGTCTTGGGACACCCTCCTTACAGTCCTTACTCATTGGAGTAACTGTACTGACAGTTATTTGGCTCCGTGTGAGTTCTTTTTATTCCCTAAAATAAAAAATCAACTCAAAGGGATACAGTTTTCATCGCCGGAAGAAGCGCTAGCAGAGTTTGAGAAGGCCGTGGAAGAGGTGTCTGCGGAAGACTGGATTTTTTTTTTGAAAATTGTTTCAGAAGCATGGAACTTTGTCTATACAAAGTTTTCAAAAAAAAATCCAGGCTGGTGGAGAGTTCTTTGAAAAGATTAAATACGATTTTTGTTTTCAAAGAAGTTAATTTTTTAATTTCTCAAAACTTTCTGAGTGTCCCACGTAGAAGAAACATTAATCTGCCGCTAATGAATTTCGATCTTTCGTTGTTTCTGATTTCAATAATAAAAGTGCTATGGCATAACGGCTTTTGCGCTCGATTTGGAACTCTCGTGTAATCTAGATAGGTACTTACCTATTGGTGGATTTGTATTTTGTATCTTTTTATCGGTGTGTAAGGTTCGAGCCGGTAAAGAGGTTGTCTTATTAGACACATTTTTAGTGCTTGTTGCAGAGATAAGTGAATCGGTCTAACGAATTAAGCTTCATCAAAAGAAAACTTTTTCAGTACAAGGTCTTGGGCGAAGAGCCCCATAGACTACGCCTATATCCTGTCTAGAGTGGACTTTGAAAATATTAAAAGACCTAATTTCTTTAAGCCCACTTATTTTCATATAATTAATTAAGTACATAATATGGATCTGCACCACAGATTGATAATAATAATGATGTCTTTAATGAATGATATTCGTTCGTAATGAGTTAATGATGAATGACCATCATTGCTTGTAGCAATGACACCACTGACTGTACCCACGACACAATATGTGACGGACTCCAATCTCGCTATAGAAAATTTATCGATTTCAAAATATCATTACTTTTTATTTAATAATGATTAAGATTGACGTCGATAATGTATACGTAAAGTCCTTGCCAATCAAATAGTGTAGTGATTTTACACAAAATGAAAAACAACCACAATCTAATTCGTAACGGCTCTATGTTAGTGAGTAGGTACCTAACGGATAGACATTTAGAAATTATACTTTTATGGAAAAGTTTTATTTTGAATGGCTCTTTTTCTCATCATATGATGATAGGAATATAGGAATACATTATATTAATTCATTATGAATTCATTTGTGAAAAAAAAAATTTTTCATTTTTGTAGTTACTAAAGTGGCGATTTTCTTTATCCTCTGTCGATAGGTATTGTATTAAATTGCAAGAAAAAAAGATGCATCTTTGATAGGTATATCCTCACATAGTCAAAACATCGAAGTATGTTTTCAGTAAGAATGGTACCTACTTCCCTAAACGCCATTGAAATCCGCCGAATGTTTATTTTTTTCTATCAAATCTAAATCTTCAGATTAAGTTTATAATTTTGAGATCATTTTGCTCGTGATAATCTTTTGAAAATATGAAAGCCTGTATTATCACAAATATCTGGATATAACAAAGATAAATAGGTACTTACGGCATATTTCAACACAAAAAGCAGCACGTTATCACTTTACTTGATCACAATTTACGAAAGAAAATGTTGTGTCAGTTTTTTTTTTAATTTTTCCCAAAGCCGACTAGGTGGTTCCGGTGATACTAGTACGTAACAAATATCATAACGATACCGTGCGTAGCGGGTTTAAAGTCCAAAAGTACAAGTATTCGTTATAGTCTGTAGAAAAAGAGCAGGCCGCGCGGAAATTCGAACGTGGCAACCAAAGTGGCCACGGACTGTTGAGGGGTGTGTGCTCATGGCCACTTTGGTTGCCACGGACTGTCCATTGGCTAAGAGACTTGTTTGTTTGTGTTACGCGGCTTAGGGCAGCCACTTTCTCAATTTACGCTTTAGACATGAAGACCGAATCATCGAAGCATCGAATTCTGAAAACTTTGCTACGTATTCTGGCAATACGCAAGCAAGCATGCATGTTATAAAATATAGCAAGTAAATGTCAGTATCAATTAGCTTATATTGCTAAGATGGCAGCTTGTGAGCAGGCAGCATTCCTTCGCAGCCTGAACCGACAACAACTTTTCCCTAAGCACCAATTATCTGCACCACAGTCTTAGTGAGCGCGCCTTATAGGCACTTAATGCAGCTCGGGGTAAACTCGAAGAGTTCCTGATTGGTCATCAACAGATTTATGTTTAAGGGTCGATGTCGGTGTCCTCGCTTGGACAATGTTTAGGCCATTCGTTGGAGCAAGAAAGGTTACCATAGAAATTGTAACCTCGATAAAAACCAAAACATGAGTGATAGTATTACAAAGTTTTCGTTTAGTTTAAGTTTACTTGTCAGGCTGCGTTGTCAGAATTATCCAAAATTTAATCAATTATGAAATGATGATATTAAAAAAAACCCTGTACCTTCATAAAATAATAACATTATAACGAAGAGCCTGTTCATCATTTAAGAAACTCTTCAAAACTGTTTAATCCAGCTTCCGTAAGTTTTATGACAGAGTGAATAACCTCCCAATGAACACAGGTAACAAAATACTAGTTCTTGTAAAAATAGTTTGGTCAAGGTGCTCAGTTCTGTCTGTTAACGAGCTTTAGTGAAAGTCTAAAAGTTAGATCGTAGCTTTATTTATGTCTACGGCTTACATTCATCATGAGGCGAGAAACTCGGCTTTTGTGGCTCATATTTATTTTATACAGTGTCAAACAAACAACTAATTCACTTCCTTTATCCAGGTGGAGAATCCTTTGAGCCACTATTTGAGTAATTAAAAAAATATTTTCATTTCATGACTACATTCGTATATCTCTCGTGGAATTAGGAGAGTATCGAAGGTTATTATTAGCGGTTTAGTTGAATCTTAGATAATTGTCTGGTCTGAAATTAGGTCAGCCTGCTAACCCCTATCATCCAAAACAATTTTTGAATATCTGTTGATAGGTTTTTCTATCTGCACGGGAAATTGAATATAATTAAATATTAACAGCGTCTCAATAAACAGCTACACAACATCCATTCCACCTCGAGCTCCATTGATTTTAATCATAACTGTAAATATTTTATCAATTATTATCAATAGTAAATAATAACATACGTTTGAACGTACGATCAGTCGATAACAATACGTGGTGAACTTTCCGTTGTCATGATGACTTCACAATCTCCATTATAGATCGAGTGGTAGGTACGCGCGTGCACCTTGCAAAGGTGTATTGGTAAATAAGCCAACGTTGCGCCTAAAGCGAGATGCGCTGCACGGCAAATAAGTATAACGGTACCTTTACAGCCTCACAGCGCCGATGCGCCCGCGCCGCCCGTGCTACGGAGCATGCCAATTCCCATTGCTTAACTCTTAACATTGGAATTTCTCACTTATGTGACCGTTAACAGATTTACTATCCCTGTGAGTTCTACGACGTATTTAATAAAATAAACTTGCCATTTCAATTTGGGCTAAGTAACCAATCTGACGCAACCTCTACTTCATTGCCATTTTTGTGGATAATCCGATAATCTGTGTGAACTTCCCTCGGTAACGATATTCGATAATGGTAATTATTTCAACGGTTTTTATTCATACAAGGCTAATATAACCTTCGCGTCTGTTAACGCATCCAAACATAATTCAATTTTGATTAGGTAATTGAATGTTTACTTGTAAGCGACAATTGGAAGCTTACTGTAAAGTAATCATTTTTGGGATATGAAATAATAATAAAGTATGAAGTAATTCAATGTTTATTAAAACGTCATGATCAAGAGAAAAGTAACAGCATCAAATTCATTAAAAAAAAGAAATAAAAGTCGTTACAATAATATTAATTTAGGAGTCAATATTTATTAAATCTGTTCTATATAACATGTTTTATTACTACAAAGTTAAATAAGTTGTTTCAAACTTTTACATTACATTGATCTGTGAACACAAGTAGGTTAAATTACATTAATAATTTCATAATAACCTTCTGTACTTATTGAGCCTAGAGTGAATGATTAACTTTGATTGTACTAAATTTCAGAAATACTCTGGTATATAATCTTTATCTCATGTATTTGTTTATATTTTCTAATTTTAAGCGACAACACATTGCTAAATAAACCAATTGGTATTTAGTAAAACCTATACATGTCACATTATTAGGTTATACAAAAACCAGAATTGAACTCCACTGTATCAACAATTGAAAAACAATAATTAATGTTATTCTTATTAAATCTACAAATTCATCAGCATAAGTCAATTTTCTATAAACTTTTATAAAAATTACGACGTGCCCTTGCAATGCCAAACAATAATATACATTCATGTGTCGCGGTCGCTGTTTCCCAATTCAACGCGGGTACAAAACATAGTTGCGAATGTAACGATCGACCTATGCCATTTTATAATTCATAGATTATCTGTAATATACTTGTATTGTACTGATACAAAGCATTGCATTGAAACTTCGCTATATTTAAAATGGAGGCGAATGGCACAAGACACTTTTACTGCAACATTAAAAGGATATTCACGTAAATTAGCATCTAAAATTTATATAAGAAGTTCGAAGTAATTATTACAGTTACATATCTCTATACAAAGTGCAGTCGATTTTATTCTGTATGAAAATTAGTCGATCAATATATAGCTTATGTGAAAAGATGCTACGCAAGCCGACTTTACGATACCGTTAAGTCATAAAGTATATTTTGTTACTATTATTTACCTAGCTACAAAATAATAAAAAAATATACTTAATTTGTAAAAAAAAATATGTAAATATAAAATAATAGCTCAGCAACACTAAATTTACGATTTATCTAATACCTTAAAAAATATAACTGAAAATACGTAAAAATAACAATGTAAAACGCAGCCCGGTGAACACAAATGTTGAAACCTAGGGCTCTTAACAAAAGATATTAACATTGTAACTTCCAATTGGTGTGTTAATTTCACTTAATCTATTCAATTCCTATACTAAGTTGCCGCGCAATCGCGGGGCTTTGCGTTGCGGGCCGCTACACTTGACAGCGCTATTTTTAAACTTTATAACTATCTCCCCCGCTAAATTAAGTCGCCATGCATTTGACTTTATCATACGTTATGAACTAATAAATGTTTGGATTAATGTGTATACTCAGTTATGTACGCTTTTATCATCTGCTGCCGGTGGTTGTGCAGTATTCTGTAACAAAACAATAATAATTTAATATAATGTTAATTTGTATTTTATCTGTGCCCTCGACTTCTATTACAACCTTGGGTAAGAGTGAAATTATTCTTAAAATGTAAAGTCAAAAATTACCCGAAGTGTTTTTCAGGAACAAAATGAATGTTCGAAAACAAATATAATGTGGTATATTATTATATATTTAGATCCATCAAACATTCATCAAAGCCATGAAGATATACTTGCCGTGGTATGCGATACATTGATGGTGCGACATTGAGACTAATAGTACAAAAAATGACTCCATAATGCTACGTTATTTATATCCCATGAAATCCTATCGCCTGTAGGTAATTAGCTTTAGAGCTTGCCGTTTCCTTTGATAGACTTTTATTACCTATTATAAAGTAGTTCTCTGTTTTTGTTTCATTCCCAGTGCAGTATGGAAGATACTAGTTCTATATACAGAATGTTAATGGTTATGAATTACCCGGCCTGGCAAGTTAAAAAGTTCAAATAACAACTTTCAAATAAAAAAAAAAAATCTATTTAAATATTTTTAAAACTAATTACACTCAGGGAGGTTAACTCTATCTGGCAGAATCTTAATGCTCCGAAATTCATTCGGCATAACACACTTGGCATAATATTCTATAAACGAATATTTTTAAGACATATCTGTTTTAAATATACTTATTGTTATTGCAGCGGTTTGCAGTTCACCTTTATACCTTTGGGAAAGGAGATGGTACAAGAGTGGTAATAGGTTTCCAGTAGCGAAGAAACATATATCATTTGAAAGCTAGTTCTTTATTATAACATGAACAGATACTTTTAAATTTTTATTTATCTCCGATTAAAGGAGATTGCTCAGCTTCCATACATGTTTGGCCTAAAGACCAATAATCATGAAAAATTGTTTCCTAGATTCGAAATTATATATAAATTGCTGTAAATACGAATATTATTGACGGACACCCCTGAGAACTTCTATAAATCATATACACTGAATGATTTTGAGGTTATGTTTGCAAATAGGTACATAGGTATTAAAATAATAAAAAACAAATAAGTTCTATAATAAACTGGGGAAATCAAGCCAATACCGAAATTATGTATTAGATTCAGGTATATAGAGCTTGTAGATTAACAGATAGTTGCCTGTTTTTAAAGTTAATGCACAAGAGTAACTTTTAAAATCTTAATCTTTGCATTTCCGGTTATATTAAGGTACTCTGTAACAGAAACTGTGTGATGATTGTGAATGAGCCACAGATTAGAGAGAATTTTTAAACTCGCGTTCACCAAAGAAAGCTAAGAGATTTAGGTTATACAACTATATCTTCAGTAGCTTCATTATGTTTGTTATGTTTTTATTATAACCATATTTTAGATTTTTAGTGTATCATCACACCTTATAATGTGTTTATGGAGGTGTTTGGCGAAAAATGTATGGCAATAGACTTTATGATGTCGCCTACCATCTATAATAATTGTCTTAGCACATTTGCATGTAGCGAAAATGATAATATAGTTGTGGATATTAATACCACAGTGTAATAAAAAAAAATATCAATCTTTACAAAATAGATTTGTTTTGATGTTATATAAAAAACTTCGATCAGTCTTGGCTGAATGTTATTACACCCATAGTCATTAAAAATGATTCGTATGTTTTCCAAACCGGTAAAATTAAAAATCCTTTTTAAAATGAATATATTATACAAAGGTGTCCGTTAAAATCTAATGACTGTAAATAAAGTATAAATTACGCCAAGAATTACCGTATATATCAATATATTTTTTACATTTGGGCCAATTTGAGCAATCTCCTTTAAATCGTGTTTAAAAATTGAACAATTTTGTAAGGATCTGGCCACAATGTCAAAAGTAAGGTCATATTTTTAGTGTGTGGCAGTTTATAACGACAACTTAGTGTCGCAGCACACGGGCTATCGACCACAACCACAAAACGCCGCCACCGGCATATTTCTTGTAGTTTTCATACATTTTATATGGACTCGCCACACACGGTACGCCGGTGGCCGCCACACGCTACAAATCGTCGTTGCTCGCTTCTTGTGGCCCGCACCGGCCACTTAATGCGCCGATACAAAACGCCGCCACACTCACTCGCGCGATTCCCCACTTTAGTAGCCGCTTCTAGCTTCTCGTGGCGGCGTTTGTGGCTGTGGCGTGTGGCCCGTATGCGGCGACACTTAATCACTATGGTAAATGTCAATAAGTCCAGTTATGCTTGATATTCTTGAAAGCGTGGTGAACTTATTGATATACAATTAATGATTGATTACTCTTGAAATAAAATCGTGACAAAATAAGTACATAATGATGTAATGAAAGATGAACAGAATGATTATCACTGCTTTAGTTACCTTTTAAATAGAATATATTTGATGCTTTGGGAACAAACACTTCATAAATAAACTTGCCATTTGCCAATCAATAACTATAAAATTTTTCATTATAATAATATTTAAAAAAGGGGGATAAAATTATTTGTAATTTTTGGCAAAATATTTACAATTAGGTGCACTACATCTTATACTAATTTGGAGTTTGCCGGAGACTCACTACCACCCTCCATACAAATTTTAACCATCTCCTTTTTTTGTCCATAATTTCATTCAGCATAAAGTTTATTAAGTGCGATAGATTCTGTGTTTGTGGTCAGTGAGTTAGGTTAGTGTGGTGACCTAAACTTAGCACCAGCCATGTAATTGATAAATAAAACAAGGAAAAGTTAAATATTTGTATGCCGAGCGGCGATTCTGGCTGTGCGATATGGTGGTTCTGCTTTTAATTATTGTGGATATAAAATGTACGCCTAAAGATGATTCTGATTTACAAAATTATAAGTTTTTAATGTCTGATAAATGAGTGAAAGCCAAACAATTTTCTGCGAAATTAAGTTAATACCATCCGCCGCTAATAGGCATAAAAATACTATGACATTAAAAGGTCTGCGATAGAAAGTAGACTCTGGACACTGATGATAAAGTTTATACTCCTATACCTTTCTTCGTTGTGAAGGCACAAACTTCAGTGACCTCATATTTCCGCCTCATCGGGGCTCTCGAAATGCTCGCTCAATAAGATAATATCGCCTTGTTTGCTGGTGGTTTAAGAAGCCTAGTGGCGGTTGCCCATAACTTTCTTGCGAAAATGACTTGATTGAGTTGTTTCTGAATACAATTATTTGACAACTGATTCAAGAAAAATGATATAACATATTAATTATTTTTACATTTTAATTTGATTTAATATTTATTATTACTTACTTGACATTTAAATACTAATTTTTTATTAAATGTTATTCTATAACGACTATTTTTACAGTACCTGATTTGATATTACCTATTTTTAGCTGTTTTTCTCGTTTAATTATAACCATTTAATTTTATTGCCTTGTAATGAATTATGTGAAAACATACTAACGAATTATTTAATGTTTTACATACGAATTATGTATAACATGCCGGCGTTTTGGATCTTTCTGTAAGCCGGTATGTAGAACTGATAATAAATAAATACAATTATTTTGATACATGAATTCATAAAAAAAAATGTAATATTATAAACAAAGCATCTTACATACAAAAATATTCCTTGATACAGTAACTAATTCGGTACCTACACAATTACACATACATTATTTATATGAAATCACACAATCACACATAGGAAATAACGTCCTACACTGTATTTATTGTTGGAAAAGTTGAAGAATAATATATATTTATTTAAGTTGGAGACATTACATCTTCTTTTTCATTCTAGCCAACAATACCATGAATATTATAGAAATCCTTTATTCCCATTAATAAGAGTATAACATTAGGTCTTTAAGCCTATTTACGACCAGTTTTAATAATCCGCTAATGCCTTCACGCATAGGTTTTTATCCACTGTCAAAAGCACTGGCTACCTGATAACCACCTGTCTTGGTTGTGACAATTCTGACCAGTCGGCCACACAAAGTTTATTGAGATGCACCGTGGGATTCCTATCATCTATATTTCAATCTTACCGTATCGTTGCCGGAAGTGATGCCTGCCCAATGGCCGAATGAAGGCAGATGGCGGACAGGCATCTCCGCCACTTATGACTTGACGCATATTATGTTTCTATCATTCGTAAGAGCACTCTGGTTTCCTAATCGGGACCTACCTGGATTGTATGGTAATTTTTACCAGTCAAGCATACACTTTTTTTTAAAGATCTATTGCAACCTCATCCCATTTATAGTGCGGGCGCCCTATCGGCTATATTTCATACTTACCGTATTCATCCTATCTTTAGAACGCCTGTCCTACAGGTCGTCTATACTTCAAACTTACCGTATCGTTGTCGGGAGTGATGCCTGCCCAATGAACGAATGAAGGTAGATCGCGGGCAGGCATCTCTGCCGCTAAAGCCTTCACGCGTAGGTTTCTATCGTCCGTAAGAAGCACGACTTCACGGACGCGTCGTACGCAATTGGACTGATCAGATTCATCTGCACGTGCATCTGCAATAAATGAGAAATTTAGACGCCACAATTAAGCTATGAACAATTAAATCTATTCGTCGATTGCTGGGCTAGTGGAGCATCAGAGGTATTGGTATCTACTTCAATCTTAGTCATGCCTCAATGACGCCATATTTGGCATTATTTGTAGGTCTAAGATGTTTGTTCGGAGATTATACTACAGGTAGAAGTCAATCTACATACAAAGTGCCCTCGAACAACACACAATTAGACACCACTCAAGGCATGGCAAGTACCATTCATTTCTGTCTTCTAGCTTCCAGCTACTTCCTAACCACGGTCGCGTAGACTGCTCTCCGTATATTCTCTCCGTATATAAAAAACCTCTCATTTCTTTCCCTTGCACAGTTCTTTCTGAGCTTGCGTTTTCGTGCAAGCTCAGCGCAGAAGCGAGCACGCCGTCGTCGTCGGAGACGCGCAGCAGATGTATTCGCGAGCTTACTACTACTAACGTGCGTACTGAGACCTCTCCAACTTTTCAGTAACTTTCTAATCACGGTCCCGTAAACTGAATGTATAAAAAAAACTCATTTCTATCCCCTGTACAGTTCTAACGAGTATTACCTCACCAGTTTCCGTAGCGAGGTTTTGGTGCAAGATCAGCGCAATAGCAACCATGCGGTCGTCATTGGAGGCGCGCAGCGTATGCGGCCGCCAACTGCTACTCACGTGTGCGCTGAGACCCCTCCCACTTATCAGCAACTTCCTAACTACGGTCGCGTAGACAGCTTTGGGTATAGTCTGGATCAAATCTCATTAATATCCCTTATAGCCTTCTTATGTTTACTTTCTCCTTCTCACGGAGGAGTTGGAGGCGCGCCGCATATCGCGCTCGGCGAGCGGTCGCGATCCCTACTACTACTATTAACGTATGAATTATTTTCTATCTCTTATTCTTTAGCGCACGCCTGGAGAAGCGCGGCGAAGATACTGAGAAGTTAACAATTTCAGGTAAACCCTAATTCCTATATCATAAAAAAAAAACTTGCAAACGAAGAAAATAACACGCGGCGCACAGCGCTGTGAAGCGGCCACAAGAGCCGGCGCGCGACTACGCCGCTCCGTGGCTCTTGGTCGCCGCGCTTCTCCCGAAATGTCTGTACCAGGGCGAGTGTTCTGAAGAGTTATTCTCTCTATTTCCACCTTCCTCTTTTCTTCAGAGGACCACGCGCGCTGGCCTTCGGTATCACCGTCTAACTGTGGCCACAATTCCAACGCGTACAAAGAAATTTGGTGACTCATTTCTTTGTTGCACTATCCGTAAATGGAATGCTCTGGATGCTCACGTCTTCCCTTCTTCTTACAACCTGAGATCCTTTAAAAGAGGTGTGTAGAAGCAACATGCAGGCCGGCAAGGTGAGGATGGCTGGTGTGGCAGGTAGAACTGCTGTATCGGCTATCTTCACGTCTGGACTTCACCATCACATAACATCAGGTGGGGTGGAGCCATTTGTCGGACCTATCTATAAAAAAAAATGCGCTACGCCTTATGACTCACCATTTTCCGTAGCGAAAGGCGCGCGGCATGTCGCGCTCGGCTGTAAACGCGCACGACGCGAGCAGCGAGCTGTGAGCGGTCGCGATGCCTACTACTATTAACGTATACCCCTCCAGGTGGGAGGGGTCTCAGTACAGTGACTTTATAACCACGGTAGCGTAAACAGCTTTCTTTCTATCCCTTATACTTTCTAAGGCGCAACGCACGCCCGGAGAAGATACTGAGAAGTTATTTTAAGTTATACTATATTGTTAATTTTAGGTGAACACAAATTATGTTCATAAGGCGTAGCGCATTTCGCAAACCAGCTCACCATTTTCCGTAGCGAGGTTTTCGTGTAAGCTTAGCGCAGTGGCGAGCACGCGATCATCGTTGGAGGCGCGCGGCATGTCGCGCTCGGCGGTGAACGCGCGCGACGCGAGCAGCGAGCCGCGAGCGGTCGCGAGCCGAACGCTGCCGCTCGCGCCGCTCGACACCCACGCAAGCGCCGTCGCCGCGTTCACCCCCAAACGGGAGCACTTCTTTAAGCCTTCCAATTCAGTCATAACTGTAACAAAAGAATCATCAAGAACTAGTCGCTCTAGTCATCACTGCAACAACGTAAACTTCCATCAGAAAGAAGTAACAGGTTTAACCACAAATTTTAGATTAAAAGGAGGATTAATCATAATCCAATCTTTGTTTCAAGAACCCAGACGTTCCACTTTCACAGTGTTTTAACTTCATTGTATTCATATTTCACACAATGATAGAGCGCTTTCGATTCATAGTTTTTTTTAAAGAGCTGGCTACTGGGACCAGCACCACATCAGATTGTTTTTTTTTTAAGTTAAAAAGGCTTCTGTTTCCTTCAGCCGTAACTTACTTGGTACACTGATTGGAATAGTACCTGTAATATTCCAATCAGTGTCCCAAGCTCGAACTTTGACAGATCGGTAATCGTATCAACATCGTCATATTTCGTATAGAACGAGCCAGTTTGGTGTTACGTCCGGTAGGGGCGCTGCTTAGCTTTCATAGACACTTCAACGATGCGATACGATTACAGAGCAGTCAAAGTGCATGCTTGAGCCTCTGATGATGTCCGCAGAACATAAATAAAGCTTTATTATTACTAGACAGATTTGTTTGAATCAAATCACTCGACTCACCTACTAAGGGCACCGCGAACGTGTATGACTGCGCGGGTGCGTTTGCGACGACCTGCAGCAGCGCGAGATGGTTGATAAAGTAGTTAGTGTCGGGAACTAGCTCATTTCTACATCCAGGCACATCCACCCGCCGCGTGATATCTCCTATACGACAGAATCAAACCTGCTGGACACACCGACTAAGGCACTGCAAGCGTGTATGGGCGCATTCGCGACGGCCTGCAGCAGTGCGGGATAGTCGATAAAGCAGTTAGTGTCGAGAACTAGCCACCACGGCCGCTTCTTCACGTTATATCTCCTATACAATATGACAAAATCAAACCCGCTCGACTCACCGAGTAAGGGCACTGCGAGCGTGTACGGCTGCGCGGGCGTATTAGCGACGGCCCGCAGCAGTGCGAGATGGTCGATAAAGCAGTTAGTGTCGAGAACTAACCACCACGGCCGCTCCTCCACGTTATATCTCCTATACGATATGGCAGAATCAAACGCGCTCGACTCACCGACTAAGGGCACTGCGAGCGTGTACGGCTGCGCGGGCGTATTCGCGACGGCCTGCAGCAGTGCGAGATGGTCGATGAAGCAGTTTGTATCGGGAACTAGCCATCGCGGCCTCACTTCCACCTCGACGCTCACCCATCCGCCTCGTAATATCTCCTATACGACAAAAATAACGAAAATAAGTTGTCAGAATTCCATATTGTGTAATAATTGCCTGGTAATAATTATTATCTTTAGGTTTTCAAACGTGAAAAGGGTAATGAACAAGGCTGTTACGCGCATAATTATAAGAGGAGCAGACGGCGGAGGATGCATATTATGAAAAGCAGCTATATAGACACTCACTGTAAATACACATCATCTATGTAGTATAATAATACAAAATCATGCAATATCGAACAAACAAACTAATAAACACAGTAACATTAACATAAATATCCAACTTTCAAAAAACGCTTTCTATTACTCCTGATAAATTAAAAAAATACTTCAAATAATAGTGTGAAAGTATAAAATAAAAATTTTCCTCAATCCTAAAACATGGCTACAGTAGATCGTAAAAAGCTAAAATAAATAATACGTAAAAACAATGTTGATCATAGATCATTGACAAATTACGCAATAGAAAATAACCAATGCCAATAACAGGGAGGTGTTAATTATGAGATAATCGCAAAACATTCACTATGCCAATTAAAATGGTTTTCAATCGTGGCATAAGTGCGAGATCCAGTGAACTAGTCGCGCGGGCGGCGGCGCGTGTGAAATGCAAACATGAATATCATTTAACGCTTCGACGCGCGCTTAATGCGAGCGGTATTAATAATACCAAATTAGCGGAACTCTCGTATCAATGTCTATTTACATAATATGGCTGGTTGATAAACTGCCGTGTAAGAATGAAGGTGTTATTTTGATGATTCGCAGGGTTTATTTGTCGAATAAAATAGTTAATTTAGTACAAACGAGTGTTAAGTATGGGTGATTTAGATACTAGATAGTGTCGTTGCGTTAGAGCTTTGATAAATGCGTTCCGTCTGCTGTGTCAGAAGTAGTAACAACTCTGACACTTTCAAATAATTATGGCTGGCGAAAAATATCACAAAGAACAGTTTCTAAAAGCACGTAAGTTAGTTACAAAATGCAGTCATAATCACTTAAGAAGAATAAGGAAGCCCTGTGTCCCAGTAACATATTTGTCAAAAATCGACAATCATTGTAGTGTTTACGTTATGATAATTAAATAAATGTTTCAATACACTGAAGTGATGATGATTTGAATGAACTTAAAAGGATTAGAATTTTCTTAGGCTCAGCTTTTCACCTAATAATGTGGTCCTGGCTTAGATTAAAGCAAAAAGAGAAGATACGGTACGCTCATACTAGCATCAAATAAAATAAGCTCCGACTCAACTATGGGTGAGGCCAAACGAGCGTAATTTTGTGAGTGGTGAGTCGCAGAATTTCGGTCGCAGAAATTCTGCTGCATTCGGTTTCATACGAAAAGGCAGTTGGTGCCACACGACAACGCAAAATGAGTTGTCTGCCGACTCAATGCGCATAAGCTCGTCCGAATTTCGGTCGGGGTGAGGGTAGGGCAAGGAATGGGAGTGGGGAAGCAACAGTTTGTTACAAGTTGCGTGGTGTAATAATTCTTGAAAAACACGTAATGGCATATGATAGTACTTTTCAAACATATCTGGATTTACACATAAACGTTCATATAAAGTATGGAACTGTCCACATATCAGCCTCTGACTATTCAGTGGGTTTACCCAGTTTCTTTTTCTGGCCTCATCTTCTGAATATGCTTCGTAAATACACAATATTTTTAATGGATCCATTGCACTCGACGACACGAACACCCCGTACTAACGCTCAATAGTAACTGAATAAATTACGTTCGTATGGCAGCTCAACAGAAATTCAATTGAACGTAAAATAAGTGACCGAAAATAAGCGACTCACAACTCACAAAATTACGCTCGTTTGGCTTCACCCTATATAAGCAACTCTCACACACGCACACTTCTGTAAAGAAACATTCAATCGACAGACAGAACTGTACGCTTCAACGCAGCGCGAGCGAAACGGCGAGTCCGTGTCGCTTAGCAGCCGAATACGTTTTCTTTTCTCTCTTTACAAACGGCTGAGCTGTATTGTTATCATTTTCTTAATTAAAATGGCGAATAAGTAAATAACATTCATAACAAACCTTGATTTTTGAGATTTTTATTGTTTTACGAATGGTCAGTGTTGCCGTTTTATAACACACAATATTTTTACTAGAGTGCAAATGCAACGTGTTTGGATGTCAAATTGTAACTAAAGTGAATTGTGTTCATGCACCACAATTCAAACGGTACACTTTTGAGCCGCGAGTGCCGTATCTTCCCTTTTTGTTTTAATCTAAGGGTCTTGGTGTTAGATCTCCATTTGCAGATTTATATTCTATTCAACTTTTTCTGAGACTAGGTAAACAGACCATTAAAAGTTTGTCAATAGGTCTAATTTTATACGCATATAAAATCACAATTTCAAAAAGTGACCTAAAACTGTAGCGTTTCCCAAAATTTGAACGCATTATAATACTACAAACAGAAGGGTAGTATAAGGTTTACTAAAATAATGGTAATAATTTACGTAGAAATGTAAATTTTTGTTATCAGTCTGGTTATACTGGCCATCTTTACTCTCGATTAAAAAAGTTTTAGAAACATTGGTTTATTTGTTTAACTGTTGTTTCAATGGAAGTGGAATAGTCTTTAGATTTTATATAGGCTCAATAAAAAAAAATCCAAGAACACGGCATCACGGCGTCACCTATTGGTTCAGTTGGGAATTGTTTAAACACTTACAGAAGAAATATTAAGCGAGACCTGTGTTTTCTAATTAGTCAACGCACCTGCATACGTTGCCGGCGCCTCTCCAACGTGGCCTTCCTGGACTCGAGCTGTTCCTTGCGCCGCAGTAACCTCCTGGTGGCCTCGTCCGTGCCATCCGGGCCGGACTCCAGACCCTCGCTTAGGCTGGTCGGTCCGCTGGCCGTTCCGCTCGCATTCTCTTCGTCCTCAGAGTCTTCACTCTACAAAAAATGTGAATTAATCAAAATAAACAAAAACAGGTCTTCATACAAAAACAGGTCGCTTTGTGTTTTATGAGATCATATAATAGAACTGTTTTTCATTACTACAAAACAGATAATATATGTTGATTAAAACACAGCGTTGCAGCAAGGGCCTTGCAGGTGAGTATGGAGACGCCTATGAATTTAAAAACTGGCAGCGCAAGGATAGTGGCACCGCTGGTGAGTAAGGGGAGCAAAATGGTAAGTAAAGTTTTTTTTTTATTCCTTTATAGCCTGCACGGTTTGTGCGTCAGCCACATACAAATGTAAAGGTAGGGAAACAGGATAAAAAAAAGGAACGGAATTTTTAGGAAAGGATCAGGTAAGTATTTACATATTTACAGTTTAATATTATGTTTAAGGATAAAATTTGAAATACATAAATAAATATCATATTTCATAGAATATAGCAAAGTATTTATAGAAGTCGGGAGAGGAGTACGAAGGGATGTTAAGGAGTCAATAAAAGAGGAACAGTCATTTAAGGAGCAGACAAAAAAATATGGTTTAAATCGCCAATATCAGCGCCGCAATTACACTTACTGCTATTAACTATTCCTAATCTGGCCAGATGAGAAGGAATGCAAACATGACCCAGTCTCATCCGAGTTATGATAGAGGTCGTTATATTGCTAAATCTAAAATTATAAAACCAAGGCTTTGTAGGAATGAAAGTTTGAATTTGTGAGTAATGTTTTCCTTTATTTTTACTAGAAACAGACCATACTTATTCCCAAGATTCACGTAGATCCGAATTAGGAAGACCTAAAAGATCATTAATAAAGTTTTTGTATGGAAAAATATCTCCACAATCCACAGCATCATTGGCAAGTTTATCAGCAATTTCATTGCCAGAAATACCTATATGACTAGGTATCCAGGCAAAAACTACATCGAAACCTTTTAAATGGCATTGCCAGAGTAATTTTCTACAATCTATGATTACAGGATGATTGGTATATTTAAAAGGAAATTTTTGAAGTGCTTGAAGCGCGCTTTTAGAATCAGAAAATATAACAGATTTATGCAATTTCATCAGATAAATATATTAAAAAGCTTTAAATAATCCGTAGCATTCACCAGTAAAAACAGAAGTTTCAGGTGGTAGTTTAATTTTTTGGACAATTTTTGATTGTTGATGATAAACTCCAACACCAACGAGGAATGAGGAAGAGTTTTTAGATGCATCGCTATAAATGTAATGTCGATCTGGCCAGTCTCTATCTATGATTATATTAAAATCAACATTTGCAGAATAAATGGATCGAGATATATCTAAAGTAAAATATATTATAGGAACAAGAGTTAAAACTTCATAGTCTGCAGAAAAAATAGACAGACGTTGAGAGATGTGAGTAGGGGAATGCAGAGAGGAAAATTTACTAAAACTTACAACTAAACAAGGTAGTGACTTAAGCCTCCAGTAAGAAGATGTTGTAACTATATGTGAAAAAGTAGATAATTTGGAATGAAGGGGGTGCTTAGCAAATTGCAAAGCACGGAACAAAAACTTGTCAGAAAGATATTGACGACGGAGTCGCAGAGGATGGTCGACACATTCCACTTGTAAAGCATTGATAGGGCTAGATTTCATTGCTCCGGCTATTAAGCGAAGAGCTTTAGACTGTATCCCATCAAGCTTTTTAAGCCCAACAGCATTACATGGCTCAAGAAAGTAACTTCCATAGTCTAAAATACTTCGTAAAAGAGCATTGTAAATAAGTTTCAAAGTATATGGGTGTCCACCCCACCAAACACCTGTTAAGCATCTCATGATATTTAAAACTCGTTCACATCGAGCTGTAACATAATAGCAGTGAGATAAACCTGATAATTTAGCGTCTAAAATAACTCCTAAAAATTTTGTTTCGTTTTGTACCGGGATAGGTTTATTGTCGAAACATACGGAAACAGAAGGGGGCAGACGCATTCTAGAAAATAACACTACGCAGCTTTTTGAAACGGAGAGATTAAGAGCGTTAAAATCTAGCCAAATTTTAAGTTTGGACAGTGCTCTACTTAAAATATTACTTATTTCTAAAATTGATCGTCCCGAAACATATACAACTAAATCATCTGCATATTGTAATACCGACACATTGTTACAATCACTTTTTGGAATTTGAATGGCTTTATCTAGGTCATGTGTATAAATATATACAAGATAGGGCTTATGACACATCCCTGAGGTAAACCTAGGGATGCAAAGTCTTTTGAAATATCGATATTTATATCGATATTTATATCGAAGTCAGGAAAATATCGATATCCGATATATCGACCATTTTAACTCGATATTATCGATATATCGATATTTTTTCTTTTTTTTGCTTTGTATTAAGTTTGCAAAGCAAAAACCTATAATTAAGGAAGCAAAGGTTTTCGAAATATTGATATTTATAATGTGGGCAGGTAAATATCGATATCCGATCCGATATATCAGCCATTCCAACATTTTCAACACGATATTTTCTATATTTTTATAGCGCTGTAAGAAGTATCAAATCAAAACCAATTTCGAATCAAAGATATTTATTTTGTTTAAAATGTTTGCACGCAGCCAAAATCAGAATAGATAATCATATAAAAAACAATTGTTATGTATTAGTAAAACCTACACATCAGGGGCGTGCACATGGCTTCAGAATAGGGTAAGCCCAAAGCTTCCAAAATTACTATACCTATCTTACTTTCTTGACTTGGCGAGCTTAAAAAATTTACGATTTGTTTAAGATTCTTAATTTAATTTTGTGTTATATTACAATGATATTAAATTTCAATTAATCAGTAGTTGACAATTATCTAGAAAGAGAGGCAAGGATTTTATTCAAGTGCATGAGTTACCATTAGGTATACGACTATACCTATATACGTTGGTGTCGATTCTGGCATGATTATCTAAACTTAAAACTAAATTTAACATCAGTCTCTCGTTTTCATTCTGTATAGAGAATGACAAGGATACACTGTTGTCAAATTTAATTTTAGGTTTAGAGAATCATGCCAGAATCCACACCAGTTTAGTATATTTCTTGGGATTCAAGATATTTTTAATACATCTATAAGCTCTTGCGATTTCAAAGCAATAGTAATTTCGATATTATTCAATTTAGATAGTCATAGCAGGTAAATTAATTGATATTATTGTGTTCAAATTTAGGCTACGAAATATCGATATTTTGGGATTACCGATATCGATATTATCGATATCAGTGAATTTCAAATATCGATATAAATATCGATATTTTGGTCTCGATATTATCGATATTATCGATATTCCGATATATCGTTGCAACCCTAGGTAAACCCTTCCATAAAGTTCTAGATTTATACTTTGAATCGCCCGTATCAATTGTAATCACTCTACCAGACAAGTAATTAATTATAAAATTAGTGATTAACAGAGGAACTTTTAGGTTTAGGAGTTTCAGCTTTAATACGTGCAGATCGACGTTATCATAGGCAGAATTTATATCTAAGAAAGCTGCAAGTGTTGATTCATTGTTACTAAATGATAATCTTATATCGGTAGTAAATATACCAAGACTATCCATAGTACTTCCTCCCTTTCTAAAACCGTATTGGTTCGGAGCAAGAAATTCATGAGTTTCAACAAACCATTCTAATCGATTTTTTATTAGATGTTCGGTTAATTTAGCAAGAACGGATGAGAGGGCTATTGGTCTGTATGAATTAGCATCAGAAGGAGGCTTATTTGGTTTTAAAATAGGAATTACTTCTTGTAATTTCCACGAAGTAGGAATATTGCCAGAAATCATAATGGAATTAATTAATTCTAAAAAATAAAGAAGGCTAGAATCGTTTAAATGAGAGAGAAAAGAATATGGTATACCGTCAGTTCCTGGAGCAGAATCTTTAACGTAGGCTAAAACACCTTTCAGCTCTGCAAGGCTAAAAGGAGAATCGAGATTTGTTAAGCTGTTGGTATTAATTATTGGGGAAAGAGTATGAGAGATAAAGAAATTGGGAACTAGAGGAGGAGCAAGTTTATCTAAAAAGTTGTCTTGTACATCTTTTGGAAGAAAAGCTGCGCCAGGTTCCTTAAAAGCTGATCGAAAACGCCGTATATTTTGCCAAACTACAGAAGGTGAGACGTCAGGTGATAAAGATACACAAAAGGTCTTCCACCATTCCCATTTCTTTTTTTTAAGAAGCTTCTTTGTTTCGGTCATTACACGAGATAATAACTCAAAGTTTTCGTTCGTAGAATTTTCTCTATATATTTTTTCTGTAAGCTTCCTCTTTTTAACTGCTAAAGAACACTCGTTATCCCACCAAGGGGGAGATGGAATCTTGTTACGATTATTATTTTTGACTGGGAACACCTTTTCTGCAGCTTGCAACATAGTCAATGCAAAGGCTTCTGCACAAACTTCATGATTGTTTTGTTCGATAGACGGGAGGTTAGAACTTACCTGTTCTACTTCTTGTTTGTACAAATACCAATTAGCATTTTCAAGTTTAAATTTTATTCTAGGGGAGCGACTTTTAGTACGAGAGTTAGAAGTTACAAAAGGAAAATTTATTAATATTGGAAAATGATCGCTACCATAACTGTAAGATAAAGTTTTCCAAGATATGATAGAAGCTAAATTAGGTGAACAGATTGAAAGATCGGGGACACTGACTCCTTCTTGGGGTTGTGAGCGACGAGTTGCCTCACCACTATTTAAAATACACCAGTTATACTTATCGACCATATCCAACAGTCTAGGGCCATAATGACTACTATTGGAACTGCCCCATGTTACATGCTGGGCATTGAAATCTCCCATGATTAAAATTGGATTGGGAAGTATAGAAAAAAATTGATTCTATTTCATTAAACACATTTGAAGAGGGGTGTGGAATATACAGGGAAACAAAACATATGTTGTTAATGGTAACAGCAATAATTGAAAAATCTGAACTATGATTTGGAATAGTAAACTGAGAAAAAATAATATCATTTCTAATGAAAATTGCTACTCCACCGTATCCGTCTGACCTATCTTGACGAACACTAGAGTATTTGGGAATTCGGGAATTAAAACCGGGACGTAATCAGGTTTCCTGTAATGAAATTAAAAAAGGTTGATATGAATTTGCTAGATAGATTATATCACTTTTCTTAGAGCTAATGCTGCGACAATTCTACTGAATTATTTGTGACTGATCCATTATTGTTGCTGTTTAGAGATTGATTTGCAGTAAAAGTGGCAGTGTTGGACGGTATAGAATTTTTAGATTGACGGTATAGAATACTTGAGAAGATTGAAGAAGAAAATTTACAAGGGTGAGAATTAAATCACGAATTGACAAGTTTTGAAGGGAGTTGAAATTACAACCTGTTCCAACTGTTGGTAATGGAATGTCATATTCATTGGTTAATTTCGCATGAGCATTTTTGTCAAATCCTTTACCAAGCTGTACAGGAGCTTTAGGCTTTAAAAAAACTGATTTTTTGTAAGATTTGTTAACATTTTCTGGCTTTGGATTCAAGACTTTCATTTGTGATGATGTAGTAGATATTGGAGTAGACAAAACATCAGAATATGATCTACCAATAGGAGGATGTAATTTCTGAGCTTCTGCATATGATAGACAACTTTTGGCCATGGATTCTTTAATACATTTTTGTCTAAAAAACTCTGGGCATTTACGGTTAGTAGCAAAATGTGATCCAGAACAAAGACAACATGTAACATTTTCTTCTTCAACATTGCAACTGTCACCAGAGTGACCATTACCACATTTGAAACAACGGGGAGAAGACCTACATTGTGATTTAATGTGACCATATCGACAGCATTGAAAACATTGTGTAGTTGGATAAATGTAAAGATCAACAGGTAGAGAATTATAGCATAAGTATACACGTTTTGGCAAGACTTGGATGTCAAAAGTGAGCACTACTGTTTCAATTGGAATGTAACTTGTACTGCCATTATTAATTACTTTTTTATTTAATCTTCTTACCTTAAGAATAGCTCCACATCCAATGGGTACATTTATAGTTTTTAGAATCTCTTCCTCTGACCAGTCTGTAGGAATTCCCCTCACAACACCCATACGAGTAATATTGTTAGTGGGAATGAATGATTTAAAATTGTTCTTTATTATTTCAGAATTATTTAAGAATGAGTTAGCATCTTCAAAATGGCTAAATGCAATTAAAAGTCTGTTTCTGCCAATGCGCTTCAAGCTACCGTTAACAATTTTTAATGGAGTGCTTTTTTAAGAACTGTCCAAAGGAAACTGGGTGGATTGATGCTTTATTATTCGGATCTTCTTGAATCTTTTGGATGTGAACAATAAAAGGAGAGGCATCTGATGACTGATAAAAAACTCTACCTATTGGCTGCTGTGCTGAATCTTTGTTAATAGAAGATTGAGTAAATTGTGATTGTGACACTGAATTTGGAGAAGAGATTGGAAGTGAATTAGTTTGCATTGGCGTACTAATGGGTGCAGAAGAAGCAAAATCGCATTTACAATCTGTTTCAGAACAATCAATTGAAGATTTATGATGTTTCCTCTTTTTCTTATTACAGTGTTTGCAAATCTTACTGGCATGAGTTCTTTTTCTTTTAGAATTAGTTCTGGGGTTAGAACAATCCGAATCTAGTACAGATTCCTCTGTATCTAAGCCGGAATTAAAATCCACAGTAATTACATTCGACACCTGGGGGCCACAGCCCCCAGGGTCGTCTGGATAAAACATAAAATTAAATTCAAATTAAAACTATAAGTTACCAACTATAAGATGTAAAATACAATATGTACACTAAATAGATAAAAATAAACTAAAATATTAACACTATATTACCCAACTGATCCAATTTACATTAAAAAAATAATTTTATAAAATATTTACGACCAACCAAACCGAAGTTTCCCGCGCTTTTTCGTAAGTAAAGTTATACCTATAAGTACTACTACACACTGTCAAATATACCACAGATTAGCCAGAATCAAAAGACAGCTTCTTCATTCAAACGCTGTGTGTTTTAATCAACATAAAATATCTGTTTTGTTGTAATGCAAAACAGTTCTAATATGCCGTTCTAAGCTAACGCTTTTAGAGATGAGGGAGGATCGCCTCTAGGCGCCATACCCGTTTAAACAGTTTTATGTAAGTTGCTCTTTAGAAACGAACATATAAGAGTTAATAATTTCAGTTTTTAAATCATTTTGCCTTTGTGGTTATTAAGTTACTTGAAATATGTTTAAATAAACTAGAAATTTCATTAATATTATTTATGTGAGTAATAAATGTGTATAAGGATCCTTTAAAATTGTCTTGCATCAATACATCGTTTTAACTTTCATGTGAAAACATTAATATTAATTAGATTCTAATAAATTCAATAGTAGGTAATTGAACGACTTATGAGAGTGGTCTACAAGTGAATATAAAACGCGGCATCGCTCTCGCTGGCGGGATATTTATAAGTCAAACGTTAGTTTATTTAAATGAAGTCCGGGATTTTTTAATATCTATTGTTAATCTTTATTGTGTGTATTTTTAATCGACTCCAAATAATAAGAACGTTGGCAATTTAACCCGTATGTTTGTCATGGATAAATTGGCAAAATGGACACAAAAGCGATAATATTTTTATCTAGTTCGGATATTAAACCTTAACTGATCTTTCAAAATCTTATGTATAATTAAAAATGTATGTACAAACATAACTTTCTAATGCCTGCACCAAATAAAAAAATTCTTTCTTTGTTTTGTTATCTTAAGTTTTGTTTCAAAACTCCACCAGAAACCACCAGAAATTTTAAAATCGTCGTATATTGTCTTTGTATTAAAATCTTAAACTGCTCACGATTTCTCATTTCTGCCAAATACAATTCACCCGTGCGAAGCCGGGCGGGTAGCTAGTTAAGAGGAAAAAGTTATATCTATTTAAATAAAAATCAATTGCTGTTCGTAAGTCTTGCTAAAACTCGAGAATGGCTGAACGGATTTATCTTATCTTGTTCTTGAAATGTTCGTGGAGGTCTAGGGAAGGTTATAAGGTGGGAAAAAATGGAAAAAATGCGAGGAAGATAGTAAAAACGTCAATTTAATTTTCCCATATAAACTGTTCTATCTTCTTTCCTGTCAAACATTTGACGTTCGTCCCTTTTGGTACGGTAGACTCGGATCCGTCATTGCTTCCAAATTATATTAACCCTTACGAAGTACGCGGAATCAACTAGTTGTGTTATAAAACAAAAGGTGTGGTTGAATGTTTGGTAAGATTTTTATTTACCAGGTGTTGCAGCGGTTGATGCAGCGGCTGGGCGCGTTGCACGGCGCTCACGTAGCGGGGCGGCGCGCCCGACGGGTACTCCAGGCTGAGGACTGGCGGCTCCACGCCTACCAAGTACCTAGGCAACATTCGTCTCATTGTATTCCCCCCTGCTCCCCTAGCCAAGTGGCTAACGCTTCGTAGCGAATTCGAAAAGTTAACGTCACATTGTAATAGAAAATTAATTGACACTTGACTGTTCGTTACGCCTTGATCACTTGATATGCTATAAAGCAAAACAAAACTATGTTCTCAGTGAGCATGGAACTTGCAACAGCGGCGAAATATTCGAGACACAAAAAAAGGTAAATAATGTACCTTATTTTTGAAAAACAAAAAAAAATTAGAGAAACCCCCTAATATTTATGTTAATCACTAAAACTGTTAGTTTTATATTAGGTCCTTACATATGAAATTAGCGTTTTGTCGTACTGACCACTTTGAATTGGAATATCTCCTCTTTAGTTGAGAATTCCAAATTCAAATTTAGCTGGTACATTTGGGTTTTGAAAAAGTCATTCATTTGTTTTTTTCCTCTAATTTTTTCTTTGGCGTTGCTTATTACCGCACAATGGAAAACGTTAAATATCGGAATATTTACGAGTACGAATTCTACCGTGGCACCAGTGCTGCAGAAACAACTCGAAGGATTAATGATATGTACGGCGCTGGTATTGCAAAAGAAAGCACGGTACGTTTTTTTGTTTCAACACTTTCGTTCTGGAAATTTCGACATTCAGATCCAACCCCGTGGACGGCCGAAAACCAAAGTGAAAAATGAAAAATTAAAGGCTATTGTGGAAGCGGATCCATCACAAAGCACTTCAGAGATAGCTGCAGGCTTCGGGGTAAGTAAAAAAACTGTATTAATCCACTTGAAGCAAATTAGTAAATTAAGAAAGCTTGAACGACCTACCTCATGAATTGAGTGAATCGAACTTGCAAACACGCGTCGACTGCTGTGTTACTTTGCTCAACCGACACAATAATGAAAGTACTTTAAATCTAAACATTACTTATGTTGAAAAGTAAATACAGTACAATAATCGGAAGTGCTCGTCGCAATGGCTGAACCCTGGAGACCCAGCCAAATACGCCCTAAACGAAAATTGACTCAGAAAAAGTTACTTGTGAGTGTTTGGTCGACTAGCGCCGGTGTCGTTCACTACAGCTTTCTACAATCTGGCCAAACGATTACGGCAGATATGTATTGTCAGCAACTGCAAACCATGGAGGAAAAACTAGCTGCTAAATAACCGAGATTGGTACCTTTGTTTCACGACAAAGCAAGATCACACACTGCACAACAAACAACCACTAAGTTAGATGAGCTACAATTGGAATGTCTGCGACATCCACCGTACTCCCCGGACCTTGCTCCAACAAATTACCATTTTTTCTGGAATATGGACAACTCTTTACTAGGAAAAAAATTCAACTCCGATGCGGCAGTCCAAGCCCCCTCCAAAGAGTTTATTGATTCTCGCCCCCATGGTATTTTAGTAAAGGGATCAATGAACTACCTATGAGATGGCAAAAGTGCAAAGATAACAACGGTGCATACTTTGATTAATAAAATATATTTTACAAAAATAAAATATGACTTTATATTCCTACCGTACAAAACGCCAATTTCATATGTAAGGACCTAATACTTTGGCTTCGCTTACCCGTACAAGTTAAATAACATGAATAATAAGAGTATTCAGTGGCAAGTTCCATGCTATGAGCATCCTTTTTTCTATGATTTTTTACACTAATCGTGTATTTATAGACATCGGATGTGTTGAATATATAATGAATGCATAACATGTGAGATTAATAATAATGAATGTCAAATAACTCATGTTTCTTATTATATCTTATGAAAAGTTAAATATTCATCATCATCATTATTTAACCTGTGTAATTTGCTTAAAATTGAACTTCTTATGATAAATTCATTTGCACAACTTCTTCATTACTGTGTTCATGTTCATTATGTGTACAATAATATTTTGTAGATGTTAAAACAACATAACCGGTGTGCTGAAAAGTGTTTGTTACATAATGTCAATTACAAGCAAATAATTAAGTGACGATCACACATCCTATCCTACACAGTGTCGCTTATGTTGACACTGATTTAGAGCAATATCAATTAAGAATGTACATATGAAATGAGATTTGCACACTCACTCCGTGCCGAAAAACAACAGTTTCCTTGTGCGGAGCGCGTGTTCCGCAGATTGATGCGGCACGGCGGGCTCGCTGCGGACCCAAGCTACTGCCGCCTCCATATACATGAGCGGTGTAAATCCGCCCAGCGTAGCATCCTCCGCCAGACGCACAGCAAGGTATCCTAAAGATAAGCAAAAAAAAACATCCTCAAACCCACCTAGCAACAGAAATAATGCAATTTTGTTCGTGAACAAAATTCTCAATTCCATGCTAAACTCTCACGCGCTACACATTACAGTGAGAGAATTTTACAAACCTGGCATCCGTTGCATAAAATATTCAATAGCCGTATTAAACACTCCATTTGGCTAACTGTCATTGACACTTCTAAATGTTTAAATAGTCAAGTGCGCGCAAAGAGATATCAACACGCAGTGTGATCTTAAAGCAAACGTGAGAAAATATTATGTTCTTTTTTTTAACCTAGCTCTATAAAGTCATGCTTTTATTTTATATCAGTTTGAGCGTGCAATGAAATTTGATCCGCCCTGACCACCAATAGGCGGTAAGCCGACGAAGACCAATTTGATGTTATTGGATATTTGACGCCCGCAATCTAGTACGGCCTTCAAGGCCAAGCTGCACGCTCGCATAACGGGGCGGCAACGAGATGAGTGCAAAACGTGATTGCATTATAAATTAATAGACGTCGCGTACAAGTATATAAACTCTTCAGAATACATTATGCAGTGAACGCTAAACACAGCCTTTGTTCGACGCTCGCGGTGATTAAGATAAATGAAGGCAAACTCGCTTATGAAACTTTTTACTGGTTGTTTTTGAGACGATTGTTATTAAATTAATAACACTACTTCCTAGTTACAAAATTCAATAAATTAGCTACATAAGTAATTGAATAAATTGATGCCAATGACAATGGGCTTAATGGATATTGTACTGAGACAATGTGAAATAATACGAAATACAAAATCAGTTCTTATTAAATATAAATAATATTTATAATAATAATTAGATCAGAGTACAATAAATCACCTTCTTTTGGTTCATTTTCTAATTCAATCGTCTTGTCGTCAAGAGTTTCTAAAATATTCATAAGTTTCGCAAGCCAATCCCATGGGTCGTTATCGGATCTGAAAAGACAACGAATATCACCATATGCAAACAAAGCACTTTACCAATGCCTTATACCAAATGTATTATTATTTATGCGCTTACTCTATTACGAAGTTGTCGAATGAGGGTGGTGGATTCCATATACTACTGTGACATAACATCCAGTCGGACCACACCTGTGATAAGAAAAATATTTTTGATATTAACTCACAATGTAGTAGAAAAAAATTAAGAAAAAGTCCGTAATAAAATTGTGTACCAAAACTTACTTTTAATTAAAAATATGGCATATTCGTTATGAATTACTTTATAAATCATCTTATTGAACGCAGACGTAGTTCTTCTCTATAAAAATTAGACCATAAAAAACGACTCGTACAAAAATACATTGGCGTATAGTAGTCGTTAATCATAACCGTATGCAATGCTTTTATCGTTTTTAAGTATAACAACCTTTGGATCCTATTCGACTAAATAACAGTGCAGCTATCTAGCAAAACGATTAAAATTCCCTTAAATTTTTATGACGATGTAAAAACTTAACATGTCTGTACTATCTTCAGTTGAACTGCATTGTGAACAAGAACATTGAATATTTTTATAACATCTATTTTAAACAAGGTTTTGCTTGTGTGTGTTTTGTACTGTTTTTAAAAGTATATACACAGTCAGGTCATAAGTATTGTCACACAGTAAAAACTTTTCTTTTAGAATGCTGACCACAAAAAAGTTTATTGAATTCGAATTTCGAATTGTTCATGAAAATAAAAATGTATACTTTTTAGAATTTTACTCGTTTTTAAATATGGAGTGGACGCTTAAAGAAGACCGTGTTGCAGTTATTGCGTAGTATCGTTGCGGTTACGCGCCAATTAAAATTTTTGACATACTGAAAATTTTTAATATAACCAAAAGATTCGTTTATCGTACTATCAAACGATACAATGAAGACTCTAGTGTAGATGACAGGTCAAGAAGTGGTCGCCCTCGGTCTGTTAGGACTCCAGCAGTGATAAAAGCTGTGAAGGCGCGAATTCAATAAAAATCCCAAACGTAAGCAGAAACTGTTGGCCCTTCAGATGGGGTTAAGCAGAACCACGGTGAAAAGGGTGTTAAATAAAAACTTAGGGCTTCGGGCATATCGAAGAAAAACAGGACATCGTTTGAAGACTCGTCTAATGGACCTGAGACTGAAGAGATGCCGCGCTTTGTTGAAGCGGTACGCGGGAAAAAAAATAGGGAAATTCTCTTTTCGGATGAAAAAATTTTTACCGTAGAAGAGAGCTACAACAAACAAAATGATAAGGTGTACGCACAGTAGTGAAGAAGCGAGCAACCGTATTCCGCGTATCCAACGAGGTTATTTTCCATCCTCGCTCATGGTATGGTTGGGAGTTTCTTATTGGGGCTTAACAGAGGTACATTTTTGTGAGTAAGGTGTAAAAACGAATGCAGTTGTGTATCAAAATACATTCCTGATGAACCTTGTGGAACCTGTTTTTCATACCATGTTCAATAACAGGCACTGGGTATTCCAACAAGATTCGGCGCCAGCTCATAGAGCGAAGAGCACACAAGACTGGCTGACGGCGCGTGAAATCGACTTCATCCAGCACGAAGACTGGCCGTCCTCCAGTCTAAATTTGAGTCCGTTAGATTACAAGATATGGCAACACTTGCAGGAAAAGGCGTGCTCAAAGCCTCATCCCAATTTGAAGTCACTCAAGACATCCTTGATTAAGGCAGCCGCCGATATTTACATGGACCTCGTTCGTGCTACGATAGACGACTGGCCGCGCAGATTGAAGGCCTGTATTCAAAATCACGGAGGTCATTTTGAATAAACTTTATTGTCATAACAATCTGTTTTGTTAATTTCATTTTGGTATATAAATGGTTACATAATGAATAAACTTGTTTCAATTAATTTATATTAAACATGTGACAGAATTTATGACCTGACTAGTTATATATATGACAGGAATTATATTTAATCCTGGGTGTGTTGCGAACATACCTTGATAGCAGGCAAGAGTAACAAAGCATCTGAGTGCTGCTGCGTATGCGCCGGCTCCGGTAACAGCGCGCAACAACGCTCTAAGAGGGCCCCAAACATGAGTAGTGATACGCCCAAAGCGCAGTCTAACCACGCCGAACGGTCACCGCTCTTACTACCTGTCGACAAAATGTACTCTCAATATGACAGGTCTACAAATGAGTAAATAAATTGTTTTAAACTAAATCTTCATTATTAATCGGGACCATTCTTATGAGCCCTAACACGACATAAATAACTGTTGCTAAGGAGTTGCGCATCCCGCAGATTATTTGATGCTGCGATATCCGCTAATATATTAATTTATTTGCTGGAATCATGGTCATTAATTCTTTAAATTATACGTGAGGTTCAACTCAATCATATCAGTTATCTAATAAAAAAACGCTTCGAAATTGTTTCTTTTTGTAAGCTACAATGTTACAGACAAATGCACTCAAATTAAACTTATATTACACCTCTATCAGTAGAACTACTGGTAGAACTAGGTGAACTATGAGTCTTTTTGCTTCGAGGGTCTAAAAGTTCCATAACTGTGCTATTCCGCTACAAGATATGGATTTAGTTCCCGATGATATGGTAAAGTAACTGATGATTATTTGAATATATTGTTTTTATTAATTTGATTAATTTATAAGGAAACTTAAAAATAATGTACATGTCAAAACGGTAAACTGGCAGACGGTAGCTTATTTAATGAGCAAATACTTGAAATGATAGGATGATTAGCCTGCAATTTATCAAATAATAAGTACCTACTGCCTGTGTGAATTAATACTTATATGTTGAATTATAATTCTAGTGTGATGCAATGAGTATATTATCAGAAGCACATTATACATATTTAAACGATTTGTTGTATAGAAAGACTACAAAATTTCTTTCCTTGCAAAATAAAAGTTAAGTTATCAAGTTTAATGAAATAGGGATTTTTGATATCGAATATAAATATATGGTAAACACACAAAAACAATATAAGTAAATATCTGGTCTTTTGGGTTACGGATTTAGTACAAAGATTTCTTTTCTGACGTGTACTACCTACCTACAATTAATAATAATTTGAAATTCAGCACATTAAAAGGTACAACGGGCTAAACTAAATTTCGTATGGCAAAACAACGTTAAATAAATATTTACACCCGAAACTTCGTATAAGTACCACTACTAAAACCAGGTAGAGAAAAAACACAGAAAAAAAAGTATTCCATCGTGTTATTCTCAAAAGTCGAAACCAAAATGTTTTAGATTTATTACAATAATATTACTGCATTACCAGTAAATCAAAAATGCCTTACTATCGGATTCACATAAATAATGTGAACAAAGCATAATAAGTTTATTTTCATCCCGTTATATAATGGAATTTCCAAGGAACACCGCGCAGAACAACGCATGCTCGCTCGTGTAATATCAAATCTCGAATCTTGATGCATTACGCATGAATCTTACAATTATAAGTCCCGGCATACGGGACCTCGTTACAATGATTCTCACTACTTATTATTCGAAATGTGCTCGACATATCAACGTATGTAATGTAAAGATGCTTAGTGAATAGCTATGGGATCCACGCCACGGTCACCATCGTTGGATGATGACCGACACGCAGATCCTGCTAAGCCGGTCCGGTATAAATAGAGTGTGCTAAAAATAAGTGCACGGATTGCACCGACAACGATACCACTACTAATTCTTACTATCTAATACAGATAGTGTGTCAGCTTTAGACATGGTTTTGCACATAATAAAAAAATATCTCTTAGATATTTTTAAAGTACATTGTTAAGGTTAATATTTTTAGAACAATGTAACAGTATACCAATCGTTTAAAAAATGCATTATAAAATATTCTTATCACGAAATCTTTCTGAGAAAAGTTCCTTACGTACTCCGCCAAGGGGCATCGGCTCGCCAAACGGATAATTAAGGTCCTCGTCCACCGCAATTTTTCTATAATAATTCAAAACATCATTACGTAAAGAAGCGGTCGTCACAGTGCCGTCGCTATGTCAGTTTGTTGAACCTGCTGCCATCAAATGTGTGCATCGTCAGGAGTGCAGTACAGTGCATCAACCTCCGATAACTTGTAATTTGTAATTACAAACCTACCGCGCCAGGACCAAGCCGCAGGAAATAGCCGCATTTACAAGCATACCTTATGTATTAATTTCGTAAATCGAATACGTGCAGTTTATTACAATGCAATTACAAGTGTCATTTTATGTTGATACATTACTAAATAAATACACTATTAGAATTTTAATATACAGTTATGATAAGACGCCATAAAAACAAATTAGCATTCTTGTATCTGGTAAAGAGTGCGGAATCGTATTTAAAATTGAAATAATATATATACTTGAGCACGTTTTTTGAGTAAATTATAAATAACTAGCAAGCGCGGTTTATTAGGGATATTTTCTCGCAGTAAAACGTAGCCTATGTGTTAATCCAGGATGTCAGCTAACTCCATACCCAATTTTATTAAAATCGCTCCAGTAGTTTAGACGTGAAGAAGTAACAAATAAACACACTCACACTCTCACAAACTTTTGCCTTTATAATATTAGTGTGACAATCATTGCGCACATCTTATTTATCGTGTTAAAAATACCGCATGATTCATACTGCCAACAGCAATTCATAAAAAATGAAACAAAGACTGTTGGTTGTTTGAATAATATGATGAATATAATTATTAGCCTTTTTTTATTTTTTATGACATAAAAGAATTTATGATTGCAAGAGACTTTACTAATTATTGTACTTGCCGAATATTTACTACCAATGAATAAGGAACATCCTTACCAAACTACTTAAAAAAAACCGACTTCAAAATCGAAAATGGAACTAAAAAGTAAAAAATAATAACTGCTTCATGATTTGGAAGTCAAGATTGAAAGACATATTATTACTGATCAGAAACGAAAATCTATTTAATGTTTCAATCTTGACCCCGCCATTTTATAGACGACTCATAGATGAATGTCAATGTGTAAAATACAAGCCTGAGAACAAAAACTGTAATCTTCACTTCAGCTCTACAACGAAGCGCAGCGAGGGCGGGCCGCTAGTTGTCTATATATCTTCATATTCTATGCTCGGAAGTGACTTCTCTTTAAGTACTTAAAAAAAATCACAAAGCCTTTCCTTTTTTACACGACTGCCAAAAGAATATTAAATGAAAATATTTCAAAGTAATAATATTAATAGATTATAAGTAAAAATATTTTCAGTTTTCGTGTACCACCCACTCCCCTAGAATTAGTAAATCTAATCAAAATATAGGCCAGTAACGAATGCTTCTGTATATGAACAGATTTAAAATATAAAATATAGTCCGCCATTTTCAAAACTATAAACAATTTTTTTCTACGATATAGATATATTAAAGACCTCAATGAGCCTATACCAAAACTATGTAATTAAAAGAAACATGCAAGATTCCTGGGATATAAACTATCTTATGACCGTTCCCGAGACTCAAACTATCTCTTATTCCGAATTTCATATAAATCGGCCCAACAGTTTAAGCGTGAGGGGGTAACTGTAACTGCGTATACTAAAAAGAGATTACAATATTATGTAATAAAATAAATGAGCCAAGAGCCAATGTGCCGCAAACGAAAATAATAAATAATTCACTAACGGCTACGTGACAATGGCAACGTCAGATACTGTACTCATTCGTACATTAAATTAAACTATTTTTTTTATATAAAACATGAAAGTGGACTGTATCGGTAAACAAATTGTTCTCTGGAAAGTCATACTCATTGCCAATGTAAAAACAAAAAAGCATAATAAAAACCATAAATTATAACAAGTTTATGTTAAGATACCCAATTTGAGACGAATTTGAATATATTCGAATATAATTCAATTTTATGTTGCGACGACCGCTAATTAAACATACCAAAAGGCGATATGATACCGCAGATTATCATCAACACTGAGCTTTTAAAATCTATTTGATTTTCACAAGCTATCAGTTTTTGACGTGATAACGTAAATATAAATCATTTAACATCAGCTACACGCACGAAAAAGTGTGTCGTAATGTCACGTTGTCACTAATTCAACGTTCGGCGGTGTGTGTGAGGTGAGGTCGAGGGGGTTCCTTTCCTTCGAAGGCCCCCCCAGGAGGGATCCCTGACCCCCGGACCACTCTGAAAGGCATTATTGGTGCATACAGAAAATTACTATTATAATAATTTTCGGTCCTCGAACATCACAACATTTATACACAGCTTTTTCGGAAACCGGTATACGTCAAATCAGAAACAGATCCGCACCGCCATCCATCAACTCGCAGCGGTTAGTATTCATTCATTTATCCACATTTATCAGCATCGTAACGGTATCGCCTTAAAATGAGCTTACGAACCGCAAGCGGCGTCACCGCTTTTACTTCTATTTGTCATTGCGCTCACGCCTATCTGTTTTATCCCCGCGAATACGTCCGACTATCTTAACGCTTACGACTCCTCTATTTCCCAAGACTGATTGAATGTCGGTGGTTTTGATCCACCGACATGGACATAAGATCGGCGTCGTCTCGCAGTATGCGCAATGCCGAGTGATTGCGCACGGTTGATGACGAGGTGATGCAGTGTATCAACCCTTTCTGTATAGGAATATCGTTTTAAGCTTGGGAGTTTGGAAAATGTGAACCTGCGAGTGAGACTATTCGTTATAACTCTCAGAAGCAACTTCAAAAAATTACTCTAAAATGAGATTCGTACAAAAAATCTGAAAGTACCTTTTTACGGTACAGGGCGCATTAAATTCTCCCACAAACCTTTGCAGGAAAATCTGGCTTTAAAGATGGTGGAATGACGAAAGCTTCGAATAAATATTGGCTTACCAGCTTTTAAATGCTGAAGTGATATAACATCATTGCCTGCAGTCTCGTTATTTTTGAATTTCTTGAAAGCCATATCATACGACCTGCTGTCCGACACGTTTTCGGTAAAATGTCGGGATATGCTTAACTTTTGTCTAGGTCTCCTTGCTTTCCAAAATGGGAGTATATACCTATAGTAAACCACTAGCAGCCATTCCACTTCAGTGAAATGAAGTCCACCTACCGTCGCCAGTTTTCCGCTTAGCCTGTTCATGGCTTTTACTAGTTTTGCCCAGAAGACATTTTTGTCGGGAAAACATTGAAGAACATTCATTCAGTTCATAAGTTGTAAAAATATTATATCTCCTAAGTACCCTATTACTTGGCTACGAAGAGGAAAAGCCCATCAAAATTTATGCCCTTTGTTCGACGTTAAGAAGAGGGATACCTTGTCCGGGGTCTCTTTGTATGAGTATGTCAAGTATTTTCATTTTTAATTGTGTTTTTGGTGCTCTGTGGCGTGGTTGGGAACCCCACCTCCACCAACCTCTCACTTGTCGATTCGCGTAGCTGCATCCCTTCTGAAGCCATAAGGTCGTGAAGTAGAATGACCTAACCTTGAGCACACTAGTCCACCACCAGCACGTTATAGCTGGTGGTTGACCGAACTGGTGAAGGGCCACTGACCTGCGCGTCGCCCGCCCTAAACTACGGACCGCCGAAGCGCAGGTCACTCGCCCGACACCGTTAACACTCAAACCCAGTTTTCTTTTTATTTTTGTCTTTATCATTTTACTTCTGTTGCGAACTATTTTACACCAGCGAAAAACTCAGTTATTTAAAAAAAAACCTTCAGCTCTGCCGTGAGGCGTGTAGGCCGGTATGAACTTGTTTGAAAGTGCTCTACACTCCCCAGATAATGGTATGGGTCTTCTACTTCTCCCTCCCCATAATTCCCTCCCCAGTATTACAATCCTTACCTACATGAGGTTCGTTCTGAGAAGCCTACCTCTGAAACAGCTTAATGAAACAGCAATTACAAAGTTACCCAAGTGCTTATGAGTCAAGCTGTCTCTACCAGAAAAAACCAATAACTCATGTTCCGAAATATCTCAACACCCTTACCAGTCGATAAGAAGAACGGACTCAATTACTCCGAGTTATCTTACTGAACATCGCTGACACTGTCGTGTTCGAATCGACCCTTACGATTTACTGGAAAATTAGCGTATTTTATTTTTTCCAAATCAAAACCAAATGCAGTAAGTAATTAAGATTCATGTCATGTTGAAATAAAAACTATGATATTGATACTTATCATATGCCTCCTGTCTTCTTGCCACAACAAGATTGGCCGATGTAATTTTCACGATTCTTTGTGTACGGCTTTTTTCAGGGGTTTATATGTTAAGTATGTGTATGCGCTTTAAACTAAAGAAAAAGGATGAAACAAAAAATATATTTAACAAAAGTCGACTTCAAAATCGAAAATGAAACTAAAAAGTAAAAGATAATATTCGGTTCACAATCGGGCGGGCCCTAGTATAATTTGGAAGTCGGGCGAGGTCAAGATTATACCGATAGATATAAAACACGTAGTTATATTGATTAGAAATGAAATCCATCCAATGTTAGTTCCGTAGCAAATCGACTGTGACTGACAGAGAAACCGACAACCGAGTGATCCTATAAGGGTTCTGCTTTTTCCGATTGAAATACGAAACCCTAAAATAAATAAAAAGGGTTTTTTGGCGGGATTTCATCGAGTGCGGTTGGCGTCTTATTTTAATTATTCTTAAATTCGTTCATAGTGGATATTGTGAAATAAAATTGGTGTGGTTTTGTGTAACAACTGTCTGCGTAACTGTAGAATTAGTGGAATCATTAAAATATACACTATTCCGGTCAAGAGGACGTGAGAATTTTATTGTAGTGTCACAGAAGCTTATCGAAAAAGCCAACTCGATACATTTCGTGCCAAACACTCCAAGAAACATTAGAATGCGTCACACCGACATTCTAATGTAAAAACAAAAAGAAGATAAATTTAATTAAAGACCAGGCTGTATGGGCATTGTTCCCTTTGCCTTCCCTAAAACGGGAGAACTTCAACAAAAAAAAAAAGGCGTGGTTTCGATGGCGAACGTATTGAGCGCCGTGAGTAGCAGTCAGCGGGCGACCGTTGTAGGCAGCGGCTGGTAGTGCAAACAGGGCGCACTGGGCCCCAATTTTTAGAATACGCCGCTGTATATAGCTGTACGCTATATACAGCGGCGCTGTACATTAATTATCAATACAAAAAAATACATATAAATAATACCTTTGAGGGAAGCGGCTGTGGTTTCGACGGCGAACATATCGAGCTGGCGGTACAACAGGGCGCAGTGGGCACCATATTTTCGTTATTGATAAACAACGATGCCAGATTGGGGGGATTCCCCCCAAAGGACAAGGCTAATAAACTGCCCTTAACATGTATAATTATTTCGCTAATTAATTAAAAATAATAGATATGATTTTTCTGATCAGACTTAAGACAAGGCTGTATTAAATTAATTCTTTGATTTCTGCAAATGAACAAAATGAAACTTCACGGATTTCCTGTCAGGCCGACAACAACAAATTATTTGTATTTATTTTTGCTTTAAAGCACTCTTTGTGAAGTGTTAATCAGAGAAATTAGATAAAAGATTCTAAGAAAATGCGAAATTGATGGCTCTGTAAATAATTGGCAATATCTTTTATCAAATGTAGCAAGGTAATGATGTAGTAGGTGTTTACATAGTTATCAGTATTGTTACTTTATCAGAAGTTCCTGAGCCCTTTTTCATAGAAATTATAAACTTTCGGCCATTCAGCATTAAATATTACTAAGAACAATATTTATACATCGCTAGGGCAGTCGCTCATACAAAACTTTACCATGTCCTTTTTAAAGCGATGGGGGGCTAATTGGGGGGAATTTTTTTTTAGGGGGGTTTAACGGGGGGAAGAAATTTTGATTTGGGGGAAACGGGGGTTTTTTTAATTACATTTTTATATAAAAATAAAACCACTTCATAAACTTTAAATCTGTAAAAAGTCGGGATCGACAGTCAATCAACAGTCTCTCTTTCTCAATCTGTATAGAGCATGAAAAGGATACTGTTGTCAAATTAAATTTTATTAGGCTTAGAGAATCATGCCAGATTCGGTCCCACTTAACTGTGTTCATTCAGTGAGCCCGATTCGGACCCCTTCAGTCCATACTCCATTCCATCTATAGTCTATTCACTTTGGCCTGAGACAAAATGTAAACAAAGAATCTGAGGTTCTTAAACTTTTTTAGAAAATGCACGCTCGCGTCAACAGTTTGATCGGTAGAGCGAAGATGGCTGACGTGAAAAACCAACCGATTATAAAATACAACATTTCAACGTAAAATACTTATATCATGTCTACTCTTTTATTTTGTCGTATTATAATACGTCTTAGTTTGGGAATGATTGTGTTTTTAGGTCTTTTTCCATGTCAACAATGTTGTTAAAATATTTTATCAGCAATATAAAAATATACTAATTTATGATGTGTATGTATAATAAATATATGTATGTAAAATATTTTATTTTCTCATTCAAATGTATCTACCAGCTTTTAAAAAAATTAACCAAATGTTTCACTGCATTTCCTATGTAAATAGTATTTAATCTTTACTTTTGTCAAAAGTGACCTTAAAAAGTATCCTTTTTATGGTTTGTTTACATTTTGTCTCACGCCAATGTGAATAGACTATAGCTCAATCGCTCGGTCAGTCAAGTCAAGCAAGTCAGTCAGTCGTCAAAGCATAAACTGCAAATCGGATCGACATTATCTATCATGCTTTGCTAAGTCGCTATTTGATAATTTGTTCTCTCAATTGTTTACACCTGGGTAAAATAATGGCATTATTAAAACAAAGTTATGTAACGAAGGAGTAGGAAATACGACGCGTGCGAAGAAGTTGATCCAGTAATGGAAGCTGTTGCAAAAACACATACTTTGTAGTAAACATATTATGTTTAATAAATATTTTGCATGTTGGGGGGTTTTTCTTCAAAAACGTGTATTTTGGGGGGGTTTCGGGTAAGTTTTGGGGGGAGGCGAAATGGCTTTCTGGTAACACTGTTGATAAAAAAACATACTTTAAGGCAACACTTGCGAAAAGCGGAGAAAGTTTCGATAGCGAACATATTGAGCGCCGTGAGCTGCAGTGAGCGCCGTGAGCTGCAGTGAGCGCGCGGCCGGCGTAGGCAACGGCTGGAGGTGCAACAGGGCGCAGTGGGCACCAAATTTTAGAATAAGCGTTATCGATACAAAAAGAAATACTTACAGTAAATATAACAAGAATCTTTATGAATGTGGCGAAAATTTGAACTAACGCCGCCGTCTTAGTAAACGTCATATTTTGTATGTCATTTACGGTAATTTATGTAAACAGTGGCGCCCTCCCTGAACTGTCACTCGCATTCATAAAGATCCTCGTCGCACTGAAAATACCTTTCAGGGAAGCGGCGGTGGTTTCGACGGCGAACATATTGAGCGCCGTAAGTTGCAGTAAGCGCGCGGCCGGCGTAGGTAACGGCTGGCGGTGCAAAAGGGCGCGGAACTGACGCAACATTGACGACGCGCACTCGTGGAAACTTTCCATACTGTCTCGAAACAAATAAATTATAATATAGTTATGAACATTACTATTCTGTAGCCCTAATAGCTAACGGTTTTTGACAAATGGAAGTGATAATCACCGAGCTATTTATTGATCCACTACTGCTTTATTACAGCGCCACTAGGGTCCACTTGTAACAATTTTGCTAAATCACGATACAACTACATTTATCCCATGGAAAAATGACAAAACGTGAATGTCAATTTGACATTATTGTATAGATTACATCTAGTTTTAGTTAAATTGAGATTTAGCAAACTTGGTGGAAGTGCACCTAAGACTTGTCATTCGCAACAGTATCACGTTGAAATGTTGAGCCGCTTAATTTATAATCAAAATGTATAAAATTTTGTTACCGACTATAAGTGACAACAATACACTTTGACGGATTCAAATCCAAATGATTTTCAACACAATAAATTTCAAGTCTGTTAAGGTCCTCCTGGAACGAAATAACGTCAGCGGTAAAGGTACAATTATCTTTATATGGATATGCAAGTTTGTCTTTAGTTACTCACTGTAACGTCAAAATAATTAGGCCCTCTGAAGTCCATAACTATTCTCTTTTTACGATTTCATACCTAAAGGGCGACAGAAAATAGAACACCATAAGTCTCACCTAAGAAAATTTTACTAGAAAAAAAATAACTCGGGCGACTCATAAAACGGGATTCGAGCCCGCTATCCGGGTGGACGCAATATCCAAATAATAATAAAAACTTTAGATTTTTAAATGTAATGATTTATAAATGAGTAAATGTATCCAACACTCACACCAATTAGCCCAGCCCCAAGCACTGTAGGCTTGTGTTATGGGATACTAGGGTAACTGATACATATAAAACATCCATTACTGGAGTACAAATGCTCGTATTCATCACACAAACAACTGTCCCACCGGGTTTCGAACCCGGGACCTCTTGGGTAGGCGACGCCTTGAAACCCAGCGTACATACACTCGGCCACGGAGGTCGTCAATAGTAGTTCAATGCTTAAAATAAAAAAAACAATTATTAATTTTGGTTTAAAGGTTTTGCGAGTAAAGATGAAGAAGCTTAGTGATGGGAATAGGCTATTTGACTAATTTTAGAAAACGTTCATACGTTATTTATATGTGTATAGTGACTAAATAAAAAGTCGATAATTATAATTCTGTTGCGTATATCAGTAAAAAAACGAAAATAAAAATTGTGTTTTCAAATATGCCGCGCAAACGTTTCTCTTGTAAAAATGTGGCGTCTCAGGTGACGTCATACGGCTCTCATTAAGACGTCAAACAGTACAAAGTAATGTCACTTCAACAGCATGAATACAAGCAGGTGACGTCATTTTAGACTCCGCCAATCCTAGGCGTTTTAGGTCATATGACAATAGATCAAAAATATTTTTCTATTGCATGATTTTTAGTAATATTATCAACTACTTTTTTGGCAGAATAGTGAAATTGCTCCCCATATTCACGTTAAATATACATGGTAATGATTGGTATTTTATTTTTTATATTGCCAAATAGCCTATAGAGCAGGGGTGGCCAACCAGTCGATCGTGGCTAGGCAAAACATATAAATAAGTAGAACAGACTGCGCATCGTAATCACAAACTGCTCTACGCATTTTCTTTATCCTCTCTTCCATAGTGATGATATCTATGAATTGGCTTCAAAATTTGCAAATACATTTCAAATGGACCACTTTTAATAATGATTCTGCGCAGCAATATAAGTAGTTACTAAGGCACTCTTTCACTTTTATGTTTGCCCTCTTAATAAAATAACAAAATACTACATAGTTGTGTACTGAACTTTGCTGTTTCGTTTAAGATTTCAAGAAGTATGTAATTGATAGATCGCACAGGGTTTCGACAGTAAAATCTTGGGTTTAATCAAGTCGTCCACCCCTGCTATAGAGCCTTTGAAATTTATTATAATAAATAAATAGATGGATAATTGAATTCTGAAACAAGTAACAGTATCTTTTAGATGATCTACTTACCCAATTTTCGTAATTAATTTTCCGTGTACATGCAGGTAACTAGTTATAAAGGTTTTATTTAACTGAAACAAAAAAAAATGTTTAGAACACTTCTCTTAGTCTAAGAGTTATATGTAGGTCAAGAAAAGCAAGCAAAGTTTCTTATGCTACATCAACAAAAAGACGTCCCAATACAATTAAGACCATTTAAGTGTTTCCAATGATGCTAGAGTTCCATCCAAGAACAGAATGTAATAAAATGTAACGGTAAAGAAAAAAGTAAGTTGAACGTCGAGAAAGAAAAGTTACTTACTATTATTAGATACCAATACGGTATGCCATCGGTCAATTTTATTACGAGATCAATGTCGCAGGGGTTAGCGCGTTCTATCTACGAGCGTGGATATAAAGCAATTTTTGCTATGGCCGGTCGTAGAATGGATGATAAAAAATTTATAACCTCGCACTGCTTCGTGCTTCTGAAGACATGCTACGCCGTTGGTGCCGGTCTGCAGTCGTTAGCACCCACCAATGGCTGAATAAAATGGAGTCATAGCTTTAGTCTCTCAATATGGACGATGGCGGGGTAAATAAACAAAATTCCATTAAGGCTTGTATTATAGAAAGATTCTCAGTAATGAATCTAGTCTTGAGCATAGTTAGAAAGGGATGTCGCTTTATATACCACATAGCGACATCCCTTTCTAACTATACTCAAGTAAAGATCAACACTTAGTTGTCATTCTGTAATACGGGCCTCAGTCCGTCAGCTAGATTTTTCAAAAAAATGGATACTTATTTTTTCTTTGTCAGCCAACCAAAAATTATAAAGTTCAAGAACGTAAATGTTGGGGAGTGGGGGCTCGTGACGTCACTTCTAGTTAAATACTGTACCAAGTCGTGACGTCATGCGATATTTCAAATCCATATATCTCTGTAATATTATTTTGGTTATATGAAACAAGCTTAAAATTCGTTTCCAATACTGATCTACCTGATAGACGAAGCAAAAACAGTTAGTCATCATCCCTATTCCGTCATATAACCATTAACCCCTGCTCTGTGTACCCCACTATTGTTTTTCACGGCTCAAAAAAAATCGTCTTATTAATTGAGTTCTGTACATACAGGCTTCATTTATGTCTTAAATCAATCCTGAATATTTTCTCTAGTAACTCATCTATATATTAGATGTATAAATTGAAAACCATTACTAAATAATGATAAAACGCAAAATATGGAAAATGAAGAAAATATGAAAATTACTTTCTCACTTATGGCAGAATTTACACAGGCGAGGGGTTAATAGACCGTTGATAATTATGACGTCACGCTCACCTCCACGGAGGTCATGGCGGCGAGGCGCTCGTCCCCGGTGTCTTGCTGCAGGGTGGTGGTCCTCCTGCCGCTGGGCCGCACCCACACCTCGCGTCTGAACCCGTGACCGCCACGCCTGCACTGCACCACCTCCCCCGAAGAATCACCGTTACGGGCGCCTTCCAACGCCGCCCGCCGCTTACGTTCCGCTGCTTCGTACTATAAAAATATTATTAAGCTAGCGAACGACAGAGACGAATTTCTACCGATAGACATAGAAAAGCGAAGCTAACTTAGCGAAACAAGTTGGGTGAAAACCCAAACGCCAATTACACGTAACATTTAATGGGATGGGGTAATTTACCGCGCCTTGTATAAAAAAGTGATGGTTTTTTTTTTCTACAAGGCGCGGCAATTTGCCCACTCTGCGGCCTGTTACCATTTTTTCAGTCAAGATTATTTCATCGTTACGGGATAAAAAACGTCTACTAAAGATAATAAATACCTGCTTTTAATTTAAAATATTCAAACTATAAAATAATAAACTGGCTTTTTAAGTGTTATGAGTATGTATTATTATTTATACACAATGTGCACCTTCCTGTCTCTTGGTAACACACACTTGGTACTATGTAAGCACAAAAACTTTTGATATTCAAAAACAAGTAGACACACAATCGCGCTAAAAATGTGTCGGAACCAAAATTTCGCACACGCGTCTATTGTGCATTATTTACAAACAGTTTGCGCGTCTATTGTGCGTTATTTACAAAAAGTGTGCAAATGACACCAGGGCTGTATTCCGAAATATACACCAGTACACTGGCTAGCGGTAATGACGTCATGATTTCGACGCCATATTGCACTGGTGTGCCGCCATACGAGCTGGTGAGAATACTGTGACGTAATTATTTATTAGCCGGGTGTATACGCTCTGCAGTTAGTGAAGTTCTTTTTTGTATTAATTTGATAATAATGGAATCTCAACAAACAGGAAAATTTATTATAATTTTTGGAGCATGAACGTTGCACACAAACACGAGACTGCTTGAATATACCGCCAGTTCATGACGTTACCGCGCTGATCAGTGTATTTCGAACGAATCAACAGCATGGCGTCGAATCATGGCGTCATTACCGCTGGCCAGCGTACCGGTGTATATTTCGGAACACACCCCAGATCAACAGATAAAAAACTTCGTCGTATTTCTTATTTTAAAAATGTATGAAACATAATGTCTATTTGACTGACGTAGATTCCGGCTTCCATCCGCAGTGAAGGTATGGAACGGAAAATATCAGTATCTTGTAAGGTCATTGATCTTGTTTGTAAGTTTAGATGTATTGTGACGCCACATCCAAGCATTCGAAAATAGCGCACTTTTTTACATTTTTTTAGACACTATACTATTTTTTCGACATAGATTTTTTTTATACTAAATAAAGGAGAAGAAAACTACAAAAAAAAATCATGCATATCAAAATGTGTTAACGTTATCTGTATAATATGATACATATATATAACACTGCGCCGCTCAGAAGTCTTTTAATGTACTTTTGTTAGGCGATTGGGAGTGTGTTTGTTTTTATACGTCAATGACAATAACAAAAAAGAAATATTTTCCTAATGAGACTTAGAACGAAAATAGAAGATGGAATACACTAACTAACCTTACTGCAACATTTTGTAAACCAGGATATTTTCAGAATATATTATTGAGTTGGCAATTTGCCACTATGTTTTCAAAATACAAGTACCTACTGCAACAATCAAGACAATTCCAACAGTAAAGTTAAGAAAAATAAAATAACGCACCTTTTTACTGTTTTCATCGAATAGTGACAGAAGACTTTCACGTGCGGAATGAAATGGATTCGACGACATTAAACTTCTCATATAATAATATACTGCATCTAGTTTCCTCCTCTGAAAACAAAATTACATTGTTAATTTTTTTTTTTTACAAATTTACTCTTTAAAACAGTGTCAAGTAAGGCATACTCACAGCATAAATTGCTAGAATTGCTAATTGATTGTAAGGCCTTCCATTTTTGGGATTAATCTGTTGTGCTTTCGTATACCAAAACTTACTCTTAGCGAAGTTATTTGTCTCGTTAACTTGTTCCTTGTACCTCGCTAAGTCTCCAAGGAATATATATAACTTTTGAACTGAGATCAGTGCTAAACCAACATAACCGAGCCCTTTGGGGGGTATCACATGATTGTCATTAATATAATCGTCAGTGTTAAATTTGTAACATTTTTCTAAATGTTGCACCAGACTTTCGAAGAAACTGTTACCTTCTTCAATAACAGTATTGATCAATTTTACTATTTTAATTTTATCATCAGGTGAAACTTGCGAAAAACTTTTCCTTAACACCTCTATAAAATTGTAATATAAAATCTTCCAAAAATGATGTTCAATATTGTCAGCTTGGCAATATTTGAGATCAGCCATCAACAGTCGTTGCAGCGCACTTTGTAAGAATTTTCTGTAAATAAATAAATATAAAAAATTATGTATACATACAAACCTACTCATCACCAAATTGTGAATATTATATTTTATTAAAGAAACAACAATGCTATGAGAATGCGAGTGTATGGTTTAGCTACTTTACTACAGAACAAAGGCAATGATGCAAAAGTGGTAGTCCATTTCCAGACACTTTTGAATTTTTATTTACCTCCGATTAATTATAAATCGTGTTTAAAAATTAAACAATCTTGTAAGGATGCTGTGGGCAACATCCATATAAAATATAACGTTACTTATGACAGAGCCCTGTAAAAAGTAACTTCATATTTTTAGTGTGTGGCAACATAAAAAGTCAACTGCATCACTAAGGCAAATGTCAAACAGTCCAATCATGCATGCTATTCGTGAAAACGTGGTGAACTTATTAAACCAATTTATGATTATTCTTCTTAAAATAAAATACCCACAAATCACATATTAATGTAATGAAAGATGAACAGAATAATTATCACTGTTTTAATTACCTATAGAATAGAATATATTTGATGCTTTGGCAACACAAAATAGATAAATAAACTTGCCATTTGCCAATAAATAATTACATAATTTTATTTTACAATAATTATTTTAAAAAACGGAGATAAAATATAATCTAATTTTTTGTCACATGTTTCTCAATTAAGTGCACTATATGTCATAAAAATTTGGAGTCTGCTGGAGACTTACTCTCTCCCTCCATACAAATTTTAACCTTGTCCTTTCTTAGCAAAGTGGTCGTCTGTCATCATCACCATGTCCACTCTGCCGGACGTTACACAAGCATTCTCTAGGAAGAAGGTGCTAACAGTACGGAACCATACACAATCAAACCGTACGCATTAGTCTCTCTGAAATAGCACCAGATTTTACAGTAACAGTTTTATAACACCTGGTGAGGAGCTCGGTGATGCAAGCGCGTTCGGCTGCGAGCGTTGAAGCAACTTTCGCAGTGGACGGTCATTGGATGGGTGACCAAAAATTTTCTATCCCGAGCACCGCCGTGCTTTGGAAGGCACGTTGGTCCCGGCTGCGTCTGCAACCGTTAGCACCCACCAATCCGTAGCGCACGGTGGATCATGGCCTAATCTCCGTATTCCATCCATAGGGAAGGCCTATGAACCAGCAGTGGGAACATTACAGGTCAGCTAGACACTAGGCGGGGCTGGACGGCAACGCAGCGCTGGCGCAATATAAACAGTTGTAATGTACCAGTTATTATGAAATACGTCAGACGGCGCTATGTAAAGGATTTCACAATAACTGATTACTTACAACTGTATATATCGCGCCAGCGTCACGTTGCCGTCCAGCACTGCCCGCTGTCTGGCTGAACCTTTAATAGGGTGATGATGATGATGAATACCTGGTCTCTGTGACGTCCTCCCAGTGCGCGGCTAGTCCTAGAGGGCCGCGCAGGATATGCGTCTGCAGTATCGCGTCTGCACGGTCCACCTCCTGCAGTAACGAGCGGTGTCGGGCCGCACGCGCCGCGTCTCCGGCTTCGTAGCCGGACGCGATACGAGACGACGCCTCCTTTATACCTAGTACATAACACGTAAATCAGTCAAATAACAATGTAAAGTAAATAATACAGGCTTGTTATTTATTCACTAATGTTTGGAAATCAAATTACTGATTGACAACGTCAATTGGGCGCCATAAATTTAGGGTAGTGAGCCAATGATTTATTGGGACTAGGAAAAAATAATTTTCCCTATATGCATGTACAATCAACGAATTAGAAATGATATGGAAGCATTTCTCTCTTACAAAGGCCGCTAAAACATGGTTCCAAACTCATACAACTAAACTTCAATACTAACGCGACACGCACAAAGACTAAATAAAATACTTTGACTTATCAAATTTTTACAACTGAATTCAACTATCCTAGAGTAAGATGTTAAACGGAAATCTCGACCAATCCCATGAACTGCGCGTTGAGCACAGTTTTTTCGCCCTGCCCACTTGATCGCAGTTTGTGTGGAACCACTTTTTAGCGCAGTTGCTATTCCACATTATTTCTTATTAGTTGGTCACAATACTTATTTTTACTTATGATGATAAAACTACGTAAATGATACAGAAGACTAATGTTTATGTAGAATAGGACAAAATTACCTCTCTCCATTCTAATGTCCACTTTCGTTGGACTAGTTTGGACAATAATAGGCTTTGATGGGTTGTGATGATCGAACAAAGTTTTTTGTGTCTCTGTGGAACCAGTACGGCTAGAAACAAAAAAGAACTTTTAATTGGTACAGTGCTGTTTCTGGAAACTATCAAGGAATATAGTGAATATAGTTTACCCAGTATCTTTCTGCATGTGCGATATAGAACTTTGTGGTAGCACAAGTAGTCCCGGTTGATTTGTTGATGTCTCTGTCAGGGACTTGTCTGACATCGTGCTGTTCTTCCTAGTGCGATGATTGGTTTCAGACAATGGGTCATGAGGGTTATGCTTTTTCGACTCGAGAATTTCCTCGCGCCAGTTTAATGTACCGGGCGTGGAGGCGCATGTGTTGTGTGCGGGAGGATGATGCGTGGGCGCATGATGCGACGGAACATGATGCGTCGGAGCATGATGCGCGGGCGCTTGATGTTGATGCGATGAAGAATGAAGTGAAGCAGAATTATGCGCTGGCGGAGCGGCATCCGAGTTCCTTCCACGGCGGCGACCAGCTCGTTTTCTTGGGCGCCTACCGCAACCTTCACTGCTCGTCATTTCTACATTTCCCCCCTCCCCTGCGTCCCCACCGCCACCGCCCGTTTGCATATTCGGTCCGGGTGAATGTCGGCCCGGTTCTAAACTCGACGCATGTCCTGGACCCCATACGCCATTGCTACGTTTCTAAAATTTTATGAAAATAACATAAAGAATACGCATAAAATTTGTGGGGTCCTGATTATTATTTATATATAACTACAATAGACAATACCTATAATAATAACGCAGATTGAAATTAAACTTAATTATGTATTTTTTATGAAAAACATATTATCACAAACCTGGTTATTTGATGATGACTTTGTAAAAGTAGATGGTACGCGAAAACCATCACTATCTCTTGGACTCATTGCACGATTAGCTGATGTGTCTCTACTATTACACTGTGATACAATTCTCCTAAAATAAAGGTAAAATAAATTAAGATTTGAAGGTGCATTTCGATTCCATTAAAGTTTTAATAATACAAAACTGTACCCTTCAGCACTCGCCTCTCTGCTGTAAGACCTCAATGAGCGCCAACGATCTAAATCATCTCTACTGTTTCCTATAGTTGATGAGCGGTTACTTCGGTGGCTATCTCTTCTTTCTCTGTCTCTCTGCTTCAGATTGGAAAATTTAGCTTCATGTTGGACACTAACATTACTATCTTTTCTATTTCTTTCTGGTTCATATTGAATACTTGCATTACTATCTTTTCGGTTACGCTCTGTTTTCTTTTCGGGGTTTTTATGGCCTCTACTAGAACTTCTGTTAAAAAGAAATTCGAATCAAAATAACAAGGAGAATGATTATCTTAAATCCCTTCCCTAAAATATGATTGAGCAAAGCGATGGCTGATTCATGCGTAATGCTCGTGAACGGGTGCTGCCAGCGGAGATGAGTCCGCCCCGACTACTTTGACATTGAAAATGTTAATATCTAGTTACAACTAATATAAATAACACTATTTGTATTTATACTGTAAGACACAGCAATCAAAATGCGGGTGAACAATTAATGTATATTATACATTATGTAATGAAAGGTGACTTCATGAATCATCTCTGAAGTCATTTCTCAACTTGACGACTCTGTAAATAATAAAACAGGGAGAAAAACAGCCCTTGCTAAGTCTCTTGCCGGTTCTTCTCAGTACAAGGTCTCCCGCCGTAGATTTACGAACAGATGCTGATGTAGCTTCTAGATTTTCATGAGTGCTTGTAACAGTCTAAACTGAATAAATGATTATGATTACTATGATTAAGGCCGTATTACGAGGATTCCGGACAAGTTTTATTTATACTCGTGGCCTGCCCTCTCTTCGCTTTGTTGTAGACTATAGTTTTAAATCTTTTGTTTTACATTTTCAGCAAGCAATTGAAATACAAATACCAAATATGTATTTTAATTAAGTGTTTTAATTATAATTAATTCAATTAATATCTAACCCTAATCCTACTAAAATATAAATGTGAAAGTTTGTATGTTTGTTACACATTCACGAACAACACGCTGAACTTAGCACACACATAGTTTATTATCTGGATTTAGATTTAAGATACTTTTTATACTATAGTCACTGAGGGATTCTCAAAAACTCAAGTTAACGCGAACGAAGGCGTGGGCGGTGTTAAGTGAACAACGCACGAGCCGCTAAAATGCGGCGGATGGCGGTTGAGCGTAATTATGTTAATTTTTATAGGCGTATAGGTACGACAACGCACTGGGAGCGGACGCCGCCATTGGGCGCGGTGCACACGGTAGCCGCGAGGACCCGAGGCTTTATTTTTTCAGACTTGTAGAGAGACCACGCCCGTCCCCTCAAGGTCACGTGGTTTTGCCTTCTAAACTTTTTTCGAGAGTTTGACTTCGTGGTTTGCGGAAAAATGGACGGATCATCAGGGCGGTTTTAGCAGGAGCATCCGCGCTTTAACGCGGCACCGCTTCTGAACCATCCGCCGCGTAGTGCGTTGTGCACCTTAGTGTCCAATAAATCCATAAAAATCTATACAAAAATGATATCAAATCGTCGAATATCATCCAATAAACCCCGTAAACACTGTAAAATTTATATGAATTCATCATAAATACCGGAGTAAACGCGGATGTGTATTCTCATTTAAATTACATATATGCATCCTTTGATGAGAGGGATACTTTTCATCAATTTAATTTTTAACATTATACAATATAAAAAGAAATGTAGTAAGTATATAAAGTAAAAAGTTCAGACAAAAATCATTCTTAACCTTTTATCTCTTCGCCTAGATCGTCCATTCCTTTTTGATTCTCGAGGTTCTATTGGCTTATTTTCTTGGGATACTATAGGTTTCGTGCTTTGTGAAAAGCTAGTGGAGGTGTCAGAAACTTCATCCAACTTTATATTTTTCTCCACTTCTTCAGTCCAATCCTAAAACATAAACAGTATAAATTGAAAACAATAACTCGTCAAATACAAGTGAAACCCGCACCCAAAATCATTTGGGTAAACTCAGGAGCATATTTACCCTAGGGCCAACGGGGCAATGGCCCAGAGCAGCATTTGGGGGATGAAGTGACTTGCGTCCTTAAGATTTACCACCTTTTCCTAGGCCCACAAGTGGCCCTACACGTGTCCCCTTTGGTGGTGCAAAACAAGTGACAACGCCGAGACTCCAGAGCGGTCTTTAATAACATGACCCCCATAGTTTACTTTATGGCATCTTACAGATTCTGTGAGGATTAAATAACCTCAGAAAGTCTGTGTGCAATGTTCTGGTGTCACTGTGCAGTTTGGGCGGGGGATGTGTTAAGTTTGTATACAGCACAAGACGGCTAAACCTAACACTTCACCTATTTTACCATTCTGTGTCCCGTTTGGTAATCTGGTGAGGGGTGGTGACCGGAACAGTAGTCGCAATGCTGATGGACACAGACCAGACAATGACGGACAGACTGATCAACTTAAACTCAGTAAGAGGGCGAGGAAAATCAGGAACCGACAGAAGGCTTTGGAGGACGCCAAGAAATTGGCGCATACTAGCACTCGTAGCGACAAAAAGACAGACCAAGACACACACACAGACAGACAAGAGACCTCCAAGCGACCTAGGCTAGATGACACGGTTTCACCGAGGTGGGAGCACAAGAAGCCCAAATCGGAAGATCCGCGCCAGGGACCTGGGAGGCCCTCATTTGCCGACGCTGCCAAAGCTGACCTACTGGTGGTGATCACCAGTAAGAAGACCGGACACATCAGCGCTGCCGTGGCTGGACAAGTCCTTAAAGCGCTAGAAGAGGCAATTGTTGAGGAAACGCTTAAGGCGATTGGATGCCCAACAATCGAAGGACCGTCTCTCAAGGGGAAACCCATGATTGCAGACGGAGCCTTGAGCCTCTGGTGCAAAACACCCCAGTCACTGGAGTGGCTGAAGAGGACGGTGGGGACACTGAAAGTGACGGGGGTGGAGGACTTGATCGTCCAAAGAAGAGATAGACCGACCTAGCAGGGTGGTATGTGGGCTGCTCATACCGGACATCCGAGAGCCCTATACCATTGTCAAGGTGCTTCGGTATCAAAACCTTGATGCTGAAGTAACCGTTGGCTGCTACATAAGGCAATTACTGGCGACACGAGCACCTTTCTGGTGTTTAGTACGACACAGGATGTTGCGGAGAAGTTGGTAGCGAGGAGGAGGCAACTCAGCTATCTACTGGGCTCTGTGTACGTGAGGTTCAGGAGCAAGGGCGGTCCGTACCTTGAGACCCTGCCACCTCTAGAGCATACAACACCGGCTCCGTCACAGAGAGAACCAGAGCCTCCTGAGACGCCGCAGCGTATGACTGAAACAGACGACACCTCGGCCACCTGCGATCCTGCTTCGATGGAGCGGATGGAGCAGGAGGTTGTAGACGAGTGGGCAGACAGACTCGGTGGGATTAACATCGATCAGGAGGTCGATGTTGATGTGCTGCTATCGTCCGATGGCGCCTCCACCACCGACCATTAAGACCATCCAGGCTAACCTCCAACACAGTCGCACCGCAACGGCTCAGCTCACGAGATGGTTGGAGGTTAACGACGAGGCAGTGGTTCTGATCCAGGAGCCGTGGGTCAGATCCAATAGCGTATGCGGCTTCAAAAACAGCGGTGGTAAGACATTCTATACAGCAAAGAACCGTGCTCCGCGGTCCTGTATCATATGTTCTACTACCATACAGGCACAATTAATGACACAATTCTGTTCTAGCGACCTAACGACCATTAAAATAAAACAATCGCAAGATCCAAGTGTACCCGATCTGGTGATGGCCTCCACCTACATGCATGAGGAGGAGTCGGCACCACCAGATGAACTAGTGGAGCTGGTGAGATACTGCGAACAAAACGACATGGCGCTGATCATCGGCGCTGACGCCAACGCCCTTCATCCTCTATGGGGCATGCCAAACAGCAACAAGCGAGGTGAGGACTTAGTAGACTTTCTTTTTACGACAGACCTGAGCATCCTAAATATAGGGTCGGCTCCAACATTCGTGACAAGAAGAGCAAGAACCATCATAGACTTAACCCTGGCGACGAGGATGGGTGCCAAGCTGGTGTCCGACTGGAAGGTTTCCATGGAGGCCTCCTGCTCGGACCACAGATGGATCACTTTCAAACTCGCTATACACACTGTAATCCCGACACCCAGGCGCATACCTAGAACGAATAAGAAGCACTATACACTACAGGTAACTCAATCCCTACAGCGCATGCAGCTCAGGGACTATGAGGACACCGAGACAATAGACAAGACCACCGAGGAGCTGACTGAGGCTATCATGTCCGGCTACCGGAATGCATGCCCCCTCAGCACACCTAGGACTAACCCTTTTTTTTGTGACGAGGGGAATGCAGTTACGCACCATACGGTGACGCTGACTAGGCGCACGACGTGTGTGGGACTCGCCGGCACGGGAAACAGTGCCGACCCTACTCAAGCAGGACCAGTGCGGAAGGCCACACTGATCCTACTCCACTAAAACCCCCCGGTACCCTCCTACGCCCATATGGGGGCGTCTCAGGATCGACGCACCTTAGCGTGCGCCACTTCACTGGGACGCCCCCGGAAAAATGTTGAACGCTTCACGATTTTGCGTGTCATCCTTGCGCAGGGGCCATGCTAATCTTCTCTGTATCGTACCTAGGACTAACCCTAGTAACAAAAACTCCTGGTGGAAGGAAGGTGTGAAAAAACTTGCAAGACTGAGGAAAAAGGTAAGACGCCTCTTTAACAGGGCCATGAACACCTGTGATGACCAAGACTGGGACGCATATAGAGATGCAAAATCTCTCTACAAAAGACGAATTCGGCACTGGAGCGATGGGTCATGGCGCAAATTCTGCACCAGCATTGACACGTGTTCCACGGCAAACAAAGTAAGAAAATTACTCGGCAAAGACAACTCACAGGACTTGGGCCAGCTGTGCAGACCTGACGGGACATACACCTCAACACCGGAAGAAGCACAGAGGCTACTCCTGGAGACACACTTTCCGGGCTGTGTGATGAAGCCAGCACATGTCTGGGGGGGAAACACTTGGACACCGACCTTACACTGCTGGGACATAGCTAAAAAGATAGTATCACAGGACAAGGTTAAATGGGCACTAAATAGTTTCCAACCTTTCAAGGCCGCGGGTCCGGATGGAATTTTCCCGGCACTTTTTCAGTGGGCGGGAGATGACCTAATACGGATCCTGGTAGCTCTACTAAGAGCATGCCTGGCCTACAGGTACACACCCAAACTGTGGAGGGATGTCAGAGTAACTTTCATCCCTAAACCAGGTAAGAGCGACTATAGTGAGCCAAAATCATACAGACCAATTAGCCTCTCTTCTTTCTTACTAAAATTATTAGAGAGGCTTTGCGACAGAGAACTAAGAGACAATCAACTGACTAAGGCAACGCTTCACCCAAATCAACATGCCTACAGTCCAGGTAAATCGACAGAATCGGCTTTGCATGCCGTAGTAAACATGATCGAGGACAGCCTAGGACGTAAGGAGCTTTGCCTAGGCACATTCATAGACATAAAGGAGGCATTTGACAAAACCAGTTTTAGCAGCATTACGACAGCCCTACTTAGACACGGAGCTGATGAGACCATCGTCCAGTGGATAAGTAACATGCTATCTAACAGGTTAATAAGACCACAAGGAGAGAATCAACTGCGAGCACTGGCTACGAGAGGTTGCCCTCAAGGGGGGGTACTCTCACCACTACTTTGGAATACAGTTGTGAACGACCTCATAACAAGACAGAACAATCTGCACTACCTCACAATAGGATATGCAGATGACCTGGCGATCCTAATCCCGGGTAAGTTTGCGGACACGGTTTGCGATGTGACACAAAGGGCACTGAGAGTGGTAGAGATATGGTGCTCGGACTATGGACTAAAGGTAAACCCGGGTAAAACAGAACTAGTTCTGTTCACCAACAAAAGGAACCTGGGCAGCTACCGCATGCCAGTATTATTCGGCAAGACGCTGTGTTTCTCCAAGGAGGTAAAGTATTTAGGCATAAACCTAGACGCCAAACTCAACTGGGCAACACATATAGACAAAACCATTAAGGAAGCCTGCATCATTTTGTACCAATGCAAGAGGATGCTGGGTAAGAGGTGGGGCTTATCCCCCTTTATAACAAAATGGCTATACACGACAATAATAAGACCCATCATAGGCTATGCAGCGCTTGTATGGTGGACGAAGACAACACAGGTAACAACCATAGACAAACTTAAGTGCTTCCAAGGGAGGGTCTGCCGGGCTATAACGGGCTGCATGAAAACCACCCCTACTGCAGCACTAGAGACGATTCTGAACGTAAGACCACTACATTTCTACATCGAGCAAGAAGCAGCATGTGCGTCTACTAGGCTCCATATGCTAGGCTTGTGGAGAGACTACAATACGCCACATACACGTATTCTAAAAGGCATTGAGGAAGAATACCCCTTCTTCATGGACATCGACAAACGACATCATCCCTAGACAGTATGTATTTGACAAAAAATATAGAATACAACTATATGAAAACAATCCTGACCGAGGACTACACAAGGAGCTGAGGGTATACACAGACGGCTCCAAAACCAACTCAGGTACTGGTGCAGGTGTGTTCTCCGAGGATATCAACATTCATATATCAGACAGCCTGGGCATCCTCAATACGGTCTTTCAGGCGGAGTGTATAGGCATTGTCATAGCAGCGGAGGCCATCACAAAACGTGCAATCAGGGGTAGGAACATCCGGATACTCTCTGACAGTGCCTCGGTACTCCAGGCGCTAGACAACAATGTAATGACGTCCGGCTTGGTTTTTGAATGCCACTGCAAACTCATGGAGGTAGGCAGAGAAAACGAGGTCATACTCCAATGGATAAAAGGACAGTGGGTCAAGGGTAGGGTTGCAACGATATATCGGAATATCGATAATATCGAGACCAAAATATCGATATTTATATCGATATTTAAAATTCACTAAAATCGATAATATCGATATCGGAAATTCTAAAATATCGATATTTCGTAGACTAAATTTGAACACAATAATATCAATTAATTTACCTGCTATGACTATCTAAATTGAATAATATCGAAATAACTATTACTTTGAAATCGCAAGAGCTTATAGATATATTAAAAAAATCTTGAACCCCAAGAAATATACTAAACTGGTGTGGATTCTGGCATAATTCTCTAAACCTAATATTAAATTTGACAACAGTGTATCCTTATCATTATCTATACAGAATGAAAAGGAGAGACTGATGTTACATTTAGTTTTAAGTTTAGATAATCATGCCAGAATCGACACCAACGTTATATACGTTAGGTATAATCGTATACCTAATAGTAACTCATGCACTGAAATAAAATCCTTGCCTCTCTTTCTAGATAATTGTCAACTACTGATTAATTGAAATTTAATATCATTGTAATATAACACAAAATAAAATTAAGAATCTTATACAAATCGTAAATTTTTTAAGCTCACGAAGTCAAAAAAGTAAGATAGGTATAGTAATTTTGGAAGCTTTGGGCTTACCCTATTCTGAAGCCATGGGCACGCCCCTGATGTGTGGGAGACTAAGCAATTTGCGTATTTGATGTGCGCTAAAAAACCGACATAGCTTGGAAAAACACGAATGTAGTGAAAACTTAGCGAAGGCATTCGCAAATGTCGTCCCACATATGCGGGTTGGCGCATTCGTGCTAACGAATGTGAGTGATCTGATCAGGATAATAATTTTAATTTTTTGGTTTCCTGTCGTGGCTGAAACACAAACCGTGCTAGCCACTTAAAAAAAAATCCTGCTTGGCGCGATTTCATCAAGCGTGTTTAACTAAAAAGCTGGCTCAATGCATTTTGCGAGAAACTCGCCAACAAACATATGAATGTGTCACACTCACCCCGTTTTCTAATTCCAATAAAAAGGAAAAAATATCGATATATCGATAATATCGAGTTAAAATGGTCGATATATCGGATATCGATATTTTCCTGACTTCGATATAAATATCGATATAAATATCGATATTTCAAAAGACTTTGCATCCCTAGTCAAGGGGCAATGATGCAGCAGATTGTCTGGCCAGGAGAGGGTCGGACACTGTGGTATATGGCCCAGAACCAATCGTACCGATCCCATACCGGCAGCTGCGAAGTTGGATTAGGGAACGGTACCTGCGACAACACAACGAATACTAGGCTGGACTTGCAGACTGCTGGCACGCCAGGGATGCCATACCTAAGGTAGACCTACGGCTAGCAAGTAAGTTCTGCAAGTTACCAAGACATGCTCTGAAACAAATAGTGAGCATTCTCACGGGACACGGACACTTTAATAAAGATCTGTTTAAAATAGGTGTCTCGGACAGTCCTCTGTGCAGAGCCTGCATGGAGGAAGAGACGAGCACTCACGTCCTGCTGCAGTGCAGAGGCGTGACCAGACATCGGATGACACACCTGGGCAGCCCGCAGACGCTACTCGAGGCCTGCGGCGACACCAAGAGACTGCTGAGCTTCTTGGGGGAGCTGGGATGGCACGACTAAGTGATCCACCTTCACCATCACATGATCACGAGATCCAGACACAGAACTGATTCAGAGAGCTGCAGTTAGATGAAGAAGAAGAAAAACTCACCAAAAGCAAAATAAACCTTCTCCAATCATGCTCTATGGAATCAAAGACTTAACAAAACTCAATGAACTCATCGGGCCTATACTAGATAGATCTGAGTACAGCTATAAGATCATCACCAAAAAACAACAAAGAATATTTTGTAATAGTGTTGAAGCATTCATTTTTTTTTTTTTATAAGCGAAGATAAAGTATTTCTACTAATTATTAATACTATACATATATTCTACAAATTTTTATTCAGACCCACTGATTGTCCTCTACAATATTGTTTACCAAACATTGTAGCAATTTTTATGTTTATCTCAGAAGTGATATTTTATTGTTAAAGATAAATTTAGTAAAAGCTTTCTCATAGACACATTTTTAATGCTCAATTAAGCATTATTCAAAAATTATCATTTGATAATAAAAAGGTAAAGAACCTAAGTTTTCATTTACATCAGCATCAGCCTATACTGATCAGAAAGTAGGGTCAATTGGGGACAGTATAACCAGAGGCACAGTGTAATATATATAAAGAATATCTCTGCTATTTGCTTGTTCTATGGTCTGTCTTCAAGTGTTTTATTAGTATTAATACTAGCAAACCAGTGAACCAAATGTTCACCAAAAAAAAAAAAAATGTATTTAATTAATTGAGAACTTCGGAGATTTTGTGTGGTTTCGTTTGAAATAGAAATCACGTGATTTCTCGAAAACCGGAAGTGCTACGTTACTCACATCCGGTTTGTAGTCTTATCAGACTATTCTTAACTTATAACTTAAACATTCTCTATATCTATCTCTTACGGTTTGGCCGCTGAAACAGCATCACGGACGGACGGACGGACTTGTCTAATAGATAAGAGATTAGAAATTCTTTTTTATACTTTATTATTGCTGTGGGCATTTTCAAATTGTTATGTACTTTTTACAGCACGAACATTGTATTCGAATTCAATAACCCTTGTTATAAGTATTATTAAGTATTTTGCCGCGGTTGGTCAGTACCTACGCTCACTGATCATCTTTTATATAAAAAGCAAACCAGTGAACCAAATGTTCAACAAAAAAAAAAATGTATTTAATTAATTGAGAACTTCGGAGATTTTGTGTGGTTTCGTTTGAAATAGAAATCGCGTGATTTCTCGAAAACCGCAAGTGCTACGTTACTCACATCCGGTTTGTAGTCTTATCAGACTATTCTCAACTTATAACTTAAACATTCTCTTTATCTATCTCTTACGGTTTGGCCGCTGAAACAGCACCACGGACGGACGGACTTGTCTAATAGATAAGAGACCAGCAAACCAGTGAACCAAATGTTCACCAAAAAAAAAAAAAAAAAATTTAATTAATTGAGAACTTTGGAGATTTTGTGTGGTTTCGTTTAAAATAGAAATCACGTGATTTCTCGAAAACCGGAAGTGCTATGTTACTCACATCCGGTTTGTAGTCTTATCAGACTATTCTTAACTTATAACTTAAACATTCTCTATATCTATCTCTTACGGTTTGGCCGCTGAAACAGCACCACGGACGGACGGACGGACTTGTCTATTAGATAAGAGATGCCTCCATCTTAAGCAGCTGTCATCAGACATAAAATGACCAGAGTATAATACAGAGTTATTCCTTAAGTTACACTGTGCCTCATGCTTAGGGCTGCCATCAGTCCGGGTTTCCCCGGATTTGTCCTAGTTTACGGGGCGTCCGGGGAGCGTCCGGGCGGGGTATTATTTGTAGTCCGGGTTTAAAAATTTACGGCAACGCATGAGTGGCCCTTGGTGCTGCAAGTGTCCATGGGCAGCAGTGACCACTTATTATGAGGTAGACCGCTAGCTCTTTTGCCTAAATCAACATTAAAAAGTTGATTTGTGACAATTTTATAACTGTTTTTTTATTGGTCTGTCCGGGTTCTGGGCTTCAAAATCCGAGGTTATCACGCGTCTTATCCTGGTTGCCACATTTTAGAGATGGCAGCCCTACTCTTGCTACAAGGTCGCCCACTACCCTACAAATACAAGGACATTTTTATGTAAAAACAGAATTGTCTTCTTAAAAAGCAGCTTGCTATATCTGTGGTGCTTATGGCACAATATCACATCCCCTTAGTGCCTTCATCTTTTATTTTTGTCATTTTCCCATCCACCACATAAGTCCACAGAATTCATAGAACTACTTACTTATTTTAGCTGTAATAAATATTTTAATTATAGATTGTAAACCATGCTCTCTCCAATATAAACACCCCTGATGCCCTATTGAATAGTAAACCAGCTCATATAATTTTATCATTATTAATGAAGGAATCTAATTATAATAAAAACTTTTATATGTAAAGAAAATTATCAATTACATGTAAAAGTATTCCATGGACATTGAAGTTGCCTGCAGTGTGAAGAGGTGGTTCTGCTTTGCAGTATAGATACAGTAAAAGACATACTAAATATCCATTAAGGATTTGGTGCAAAGCAGTCAATGCATCCACTAAATTAACAAAGGATGCTGGCCAGATCCCAGCATAGTACCTTGGCATAGAGATTTTGCTTTTTTGGAAAATTTCTTTAGATGTAAAGAACTATCAATTTAATGCAAAAAATACAATTATAAAAACTTTACTTACTAAGTTTGTCATATCCAAAAGACTTGTAGTAATTTGAGAAATCGTTTCATTTGCCTGTTGACATTCATTTGGATTTTGGGTATCGGCATGGTCATAGGAGACATCATTGGATAATCCATTTTTGGGTGCTACAATGATAATATAATTAGAAATAAATTCAGGATTAAATAAACTCTATTGAAAAATATATTTCAAACTTACAGTTATTGTAGAAATCATTTTGACTCTCAATACTACTTGACATTGGATCTGCTTTCTCACTTCTGGTGTCTAATGTGTTGGGTTCATATAAATTCATATATGAACTACTAGGAGTTGATCTTCTAGAATTGTGTACATCATTATATTTCAAATAATTGTTAATAAATTTCTCTCTATCAAATCCCTCATTGTCACGTAATCTTCCACGGCCTCTTGATGGCAATGTTTGAGACCAATTCAAACTAGAGTTATAAAATTGACTTTGATTATAATTAGGCTGAGCAGAACAATTTGAGGGCTGTCTGTCATTATGAATTTGATCAACACTATCATAACTATGGTGACCTGATTGTTCCAAGTATTTTTTTCTAAATCGTGGTGGTAAATTGTCCAAGTTGACCATGAACTTTGGTCTTGAGGAATCTGAACTATATCCAGCAGAATTCCTACGCCCTGATGGTGGTTTCCCTCCAGTCACAGACATATGTCGTCCTGCTGATGTCTCCATACTTCTACTGTCTCTACTTCTCTCTGCACCACTCTTTTCTTGGATACTTGTAGGAGAAATAGATCTTGTCTCCGAGGCTTGTCTGTATTGTCTATTATTATAATTAATATCATTATGAGTTACATCCTTGTACTGATGGTCACCATAAGATCTATCTTTTCTTGAAGCACCTCTAGAATAGGACCCTGTACCACCACTGACACTAGATTTTTCTTGTCTACTTGACATTTTTCGGTTGTTGAACTGACTAGAATTATCAGACCTTATAAATGTTTTTGTTTGTCTTTCAACATCAGGACATGAATCCCCTGACCTAGGTACATATAACTGTTTTTCAGGTTTCTTATGGCGACCATTAAATTGTTCCTTACTTTGAGTATCACATAAAGAGTCACCATTCACAGAATTTTGAGATCCGTAATGCTCTTTATCATCTAAACCATAACTTGAACGTCTCAAAGGACCACTGCCAGGTTTATAGAACTTTTGTTGAGGCTTGTTTCTTCTATATTCTTTACAGACATCATCCATAGTATTCACACATAAATAAAGATTTAATACAAAACCATAATATTTATTACCCTACTATTAGTTAATTTTGATAAAATGGATACCTGTTTTGTTTTGCCAAGAAATCAAATTTGAACGACTTTATGTCGTTAGGTTATGTTAGAAAATCTTAATTCATTAAATAAAAAATTGGTTGGAATAAATTTACTTCATGTGTATTAAATCTTTTCAATAAAGTTACAACAAAAACATTATATTCTGAGCTTACGATTTACGTTAATTCTGGATATTTGCATTCATTTATTTCAAGTTCAGATAGTTCGTTCTTCTCTCTCTCGTTCAAGCTGTACATTAGTTTGACAGCTTTTAAACCAATAGTATTTTTGTAACTACTAAACCATCATTACGCCATTGGTCGTAATTAAACTTATTGTTTATTTTATTGGTTTGTTTTAGATATGTTAAAATAAAAACAGATTACCAAAGGCATAGGTTACAACTACGGTACCATAGAATCTATGTACGTAATACAAGTAGGCAGGTTACACACGCATGAACCATAATGAGACATGGGTGGTTTTCCAATTACAGAGCATAATGCGACTCAGTGGCGCACAATGCCGAGTTATGCTCATGCTTAATTGGAACGTGAATTAGTTTTCAAATGCACCAGCAGAGTGCGCTAAGTTCAGTGTTGAATAAAAAAAGTCAATGTTTGTACCTTCATCCATACATAAATTTATTTTTTTAACACAGTTTGAATTAACTTAGATTATTTAAAAAAACTACAATGAAACGATAGCTTTAAAAGTATTTCAACAATAAATAATATTACTAACGATAATTTATAAATAAAACATTTCGATCAATGCCAACTTAAAGAAAAAACACTTGTTAATTTTCTGTCACTGAATTGGTACGACTGTACGCATCACACGAAAACATTACTTTTGAGAGTGCTCGATTGTGCGAAGCGATGCTGTAGTTGAAACATTCAACGTTAAGCATTATGCCGCATAATGCGCTCTAGTGCTTTAATTGGAAAACTACCATGAATGAGACTGATATAACTTCACCAAACATACCGTTTTTATATTTTGAGTTGGATTTTCATATCTTAAAGATACGAAATTTTTCGTATCTAGTAGTTGCATGTTCTAAGTTATAATTCATTGATTTCGATTCCGGTGTGATTCTTTATAGGTACTTATAACTAAATTTAACATCTGTCTGTCGTTTTCATTCTGTATAGAGAATGACAAGGATACACTGATGTCAATTCTGGCATGATTCTCTAAACTTAAAACTAAATTTAACATTGGGTTCTCCTTTTTATTCTGTATAAAGAACGACAAGGATAGACTGTTGTCAAATTTAAATTTAGGTTTAGAGAATCATGTCAGAATCGATACCATTATTGTCAAATTTAAGTTTAGATTTGGAGAATCGTGCCAGAGTCGACACCAATTATAGGCTAATTTGGTTCATTATATATTTTATTGCATATATTGATTTATGTCATTCTAGTAATGAATCTTGGCTAAGACGGTTAGAGCGGTTAAGCAGGAAAGACAAAAATTTCCACAAGCAACGGTTATATCAAAATAATTGGTTTGCACATAGAAATTTATTTAAAAATAAGAACTTATAATTTTTACTCTATAAGCATAACTGCTTGATGTTGATATCTAAAGAAAATTTAACTAGAAAAAAATCCACGCGGACCAGGCAGTAGACGGGACTCGAACCCGCACCCTTCGCTATCCGGGCGAATGCACTGACCAATTATGCTACCTAATTATGATTTTTTTCTAGTTATATTTTCTTTAGTAAATTTAAATGCACTCCCTGCTTAAAAGCAGTTAAACCTAAAATTCTATTTTCAAGTTTTGGAGAAATCCTTTCTCTTGACATTGGTTTCGATGCTGGCATGATTCTCTAAATTTTACATAAGTCTGTCCTTTTCATTTTGTATAGAGAATGACAAGGAAACACTGCTGTCAATTTTATGTTTACAGAATCGACACCATTGTAATGTCACTTTTACCGGAAGTTTACTGGTATGTCACGTTTTTAACTCTTCACCAACCAATCCCAGGCTTTTTTGGTCACATGACCATAAAACACAAAACCTCTTTCTATGTAATGTTTTTTTGGTAAGCTACAATTTGTTCGTATTCAATATTACCTTATTTTTCAAACTTTCAAGTCAAATAGCCTATTTATCTATCAGGTGACTGACGCTTCGCTGGCCGCTATCGCGGCACGCTCGCTTTGCTCGCTCGATTCGTGCTAAGTTTAGGTCGCAACACTAATCTAATCCACTGTGAGTTGTTGAAACGTTTTTCGGTATGGAGTTCAGTCGGTAAGTTATAAAATCCGTGGGTCGTTTATATTCAAATGGCTAAGTTTGGGTAGGATGGATACAGGCCAAAATTAGTTTAATTAACACAATGCCGGTGGACTAGTAGGTACCTATTGTATACAATCCCTATGAATTATATTGTTTTGTAAGATGAAAAATAATATTTATAATATATCGTACATTGCCTAGACGGCCCAGGCATTTTATTAATTGCCCAGCAGTAAAACAGATTGCCGGTATAATTAAACTGAGCGTAAAATATGAACCATAGAGTCATAGCTAAAAGTTAGTAGATGTAGATTCGGATTGAGTGAGTCTAGTGGTAGTATCATTATTGCGTTCTGTAATAAACTCTTATATCACAACATAATAAAAATTAAGTAACATTAATAACTAAAAATATTAGTAAATAAATAAAAATTAAAATGTTACGTAACGAAATCGAATGTTGTTGAATCGTGGCATTTTGCTCATAGATTAATTGGTAACCCTGATGATGTAAAATGTCAATTTTAGAAAGTTGTCTATTAAAATAGCGCAAACAAGTAAATTTGATACTTGGGAGTGAGAATATTTACTAGTAATTCTGATTAGAAAAATCTTAACACTGTTTTATCACACTATGTTTTCAACCTGCAAATTTGCAATGGGTACCTAACCCGTGGCTGACGTTTAATTTTATTTATTTATATGAAATAAATTGTACAGTTTATAGTGATAAGAATCATAATTGTGTTTATTTTTATCGATTTTTAATAAATATAGTTCATGATTAAGAAATAATGTCCTTCGAGTACTTGCCCGTGGCTGAAGACGAAAACGAAGAACCCATAGAACTACCTATCGAGGAAGATGGGACTCTGATGTTAACAACAGTCTCAGCACAGTTTCCTGGCTGTTGTGGACTGAAGTATCGCCATCCAGAAACGAAAAATATCCGTGGAATAAGATTAAGAGATGGCAGGTTGTATCCTCCCCCAGAAGGATGGGGAACTCATTTGTATATTTGCAGTTTCCCTAAAGAAAACAAACGCAAATCGGGTGAAAATTCCGAAACGTCCTTGATAAAAAATAAAAGGAATGACAACTTATGCTCTGATTTGATTGTACTTGGTTTACCATGGAAAGCAACTGAACAAACTGTTCGTGAGTATTTCGAGAAATTTGGAGAAGTTTTAATGGCGCAGCTCAAAAGAGATCCGAAAACAGGAATGTCTAAAGGTTTTGCTTTCATACGTTTCGCTTCTTATTCATCTCAAATAAGAGTGTTAGCTCAAAGGCACATGATTGATGGGCGATGGTGTGATGTTCGGATACCAAACTCTAAAGAAGGCTCTGTTACATCTATGCCTTGTAAAGTGTTTGTTGGACGATGCACAGAAGATTTAACAGCAAATGATTTGAGAGAATACTTTTCACAGTTTGGTGAAGTGACAGATGTTTTTATTCCAAAACCATTCAGAGCTTTTAGTTTCATAACATTTTTGGATCCAGAAGTAGCACAAAGTCTCTGTGGCCAAGATCATATTATTAAAGGTGTTTCTGTGAATGTATCAAATGCGTCTCCTAAACAAAATAAGGGTGGAGCAAACCAAAGGAATTTACCTAGCAGAAACTATGAAGAAGGACACCCACACAATATCTCTAATAATAACTCTTGGAGTAGCCGTAATATGGATATGGTAAATATGCAAGCTCTTGGTATGTCTGGTCAGCATGGGCAGTCTGCAGTAGCTGGTGGAGGTGGGCAAGCTCAAGGTGGGAGTATGCCATTAGGAATGGGTGGCTTGCCTGTGAATCAAGCCTTAGTTGCAGCGGCCCTCAACCAAGCTGGTTGGGGACTAATAAACAACATCCCATCAGGAGGATCCGAACAAGGTGCATTTGCTGGTCCAGCCTCATCTGCTCCACCTGGTCCACCTAACTTCCTGTCGTGGATGCAACAAGGTACTTCAGCTCAGGGTCCTTCTAGTCAATGGGGGCAAAGACACCAATCCCAGGGCCACTCTGTTTGATCCAATATCTGATTTGACAAGCTCATGATAATCACTGTGATTGTAGCAACAATTAGATAAAATTATCATTTTGTTTTTAACTATTATACAAATGGGTTGTTCTGCGGGTGAAGAGTGGTTAACCTACTTGTTTGCTACAGATGTTATTTATTTATTGGATTTCAGGAACTGCTTGTGTTTTGTTGATTTTTTCTTTATACATACCTCTTTAAATAATTAAAATAATAGACGGATGGTGTAGTAATTAATGAATTGGACATATATATACCTGAAATGGTAGATAACTATGTATGTTTATAATTAATATAAATGTTGTGCTTTTATTTGTCAATTCACTTTTTGAAAATGGCCTTAAATCTACTAATTAGTCGCAATATTATCTAATCAGATTGTTTTACGTTCCACCACTGGAATATGCTATTATAACATTTTATTTTATTAACAGAATCAAAGTATTCAACAAAAAGATCAATCTTGCTTCAATTTTAAAATAAATGTGTTATTTCTACATGGTAATATTTATAATGGGATTGGAAGTATACATACACTCTGAGGTTAATACATTTATTATTATAAGGTAAAGCAACAGATAATAATTTAATATTTGTCATTATTTTTGCACAGTATTGTGTTACATAAGAATATTCTGACAGCTTCACTTTACACTTCACTTCATGATTGCTATCATTGTAAAATTGCCCTCTTATTTTTCTGGGTAAAACCCAAGAAATAAAAAGTGTGATTTTGTCAGATAAGTACTAATATTACTGTCTACAATAATTTAATATTGTTATTGCATTATGAATAGGTGTAAATTGCCTATTTTTTCTATATTTAAATAACAATCATTCAAAAACCTTTCAAAAATTAGAACCTATTAACATTTTTTATCCCAAGTATATCTGACATGATTGATAAGAAAAACACAGTTTTTGTCATATTATTATATCAGTGGCAGCTTGGTTAGATTAGTCCTTGGCTTTGATAGTATCCCTTACAGCTGGTACTTGGAGACTTTTGTTAGAATTGATATAAACCAACTGACTATATTTCTATACCACTTTATCGATCTAGTGCTCAGGGTTTGACTTGAAAGTATGACTATCGCCATTCAGCATATGAAGTACTAGACAAGATCATTAAATGTTCCACAAAATAAGTGAACACCAAACCTAAGGAGAACACCAAATTTATCTTTCCTACTCAGGTAATACCAAGATATATTAAACATGTGCCAGAGTTAATTTGATCTGTTTTTAATCTCTGCCATTTTTTTATAATTTGTATTTTATTCACAACAATCACAAACACAGCTTTATATACAATTGAATATAACAATTATTAAAGCACACAGCTAATGAGTGTTACTTTTAATAGAAACTTATTTAATTTTATTTACTAGAGTTTAGGCTCTAAAAATTGAAAAACCTTTCTTGAGAAGATAATAAACCATCTTTCAACTAACTATTCTAATTCTCAGGCGATGAAGGAAATATAGTGTGCTGTTGCTTTTGCACATACTTTTATTATAAAAAAAAATATTAGTACTCATAAAATAAGAACCTACATGCACAAGACCTATAGCTGGAAAACAAGATTTCCTGTGTTTTGCTATACATGGTTCTGAGTCAATAAGGAACCCTTATAGTTTTGCTGTCTGTTCGCCGATCCATCTGCAGCTTAGCTCAGTGACTGTACTGTGATGGCAAATGGGTATATAAATAAATTATACATACATATTTATTAGCCACTGAGAGAGGTAAAATAAAAAATTTTAACAAAATTTTTAGGGTAACTTCTTAATTTTTTTTGGCCTATCTCGAGGTGTGGTTTGTCGTCATAACGGTTTAAAAAAATTTGTAAAGACAATTTTTCTACGGAACCCATCCATCCATAAACACCTTGCACTGGAATCGCCGTACTGCAGCAATAAACAAAATCTTCATATAAATAAACTTGCTTAGAGAATGCAATCCCGCAACATAATTTCAAACCAGGTATTCATGGGATCTAGCCGGGAGGACTTAAATTTTTCTAATTAATTCTAATAAAGACCTTAATTAAACAAAGCATTTTCTAAAGCATACCTTCTGAATGGTATTGACCAGGATCAATGTCAATGGTTCTACGGCTTTATAACAGTCTTATCATTATTTATAGGTTGCGGCCAACCCGAAGCGAGTTACAGGCACAACAAATTTCATTTTCACATATTTGAAACACTCATGTTTTATAGTGTTTAATCAAAAAATAACCCTGGGATTGCTTTCTAATTCAATCAGTTTACATATTTAAAAAATACCTTAAATTGGCAGAGTATAATATATTTTCACAAGTTTTGCAAGGGAATACTGATTTTTCGTCCATATGCGCCTTGAATTTACACGTATGAGGCCAGGACTCCACCAAAGCAGAAATGTGTGCGGTGTGCTGTGCAAGAAGAGATGTTTTTCAGCTCGGGGGACTCCACCAAAGCGGAGATGTGTTCTGTGTGCTATGCGAGAAGAGATGTTTTGTTGAGTGCTGGAGTGAGTTGCTGGCGGGCGAGAGGTCGTCCGCGCACAGCTCACATCTCCGCTTCCATCGCGCCATACAAATATTACACATCACCCCACAGCGATCTCCACTGAAGCTGAGCGGAGAGATGTGTCAATAACACAATTCTATTGGTAGTTTAAAAAAACATCTCTCCGCTCGTCTCGTCTCCGCTTTGGTGGAGTCCCGGCCTGAAACACGCTTCTCTGTAATCCCGCCAGTCTGGACTCCCGCTGGCGGGATCCCGGTATTGCATTCAATATCGTTGATTGCATTCCCATAACTTGCTATTAAACATGAAGAGTGAATTCTAAAAATAATGGTTGTTATTTTATTTCATTTCTAAGCGTTATTTGATAGGTGGTTTATTCGATTTATTTAACAAAAAAGTGAAGTTGCGAGTTGTCAGTAATCAAAGAAAAACAAAGTATAGCTCACTTGCCTTTGAGATGTTGCTAAAAAAAATAATGTTTAAAATAATAGATATCGTCAGCAGCGTAATGTAATTAATCATAATAGTTAAATATGTTTTTAATTGAAGCTTTATTTTATTGAATATTATTATTTAATAAATTTATATTTACATTTAAATGTAAAAAATATAAAGCGATGTTCTTTATTACATATGGCAGAATCAAATTATAAAACCTTTTTAGCTACCTACCTACCTCTGTTTTTTTGCCGTTCAGTCTGCTTACCTACTCAGTACTTATTTGGAAACATTATGTAACAATTTAATTAAAAAATCTGTATCTTGTGGAATAGATAAAGGTCGCTTATAATCTGAATCTGTTTCCATTCGTTTGTAAATAGGGTAGGGGGTAAATTACTTATAATTTATTAAACATGACTCAAATATCTTAATTCTGTTTGCCATAGTCAAGATAAAATTACCATTTGATAGAATTAGGAAACTTTTTTGTACATTGAATAGGTATTATGTTTGAACAACAGACTGTTGAAAGTTCATACTTGTATATTGAAAAAATAGAAATCTATTGAATTGTTATCATTGTTTATCAATAATGTTGATTATAATAAATTTATTGCGTGTTTCCTCAGATGGATGTGGGTATGAAACTTGGGAGACAGATATATATTTTTGTCGAGATTGACTAGAATATTTTTGTGAATAAGCAATGTGGTATTGTTTATTGAATGGTAGATAAATGTTAAATGTGTGCACTGATGCAATAACCACTGTAAGCTTATGACAGAATATAAGGACAGGCTGTACAAATTTCCAAGACTGTAAATATGGAAACAAAGTGACGTCATACGTTAGTAATAAAATCAGTCATAATTTATATGTAATTATTAGACTTGCAACCATACATTTTAAATAGGAAATACTGGTATTGGTATTGAAGCTGAAAACTAATGATAATATATGACTAAGCTTACTGTAACGAGATAATTTATAAACTACCATACTCGGTAAATAGATGTCAATTCTGGTTAAATTTAAATATTGTGATGATAGTGTTCATTATTTATTTTTTAAACATAGTTAAGCATACTGCTTCAAGTTAGTATCGATTTGGAAGTCATCATTAATCATTCTTCGAAACAAGAGTGCCTATCTGGGGCAGAAACCCAGGTCTTGTAGAAAACCACAGTGAAATAACACTACCTTTTGGTTGTGGTGGCAATTTTCGTAACTGTGAATGAGAACTCTGTTTCTAAAGCTCTATGTGTAAGGGATGTGGGCAGAGTAGATAACGCAAGTGATACTTTCGCAAGCGTCCATAGCATCTTTTACATCTTTTGACTTAATCTATACTAATATTATAAAGCTGCAGAGTTTGTTTGTTTGTTTGAACGCGCTAATATCTGGAACTACTGGTCCGTAATTTTTTTTTTCATATTTAGGGATCCGTAATAAAATTGCTATTTTGTAACACAAGGTGTAAAATCGAAAACCTATTTTTGCGTGCGCTGCAAAAACTATTGACAATAGAACAAAATGATGTACTACGGGTTTGTAGATCCCATTAAGACCTACAAAAAAGTCCGCGAGAACATATATCTAGCTATCATGGTTTAATCACAATAACCGATTTTGTGTTCAAAATAATTATTAAATCGTCTGAAGAAAAAAAAAACTACGTTAAATATGTATCGTTATATTAAAAACACAAACAACCTCTTGACTTTCACCCCTCTACCACCCATATTTTTATGGCGATACGAAGTTCGCTGGGTCAGCTAGTAAATTTATAATCCACGTGTTTTAATGCGAATTTGTAAAATAAATTACGTTGATGTTTGAGAAAAAAGTATGACTATCGCTGTTCACCATATTAAATAAATAAGTAGAACAATAAATTTGTAAAATAAAGTATAACTAGTATGAAAATAAATAACTTTTATTAAAAAGGTAGTAGGCACTCCGAAGTAAATCCATAATATTATTATTTCAAAGCATTTAACAAAATACGCCATTGGATGGTCCTACTGTTATTTAATTTTGCACCCTCCAACATTATTGTTGCAAGTCTAATAATATCTATTCTAATATTACATACTGTAATACAGACAGCCGTAGCTGTTAAAAAAAACTACGTATTAGATAAGTATAAAGTCATTTTGACAAAATGTGTATCAACACAGAAGCCTTAAGGACGTTCCCTGTTATGAAGTACAATACAATCAAAGTTTTGGTAATTTTGATACAATACGGTATGAGAAATCGATTATTCCACTAGATTTGCACTTTATTTGATGTTAAATCAATGTCATGTAAAATATCTGATAAGATTGATATGAACCAAGTTTAATGTGTTATAATACTTAAAGCTTCGTTCATATTGAAGCGAATCCCGCGCGGGACACGGGACGATTGCGCCAGCTAACTTTTATCCCACATTCACAATGTCGCGAATAGTCGCGCTTGCTGTAGTGACATGTACGCAGGAGAGTGTTTCCGAATATTTTTTTGTGCTGTTCTTGATAAAACATACAGTATTCTTTTGCATATAATAATATTTATAAAATCTTTTCGCAAGTGTGAAACTTATCAAATTCTATGCGTGTGAGCATTAGGTGCGGGATCCGCCTGAATTTGAACGAGGCTTAATTCATGATGTCCGCAATATTTACCTACCTATTAAGTTTATTTATAACTTAAATATTATTTTCTCTAAGTGGAGGAATTGGATTTGGTTTTGTGTTATTGTGTATAATGTGTTTCTTTTTGTTTGACTTTGTTGTTTTATAATAACTTATTTCAAATTATCATTTGTTTTGGTTCTAATTTATATGCATGTCAACGGTATTAATTGTAAGAATTTAAGTGTGTTTTATGTTAGTGGTAATAGGTTATGTTTTCAAACATGTAGGTAACATACAAAGTCAATTTCAATCTAAATAACGTAACTAACATAAATGTCCACTCAGGACAGTATTGAACTTATATAGATTTATATATAGATAGGTAATTTGGAAATGGCATATAGAGTCGAGTATTTCTCATTAATTAACTTTCTTTCTATTTGAAGTGAATTGTAAATAAGTTTAAAATTAAATTTCTAAATAGCTCCAATAGCTCACAACTTGAATGTAATTTCTAATTTACTTATCTTAAAATCTAAGCTTTTCACTTTTATGGTTTTCATAGTGTCACTAAAACTTCCATCTGATTCTATGCGCTATCACTCTAGCTGCTTAATCAATAATAATGTGCAATAACTATTAAATTGTGACCAAACTTTTATTTTTAAACGAAGTAATATGGTGCATTATTAATGCACTTAAATATTGAGAAATGAATAAATATAATTAAGCCCAAACACTTTTAAAATTTGCATTGAAACAATAAAATAAAATGCTTTTCTCTATATTATTTTAAACATATTAAAGGAAAATGTGTTATTCGCTGTAAAGTGAAGTAGTAAAATCGTCGCCAGTTAAATGTTAGAAAACAATAATTAAAAATGTAAATACATCGGATTGAAATAAAGTGACGACGTACTTAATTTTAATAAAATACTTATTACCTACCTATTAATTTGTCCAATATATTTGCAAAAGGCGATAAGTTAAAATGAACTTGCAAAATACCTACCTACCTAGATTTGTGTCTTTTAAATAATTTAAATGCCATACCTATTACTTACGTTTCTACAGCTTTTTTTGGAAATATGCTTACTAATTCTTATACAAGGTTAATATTTTGCAAAAATAAAAAATGACTGTGCATTGATAGGGAGGTACAAATGTTACCCTAATACCAAGCCTTATTATTAATTAACACAGGGTTGGATAGTACAGCGTTGTCGTGTGCGTCAGTGTTGACTTCAATATACCAGCTTGAATATTTTGAAGTCAGTCCGCTCTCCCGCCACCCACGCTAACAGTAACTGCAGAGTTGGACGGCATCTATACTCGGTTATAGCCATTGATAGCTGATTTACACTGGTCTATAAAGGTCTTCGGAGAACTGACTCATATTGCTTACATGCAAATAATAAGTAGCAATAGCACGTAGTCTTTGAGGAAAAATCAATCCGGGAATCGCCAGAAGTTTCAACTATAGTTCAATGTCTTGAAAAAATAAAATTCTATTAGTAAGATAATAGGAGTTGATGGAAATTTTAGAAAAAGAGATACTTACATATCTATAAGAAAATAAAATATACAGTCGAACACAGAACCTCCTCCTTTTTTGAAGTCGGTTAATGATTTTAATTTTTATAAGAAAATAGAGCTAGTTTCTAATGTATTGTAAACTAATAATGATTTGATGATGCTGTGGAGTAAAAACTGGCTTTGAGATTAACGCCAAAGAGTTTAGGACGAATATTTACTGATCAACGGCTGACTTGACTTGTCGAATAGATAGATAAAGCCAGTACAGCTGGCGAGGGTAATGAGGGAGTAGATATTGCCTAAAAATAAAATATTTAAGCGGGAATATTGAAGTCAAATCTGACGCGACAGCGCTTTACTAACTCCAAATCATTTTACTCTTAAGTATTGGATCTCGACTGATGACTTGAAAGTCAGTAAATACCCTGTGTACCTCAGGCTTTATGTACAATAAGCGATTTAGCTAAATAAACCCTTGTTCTGTTTAGGTGAAAGGAAAATTCTCGAGGTGCTCTGCGTCATGGCTTTTGTATGATCATGTGCGCAATGGCTGTAAGATATGAAATATTTGAGAAGATTCTGTAAATTAATGATTGTCTATTTATTGTCAGAGTGCAGTGTCGTGTTGAAAACTTGTGTTTTAATGTGGCGTAAACTTATTGTAAATAACACAAATAGTGAAATGATTGTGATCAACTGGTGTGTGTCTATTTAACTAATCAGGGGGCCATTCACCGAACGGAAATGCTTTGGAAAACGCTAACGCTTTCGATTTTATTTTGTTATTTCTGACCGCCGAAGGTTTGTAAATACCTCACGCTCATTTTTTTTAATATTGTTATTACCAATGCAAAAGGAAAAAAAGAGCGCGAGGCATTTGAAGACCTCAGGCGGCTAGAAATAACAAAATAAATTAGTAAGCGTTATTATTTCCAAAGCATTTCCGTGAAGCGAATGGCCCCCTGTTCTTTAATTAAAGCGTGTAAAACTGCATTGTGTAAAAAAATTGTCATTAACATAGCGGCCGCACTCAGATATATCAGTTACTTAGTTTGAGTAAAGTACTAAAATAATAACACGCATTACCAACATTTAATTGACCATACGTTTCCGAGTGCGGCTGTGAGTAGGTATGTAACACGGTACAATATGTGTAGGACCACAAAACATCAAGCTACCCCGCAAAATGACATTAATTATGAAATTTTATTTGAACTTGTACAGTTGAAGATTAGAGAATTTTATCGTTTTGTCTTTTCCTATGTGGCAAACTATTGTCTGTGTAAAGTATATTAATTATACATTTCCTTATTACGCAAGTCTAGCTAAACATCAATCTAAATTTCAATTGTTTCTATAGGTATTTTAATTTTTATAAGTCAATATTGGTGTCGATTCTGCCAGAGTTCTCTAAACTTAAAACTAAATTTAACACCAGTCTCTCCTTTTCATTCTGTATAGAGAATGACAGGGATACACTGTTGTCATAATTAAGTTTAGGTATGGAGAATCATCCCAGAATCGAAACAATTGTATTGATTTATTTAATTCATGAAAATGCATCTTCAGCTAATTACCATTTCTTGATGACACTTTAATGTTAATAATAATGTGGCCATGGCGCTATTCAGCACTGTCAAGTTTATGGGCTATTACACCTGGTCCGACCAACATGTGGCCCTGGTGGGTCCAGGGGTAATTTGTTTTACCCGTTGTCCTACCGTTCTGAAAAATGTTCGCCAGTGGGTTTACGGGTATTCTGTTTTTACCATGGTCCCACCGCACTTAGTAGCAAACATTAATTAAAATATAGCTATTTTGTTTGCAGAACACTGTTCAGAACGATAGGACAACGGATAAAAAAAATACTCTTGAACCGATCAGGGGGACATGTTGGTGGGACCTGGGGTTAGCCCAAGCCAAAGTTTATGCGTGTTCTAATAAAGTTACAAATTACAACTTTTGCACTGTAATATTTGATGATTATGCACATCCTTGTCATTTGCTGCTCCGCCGTGATATTAAAATGACTAAATACCAATGTGCTAGGCGTATTCTACAATATTTATAATGATTGTAAATTTTGAGTGTGAATAATGAATACATATTGACATGAATTCATGAAATAAAATTTATTTAGCGTTGCATATATGTTTCATTGAAGGTTTTGTTTTCCTTTTTTTATGTGAAACGTACAATAACAAAGTTCAGAATATGTGTGGTTTATCTATGAAACCTGTTGAAAGGAGTCGGTTTAAAAATATCACTCTTACCATTAACCTAGACGACTCCACAGAAACCTCTTTTTCCAGCACATTACCAGTAGTATTATTTACCCAGTGGAACTTTAGCCACCTTATTATTACGTAGGTACCTACTCACTAGAGGAACACCATATAATCGTCTTAATTACAAAACTCAGACCTGACTCCATGCATGGTGGTCTGCTGACCTTAGTTAAGAACTGCATTGCTATTCTACGAACAATATAATATTTTCACCGCGGAATTTGCCAGGGTGATTTGAAATTCATGCTCTTATTTTATATCACGCCGCGAATTCTAAGGCGAAAAGTAAGTGTTCTTACACCCCTCTGTATAGCCCTCCACTTTGTTTTTCATGGCCAGAAAATCGAAAAAAAAACCGTCCGATTTTCCTCTTATCATTCGAGTTTTACTGTACATCCAGGCTTCATTTACATCTAACCCTAAATAGTTTCGCTCTAGTCTGGATCTAAGTACATCTTTCGGCTCCAACGTCATAGGGTTCAGCGACGAGTACTGACTCTGTGTATGCCGAAACTCCACGCGGTAGGGAAGACGTAATTAAAATATAACGTGTGCTCTTATTTAATGCTCGACAATTCGGGCCAAACAATTCATCTTCATCCCATCTTTTTCATTTTAATCCAGTTTGATACCAACCAACCTATCTACCTACTTGTATATAGTAACTAAGCAACCTGTGATTATGTATTATCCTTCAATTACCTGCCTAATTTAAGTTCTTACTAATAAGATTCGCGAAAGGACAATGTTAAAATTGGCCTAAGAACCAACACCAATTTGGCATTTATGATAATTCTTAGTATATTTTTTGCGATAATTATCAGTATTTAGATTGTGACGGACACTTCCAGTTAAGTAAGCTAAATTAAAAAGTTAATATATAATCTGAGATAATAAATACCATTTTATGTGTATAATCTATGACAGCGCTGCAAACAAAAACATTTTCTTCCTAATGGCGGCACTTCACTTGGCTATTCGTATTTGCTATTTAAAAACATGATATCAGTGTGTCCTTTTCATTTCTTATTAAGCATGACAAGGACAAACTGTTGTCAAGTGAAGGGCCGGCATAAACTCGATACTCTGTGGTTGTGGTGCAGGCAGTTTGCATTCGTAGTAATCTGTGGCATTCGTGCATTCTCGTCAAAGAGTACTTTTTATATACGGAAAATTCTCGTTCGGATTACCTGTTGTGTGTTTATTTGCGATTGTTTTTCCTTTAATTAAACTATTACTATTTCAGCTATCTAATATGCCATCGATGTAAACAAAGAGCAGAGACCTTAATACCAAGTGCTAGTGAACCTGTGCCACAACATCCTGAGAGGATCATACTGCCAAATTATTCAAGAAGACCTGATACGCTGTATATTTACACAATATACATGTGTTAAACAAATAGATACAATTCTGTGAAAAATAGTCAATAAATAATAATAAGCAAAACTATTGTTTTTATTTTATTCATGATTCCTACCTAACCAAGTTTTTCCTAATAGTTATTCTTTAAAATCGCACCGAATAAAATGAATTTGTTGTTAATTCACTTCATACTGAGTTCATACTAAGTTCTTCATAGGTTGACCTATGTTTCTTTGAATATTAAACATAACCAAAAATTAGTTTTCTTAATAATTTAAGTTCTCAGAAGTGTCCGTCAATAATCTTTATTTTTACAGTCATTTACTTGCGATTTCGAACCTAGAAAATAATATTTCATGATTGTTGGTTCTTAGGCTAACTATGTATGGACGCAGAACAATGTCCTTTGGTTGTTTATTTGTAAGCAAATAAATTAATAAATATTTCCAACACTCACACCAATTAGCCTAGTCCCAAAGTAAGCACTGCAGGCTTGTGTTACACGCCCCCATTTTTTTTAAAACCTTACATTGATCAAAGAGGTAGATTGTAGCGGATTTTCCGGTAGCTTTGGAGCGCCGGTCTGGGGAAGTACCGCCACCTTACAGAACATTACAGTAAAATAACATTACCTTTTGGTGGTTGTACAGTTTACTTGTACATAAAAATTTGCTAACACAGCGAACGTCACACAGGCCACGTTAATGACCCGCGTTTACCTAGAGTGTCATATTATCGTAATTATAAAATATTATTTCTTTATTTAAAGACAGTGCAATTAGAAACGCGAACTAATTTACACACATTAGAGACATGAATAGCCTACACCTTAACTGTAACTTGTTTACAATATAATCTCCGAAGTTATCTCTCTCTGATCTTTTTCCCTGCACTCCAACTAATTCTCATTAAAGGTGTACAAACTGTACAGTCGTGTTGTTTTTCTGACAGTGGGTTAGGTCCGGGATTGGGTCAGGGTAGAGGGTAGGCAATGGCGAGAGTGATTGATATATTTGTATCATAACACAAGCGTCTTTAAGTTATGGTGGCCGTTTTCCTACCGTCAGGCGGGCCATCTTCTTGTTTGACATCCTTTTAACATAAAATAAAAGTCCTCATCCAGCGGTACTTTATCATCAGTGGAGTATTTAATATCGTTGGCTGTATCGGACAATCACAGCGACTGATAACCATCTGCAGAATGCCAATTACAACCCGTTTAAAAAACTACCTCGCACTCGCTGCAATACGGATTCGACTTTCTTGCGAATAATCGCATGGAAATCGTCCATGTGTACTTGTTAAAGAGATTTGCAAATGACAGTGAGTAGGTATAGTTGACAACCAATGTCCAATAAAACAAAATTTATAAACTTGTAAATTTTTTGTGCTTCAGAATGTGTGTGCAAATTTTTAGGGATATTGTTTTGAACATTTCCTATTTAAATCATGTAGAACTGGAAAATGGAACCGAGGCGAAAAGTACCTGCTGGTCCAATGGCACCGTCTAGCATGAAGGCAGCGAAGAAAACATACGGTGCTTATAGTAATTACATTAACAGGAGCAATAATTATGCCCCTGCGAAAGAATCAATCACTGTACACACAGCGACCCCCAATTTGGAACATAAATCCTATCATACAGAACAGAATCAAATTTATCAAGGCGAAGTTAATGTTCTCTCCGTTATGTAAGTGTATTGTGGACTGTATTGAGGTGTTTTCCTTAAGCAGGTAGTTAGGTACTTATGTAGTTCCAGGTTTAGTCTGTGATAATGACTACTTGGTAGTACGTACCTTTCGATTACTTATGTATTGACGTACGTCCAATGTACCTTGGTAGCTGTTAGCAAAACATCCAACTAGGTACCTTTTGCAAGCAATTGCGTGAAATGCGCCCCAAAACAAACTTTGTAGCAAATCATCCATGATGCATGCATGCACCATGCATGATGAACGGTCCACCTCCTAAAACATTGTTAGGTACATGCGCGAATTCATCGTTTTGGGCACGATAAGCATGCCCACAACCCTAAATAGCCTTGTAACGTCACACACTGACTCTGGATGTCCAAATGGAAAATAGTCACACTAATTTCTCCATACATACTTTTGCTCATCTCATTGAAGAATTTGACCAAGATTTGTATCCTAAATTCCTAAGGTAGTGGGTCCAATGACCCACAAGAAGACACAATGATCGAAATTCTCTTCCATGATCAATGAAAAAAGAGTAGGCAACCGATTGTTTAAAGTACATCACACCGATCATAATTTGAAAAGTACATACTCAACCAGAACTTTACTCATTTATTGTAACGACTTGGTAGTTTATATCTGTTTTGAGATTAACTGCTTTTCAGTTAAAGATTTTAATTTTAGTAATATTTACATAATTATATTATTTACCTCAAGGCTTAGGTTACACAGTGCGAGCTGCCGATGTGACAGTACACAGGTACTGTACCCCTGCCCCTCTAGCTTGAGCACCGCGATATGATATAAAGCACGTTTTTATCATGCTCAATTGTCAAATTACTATGGAGTTTGACAGTAAGACACCATAAAATGCATAATGTAGTGCTCATGCTACAGGGACTGTACTTGCATGGCAGTAGCTCGACTCGTCTTACCAAAGAAAACAGCTACTATATCGCCTTTCGACTATTCATGTGACAAGTCTTGTGCTTTGTTATCAAAACCAAAAACACGCATGACGGCTCGTGGTTCATACCACAAGTGCGGATTCAAAAATTCTTTGCGCTAAAATACTGCCAGCTAAATTGCTGACCCAAAGAAAAAAAAGTATTTTGGTTAGAAAGGAAAATGTTAAAATTGGCCTAAGAACCAACACCAATTTGGCATTTATGATAATTCTTAGTATATTTTTTGCGATAACTATCAGTATTTAGATTGTGACGGACACTTCCAGATAGGTAAGCTAAATTAAAAAGTTAAAAAATAATCTGAGACAATAAATACCATTTTATGTGTCTAATCTATGGCAGCGCTGCAAACAAAACACTCTTTTTTCCTAATGCCGGCACTTCACTTGGCTATTCGTATTTGCTATTTTAAAACATGACATCAGTCTGTCCTTTTCATTCCTTATTAAGCATGACAAGGACAAACTGTTGTCAAGTAAAGGGCCGGCATAAAACTTGTTACTGTGTGGTTGTGGTGCATGCAGTTTGCTTTCGTAGTAATCTGTGGCATTTGTGCATTCCAAAGAGTAGTATAATATACCGGAAAGTGCATTCTCGTTTCGGATTACCGTTGTGTTTGTTTATTTGCGATTGTTTTGCCTTTAATTTAACTATTTCGGCTATCTAATATGCCATCGATGTTACCAAAGAGCAGAGCCCTTATTACCAAGTGCTAGTGAACCTGTGCCACAACATCCTGAGAGGATCATACTGCCAAAATATTCAAGAACACCTGATACACATTCACGCTGCATATTTACACAATATACAAATAAATACAATAAACAATATGATAAAATAGTCAATAAATAAGAAGCAAAACTACAGTTTTTATTTTATTCATGATTCCTACCTAACCAAGTTTTTCCTAATAGTTATTCTTTAAAATCGCTCCGAATAAAATGAATTAGTTGTAATATTAATTTACTTCATACTGAGTTCATACTAAATTCATAGGTTGACCTTGTTTCATTGAATATTTAACATAACCTACCAGTTTTCCTAATAATTTAAGTTCGCAGAAGTGTCCGTCAATAATCTTTGTTTTTACAGTCATTTACTTACGATTTTGAACCTAGAAATTAATATTTCATGATTGTTGGATCTTAGGCTAACTATGTATGGACGCTGAACAATGTCCTTTGATGCTAAGTACGAGCAACAGTCTGTATGCAAAGATATGCGTGCCGACGACGTCCGAGTCGCGTGCGCGTTACAGCTTGTGCGTGGTGGAGGAAGGAGAGTGGCGAGTAAAATAAAATTAAAAGTTATAGTAATTCGGATACCAGCTACTTACCGATTCGCACATAACATTCACTCATATGATGCGGTCACACAATGCGAGAAGCTGTACTACAGTAACTGACTAGGCCAGCTCGCACTGTGAAACCATGGCGTTACGCTATCGTCATATTACTCAGGGTAAGTTAATGAATATTGTTATGCCAAGGTTTTCTAATGTTTTAGAGAAACAAACAAAGATATAATGTGCTGCAAGTACACAGAAGACGTAAAAGATGTAGCAGCCGGCTTCACAGACGGCACTATACGCTTGTTTGACTGCACTAGTGGTACAAATACCCACACGCTCGTTGACGAAGAATGCAAGTCATATCCTGGTCCAGTGACTGCTATCAAACATAGACCAGTCAGCAAAGCGCATCCTATCACTAATATGCTTCTGTCATGTTGTTAGTAATAAATGACAAATTACAACTTCTCTATTTGTTACCCGCCAGCTTATCTGGACAGTTTTGCTTGCAGGTGTAAATTTTTATCCTAATACTCCATTCTACTTAGGTATTATATGGTTATATGGTGAAATTTTTTCCACGCCCAAGCTTACTATACTTCCTATATTAGTCTATCCTCTAGTTATTTATAGAGTAGATTTGTTTTTTCATTAAAATTTTCTTTAAATTTAATTTAAAATTGATTGATTGTAATTGATATTAAATTGTATTTTTTTAGATGTGAATGGATGTATTAAGTGTTGGAAATATAAGTACGAGCAATGTCTTTATACCATAAGGGAGAAACGACAGACACTAGGTCTGTGTTACCATCCACATTATACAAAGTTTGTTACCTATGGGGATGATGCAAAGCTGAACATGTATGATGAAGAAGCGCAAACGCAAGAGAGGGCATTCTATTCTAGGTGATATGAGCACGTCAACAATAATACTATAGATAGAAATAACAGATTTATTGAATTGACAGGCATGGAAAGACAGCCACTTGTAGCTTAGTGGCCGCCACTCGATTTCTCTCGATTCGATTGGTGGCTGAGTGAATTGACTGAGCTACTAGTGGTGGCGTTTAGGCCCAATGTGCGCTTGCTCTAACAGTAGGAACCAACACATATTATGTAAACCTTAGTTACTAATTTTATTTTGGTAAGGTAGCTCGTTTCTTGATTTATAGTTTTTTTACACCGTAAAATATATTTGGATAATCCAAGTGATAAAAGCTTGTCCGGCCAGTAAAACTAATATCGGCCGCAATCAATGCCTATGTTGTACTTAGCTGTGATCCAGTAGGGAGGCGACGAGAAATAAGTCCAACACTCCAATTCACAGAATAACAGTTTATTGCACAAGCACACACAAGGAAAGTACAGAAGGAGTAAGCACAGATAGTCTCAAGCACAAGGAAGAAAGTTCGGAAGAGATAGTAAAAGCGTACACAAACAATAACAATAAATATTAAGCTTTGCGAGCTACAAGCAAGGGTCGTCGGTCGCCATTATCGACTGCTTGCGGCGTTTCCGGCTTAAAGTCGCATGGCCGAATACTATGCACTAGAAGCTGGGCGACCGAAAATGTATATATAATATACATTTTCGGGCGCCCAGCTCCTCGTGCATCAGCAGCTGATTCAGCTTTTTCTCGTTTGAAGCCGTCATTCTCTTAATAAGCTCCGTCTTTAGCTTGCCGTATTTATCTGATACGGGAGGGTTTATAATTATATCCTTGACCTCTTTTGAACATTTATTGTCAAGCTGGCTGATGACATAATTGAATTTGGTCGCATAGTTGGTAATTCCGGAAATCGCAAATTGTCCTTTCACTTGCGCAAACCAAATCTTCAGTTCTTCCGACCAGAATGGAGGTAGTTACTCGTAAGCCAACTTTAAAAACTTCCGTTGAGCCGCTCGGACCGCCCGTGGACATACCCTCAACACGGCCATTATCGTGTGCGTCTTGGAATTCCTTTTCCATTTTGTTCAAAATACGGGGTCCCCAGCTTGGTTAATCCAAGTGATAAAAGCTTGTCCGGCCAGTAAAACTAATATCGGCCGCAATCAATGTCTATGTTGTACTTAGCTGTGATCCCGTAGGGAGGCGGCGAGAAATAAGTCCAACACTCCAATTCACAGAATAACAGTTTATTGTACAAGCACACACAAGGAAAGTACAGAAGGAGTAAGCACAGATAGTCTCAAGCACAAGGAAGAGAGTTCGGAAGAGATAGTAAAAGCGTACACAAACAATAACAATAAATCTTATTAAGCTTTGCGAGCTACAAGCAAGGAGCGAAATGAGCGAGCGAATGAGTTACGACTGGCGTACGTGACTTCGATGATCGCGCGCTGCGCGCCGGTCGGGAGGCCCCGCCTACCAGTTTTAATGGAGACAATAGAACGGCTTTAATGTGTGCATTTTTGTGGCAGGACCTAATGCGTCGTCCGGCTGGTATACGCTATTGAGCTGATATAGATATGAGAAATGTAAACATACTCATCATCATCATCAACAGCCTACCCTAGTCCACGGCTGGACATAGACCTCTCCAATTGCACGCCACTCAGATCGATCTTGGGCTACTAGCATCCAGCTCCTGCCAGCCACCTTACACAAATCGTCACTCCATCGTGCCTGAGGACGTCCTACACTACGTTTGCAAAAACATAACATACGTACATATACGTTTGTAAACATACTTAAATATTTATTTGACATTGTGGGTTACCTATAATGCGAAGAGATGGCGCTGCCTTGTAGCTTAAGGGTACGGCCAGAGTGTACTCAGATTCAGACTCAGAAAACAAGCGCGAGAAATACCTATACAGTGTAGTTTAAGCAGGTTGCCAGCTGCCACTATGGCCACCCTGCTTTAACTACATTGTTTATTTGCTGCCTGGTCCGCGTGGATTTTTTTCTAGTTATATTTTCTTTAGATTTAAACATCAAGCAGTTACATGCTTTAAAATAATAGAAATTATAAAAATATTTTTGACAGTCACAGACAGGCAATTTTGCATTAAAATATTCTTAAAATAATATATTAATTCCAGTCCAAGAAAAAATATCGTGGACGGTCATACCTCAAGAATTTTTGCATGTGCATTTAATCCAAAATCACACCATGAATTGATATCTGGTGGATGGGATAACAATGTTATCTGCTGGGATGATAGGCAGCCCTATGCAACTAGACACATTTTTGGTGTTCATATCTGCGGAGAAGGTCTAGATTTTGATAAACCTGGCAAACAGGTTAGTATAACAGTAGTTTTTAAAGTACCTAAATTTAAACAAGGTGCAGCAAGGTACAGTCGGCGAGGCATTGGGCGATTTTCCACTTACCGGCCCGGCACCGGCATGGCTTTAGACCGGTGCCGTCGTTTCGTTTTCCACTGCGCCTATGCTGGCATACGTCCTGCTTACTGGCACAGATTTCAGCCCGACAGGCACGGCGACACGTAGGTACTTACAACGCGTATAAAAATTGTCTCGACAAGCTGTTGACTGCATGAGTAAGGTATAACTTTCACATCAAAGACGCTAATACCAACGCTGATACCCATATAAAATTTTAGATTTATCCAATATGTAACAGAAGTTGGCTCCGGGTGGCGAAATTAAAAATGCGGTTATATTCAAGTAACGTGTTCAGTCACCAGTATTACAAATAGGAATAAATAAAACTACATCATCCCCCTAACATAATCTCGAACCAAAGATTTACAAAAGTTAAGACTACGCAGAAGTAATTAGTTAATGTAAAAAAAACCAACGCATGGCAGTCAATCCTCATCACACAGATTTGTAGAACTCTGTAACAAATAAATGTGAGTGGAAATCAATGCCGGGCCGTCGCAGGCACCGGTAAGTGAAAAAAAAGCCATTATACATTTTCATACACATTAGCTTCTTCGGCACCGGCGAGGAGGCGGCGCAGGGTGCCGAGTAGGGCCAGGTGTTTGGAAAATCGCCTATTTGTGCGAGTGAAAAATCTTCAAAATTTGCGTTACGTAATACTTGAACGCCCCCTGATCAGGAATAGCAACCGGTGACTGTGTCCGATGCCGCTACAGGACACAGCAACTATGATTTCCTGTCCGTAACAAAAAGTGCTTAACACGTTTGCACAGCACTTTATAATGTGCTTTTAAGTATTAAACTGCTAGATTTATCCGCCCACTGTTTGATAACAATTGTGCAATTCACAAGTTATTCCTATTTGCAGATTCTCACATGCGCATGGCAAGACAAAAAGAGCATTCAACTATGGGATTACGGTTCGTGTAAATTAATTGAGACAATAGAACCTGATAACCACCAGTCTAAGCTATATTGCGGAAAGTTTGTACCGAGAACCAATCTTATAGTTTGCGGCGGATCAGATGCCAATACGTTCAGGGTAGTAGATATAAACTTAAAGATTGTAAGTATCATACATTCATTACATAAAAAATGTAGTCCATAAAATACACTGTTTATGGTCAATTCGTACTGAGGCAGAGTCGAAGCTCATCGAAGCGTCAATTAAGCCTTGATGACACGGGGTGAGTTTACAAGCTACAAGCCAGCGAGTTTGCTTGCAGCTTGTAAACTCGCCCCGTGTCATCGGCTTTTTTTACCATCTGCTAGTCGATGATATGGGGCGAGTTTACAAGCTACTAGCGAACTCGCTGGCTTGTAGCTTGTAAACTCACCCCGTATCATCGAGGCTTTAGAAACGTAAACCGAGATTTGACACGGTGCGCACTGTTTAAAAAAGCGATCCAAAATAGAACTATTAGCCCCCAAGAGTCGAAGCGCATCGAAATGTCATTAAAAAAAAGTAAGTACACAAATTCACTCTTATCTCCGCAACGTAATGCACATATTCCTTCGGAGATAAAAATAATTCGAAGGAATTCGCTCGTCTGTATGCGACCACCGATGATTATAAGCTCAGAAGGAATATATGCATTACGTTGTGGAGATAAGCGTGAATTTGCTTTACCTACGTTTTTTAATGACGTTTCGATGCGCTTCTACTCTGCGGTAGTACCTAGTTCTATTTTGGATCGCTTTATCAAACAGTGCGCACCGTGTATCCTAATTCTATTAGAAAGCAATAAAGAACTATGAGGTATGTTATAATATCACTTCTTTCTTGTTTTACAGACGGAGTGTTCAATAAGAAATAATCCAGGTGGGATTTACGCATTCGACTTTGGCACAATCAGACGCAAGCCTAGAAAAGTGCCCGAAACTTACAAGAGGATCAGTGAAATTGATTCTATACCAAGAGTGGTTTTTGTGACTGGAAAAAGACTGCAAACTATCGACTTTGGATAATCATTCTAGTTTACTTATAATTTAACTAAGATAATGTATTTATTGGTATTATAATGAAGAATGTATTTAAATAAAGTATGTTGATTTAAACATTCATATCATTTGAACAAATGTTTTGTGTATGTTATCCCTTTTATTTTACTATGGCCTAAATATTTAGGTTAAGCCTGTAATACTTTGTCACAGAACAAATTGCTTTTATAGATGAATAACAATCACGCCTTCACTTTTGTACATTTATCTGTAATGGATTATTGAAATAGATGAAAGAAAGCAGTTTCCTTTTTTTGTCGAAACTTACTATGGTTTAAATTATACTGTTGGGTCATTTGCAATAAAATATAATTTTAGGCAGAAAAATAAGAAACATTAGCTAAAAGTTGTACATCAGTTCTATTTTCAATTTATTCTCTCTTTTTAACATTTTCGCTACGTACAAACAGCCGTTTAATACAATTTATGTGATAGACAAATACACTGTGATTTCATTTGTAAATAGTTATAAAACTCTAGAAAGATAAAATATCGAGTTTGGCAAGAATTCATAATAAATTAAAAAAAAACAAATACTTCTACATAGTATTATATACAGGATTTGAACATCTATTATTCGACCGGTTCAAGTTGAGCCTCGTCAACGGATGGGTCTTTCCGTGTTGCAATTGTTTTTTGTTTTGAGCTTTCGACATCACAGTTGATACCACCACATCGGAGTAGTCGAGGGGCGCCAGCGCCAAGACAGTGGGCGCGGGCGCGGGCGGGGGACGGTCTCCGCGCGCCGCTCCGTGGTACGAGTTACGAGTGCGCGCGCGCATTTCCGTCTCGTCCGCGCCCGCACCCGCGCCCGCCGCCGTCCGGCCTGGCCGGTCGTATCGCCCCACCAGCACCTTCACCGACACCTCCTCAGGCGGAGAAGCGGGCGGCGCGGGCGTCCGCGTGCGCGTGCGCGACCACGAGCGCCGCAGCGCGTCGCCCTCGGAGCGCGCCTCGAACTCCTTCTTGAGATTGCTGACGAGTCCGGCGGGCGAAGGCGCGGTGACGGGCGCGACGACGGGCGCAGCGGCGGCGGCGCGCAGATCACCGTGCGAGGCGGCGGCAGGCGGCGCAGGCGGACGGCGGCGACGCAGCGAGGCGCGCAGCCACGTGTCGGCGGGCGCGGACGCGGACAGTCGTCCGCTCCACGCGCTCGCGCGACCCCGCGCCCGCTCCCGCTCCACGCGCGCCGCCGCGCTCGCCAGCTCCTTCAATATGGCACACGTCTCGTTGAATTTGCGCACGTTGTCGGATATGTGCTCGGCGATGGCGGCCAGTTCGCCGGCGCCGGCGGGCCGCTCGTCGTCGCGGCGCGGCGCGTCCACCACCACGGCGCTGTCCGTCGAGCTCCACGAGCTCTGTCGACTCGCCGGCGGCGCCTCCTCGCCCTCCGTCTTACGTTCTAATGAATTTGAATAAGCGTCACTCTGTTTACTTTTCGCGTCCACTATTCCACTATCACTTTTCACTATACTATCATTAATTGTCGCGTTCCCGTTGTCTTCGCCTCGGTGCCCTTGCGTTTCCCCCGGGTCCCACGTGTGGATTTTGTCGGTTTCGGCACACTTTTGAGTAGAAGCCTTCGAAGGCGAAGTTTGAGGTGGCTTGTTTGATACATCCGAAAGTTGAATCACCGAACCGACAGACGCGTCCGACGATCTATTGCTCGGCGGCTCGTTTGGATTTCCGAAATTCAATCTTTGATATCTTCTGAAGTCTCTTCGTTCTCCCGATGCTGCGTTTTCGATTTCGTTGACTATGTGTTTGACTGACGGAGCTCCTTCTTCTTTTAGTCTTATAATTTGATTCGGCGACACGCTGTAGCTTCCGTTGGCGTAAGGCATAAGCATGTGTCTGTGTTCGGAAGCCAGGTTTTCGAGGGACACAGACGTAGGTGGCAGAAGCTCCGAAGCCAATTTGGTATCGGGCGACCACGAGCGAGGCCGGCCCGTGTACGATCCCGTCAACGCCAACACCAGAGGTGTCGGGTCCATCACTTTATTTTCATTTTTCGACGCCATCTTAGGTGATTTCAGATTAGTTTCTGATTTAGATCGCTGTAACTTTTCTTTGTTTTTCATAGCATCGAGAATTCCCTGGTAAGTTTCGAGTTGGTTCAAGAAGTTTGTATTTGGTTTGATACAATTTCTCTTTGCTTTCACGTGCTTCATAGCTCTGTCAAAATTCCAGTTGAAAGCTTTCATTGCATAGGCGATAACGACTGAAGCAGACCGGCTAATGCCCATTTTACAGTGAACCAGCACTTTGGAGCCTTCATTTCTAGCTTTGTTTATGTACTTAAATGTGTTGTCCCAATGTTTGAGTAGATCAGTCTTCTCGTCATCATATACCCTTACGTTTAAATAGTCAAACATGCCAGGAAAAAAGTTATCTATTTCTCTTGTCACATTCAATATGTGCCTGACCCTGCAACAAATAAAATTGGAATTTTATATAACACTAGCCGACCCAGCGAACTTCGTACCGCCATAAAAAAATAGGAGTTGGTGGTAGAAAGTTAAAAATTTAGGGATGTATGTATTTTTGTATGATGTATCATAAAAAAAATAAAAAAAGAAAATTATCTAAAATTGAAAAAAAAAATTTAGGGGTGGATTACCCTTAACATTTAGGGAGATGAAAAATAGATGTTGTCCGATTCTCAGACCTACCCAATATGCACACAAAATTTCATGAGAATCGGGAAAGCCGTTTCGGAGGAGTTTAACAACAAACACCGCGACACGAGAATTTTATATATTAGATTACTCGCTGACTCGGCGAAATTCGTACCGCCCAAAAGTAATAATTTGCAATAAAATAATATTGCGACTATAAATTGAGATGTAAGCTATCCTATCTTTCAAGTTGGATAAAACTACTCATGGTGTGGAAATTTGATTAAGATCGGTTGAGTAGTTTAGGAGTCAACCCCGGACAAACAACGTGACGCGTAATTTATATATATTAAGACTTAGTTGATAGCCGTATAGTGATGGTAGCACTGATAGCAATAGTCTATATTGTTATATATGTAAACAATATGAGGTTCGTATGCCATTACTTTTAAATGGACACTATTGTAAGTAAAATATAGAAAAATAATCTAATAAAAATATTTTATAAAACCTAAACCATAGTAAGAAATTATCTATGCTACTAGACGCTTCGAATGACACTTGGTTTAAATCTGTTGGGGGGTGGGGACGTTTCTTCTCATTACCCTATACAATATATATATATTTTTAAATAATCTAGGAAAGGCACTTCTGCCCATTTGAACTAGATCGCGTGTTTGGTGGATGATAGTGGAAGTAAGGCGATGAGTGACCAAAAATTTACTATCTCAAGCTCTCCTTCTTTTATCCTTGCTTTTTTCCATTAAACCTTTCAGAAATCACTATCTTACATCCTATTACGCGAAATTTTTCAAAAATCTAATTTACAACCATATTTTTTTTTAAATATAAGTAAAGGCTCTCCTAAGTAGCTCGATGGCGCTGGTCGGCCTGCGATCGTAAGAGTTAAGCAATTTTCGTAATGGTCGGTCACTGGATCGGTGTAGTGCTTCAGAGGGCACTTTAAGTGACTATCTCCCGGTAACTTGTCATAGTAATGTTGAAACACTCACCCGTTCCTTTGCAGCTCCTCCAAATTGCTAGCGTTCCTTTCGGAGCCGAGTTACACGTGGTCAAACACTTCCGTAGGCACGTCCATCTGGCCCAGAATAGTGATTATCTTCCGGTAACTTGTCATAGTAATGTTGAAAGACTCACCCGTTCCTTTGAAGCTCCTCCAAATTGCTAGCGTTCCATTCGGAGCCGAGGTACACGTGGTCAAACACTTCCGTAGGCGCGTCCATCTGGCCCGCCATAGTGGGCATATCCTGATAACTTATAGTAATGTTCAAAAACTCACCCGTTCCTTTGTAGCTTCTCCAAGTTGTTAGCGTTCCATTCGGAGCCGAGGCCCACTTGGTCGACCACTTCCGTAGTTGCGTCCATGTGGCCCAGTATATTGGTTATCTCCCGGTAACTTGCCATAGTAATGTTGAAAGACTCACCCATTCTTTTGCAGCTCCTCCAAGTTGCTAGCGTTCCATTCGGAGCCGAGGTACACGTGGTCAAACACTTCCGTAGGCGCGTCCATCTGGCCCAGTATCGTGAGCATCTCCTGGTCTATGAAGGACTTATATTCTGCTAAATCCATGTCTAGTTCGTCCTCGAGTCGGCCGCGTATGGCTTTACTCGTCACTTCATCAAGGTCCACGCTCATCATGATCTCTTTTAAAGTGCAACGAATCACGCGCTCAGTTTCATCCCTTTGCCGCGGCCTGTAAGAAAGACGTAAGAAATTTGAAGGATGTTGTCATTACAAATCAAAATATAGGTTAGTTACGACTGCCCTTTTAATGCTTCTGCCGCTCCTAGTAGCTTGGGGCCAAGGCTCTTTGGCCCTTGGGTAAACATGCCCCTGACTATGATGTAGCATAATATTTGCCGACATACGCTTTTTATGACAATACAAAAAAAACCTAAAACACGAGTTTATATTTGTATTTGTTAAACATACGTTTACTACGAAAGTAATTATAATGTTTTGGATTCAATCTTGATTTTTTTAGAATTTTCATTTTAAAAAAGGAGAGACAAAATTGATTTCTACCGTTTTTATTTTTCAAAATACCGATTTAGCTTCTGTGTGACTGATCAACATCTAGACTGAGATATCTAGATCACCTCGATCCTCTTAGATCAAACAAGGAAACATATACGTGCTGCGGTTTGTTATGTTACACATGAGAACTACATGATAATTGGTCACCCTTAAAACACAAAAAAAATATAACGCAGACTTTGTGCCACAAAGAAACAGAAAAAGATATCATTTTATGCCACGCCAACTCTAAAACATACCTACTTCTTAGTTGACGCATTTTCAAAACATTTATCAATTATTTTTTTTACTGTTAACGAACCGAATGAATATTGTGTCTGTATGCAAGTAACGTATTTCAATTAACGTATTGCCTTAAGTCGGATCCTTTTCTAGGCCAAGAATCGGGGTCTAAGCGCTCGACGCATGATGTGCGATGTTAAATACAAATACAGTTCAGTAATTATAACTACTGTATTCATCCAATACTGTTATACCATTGTGTTTCCTTCCGCAGGATTTTCCTTGAAACGTTACGTCGTTAATTAAGTTAATTAGTGATACGATCAAACTATATTTGAACTATTTGTTTCTTAGGTTTTCACGCACATCACTCATTAAATAAAATTTGTTGTAACGGGTTAATGCACGAACTTTATTTATTTATTGACGATTCGCAGCCTTTTCAGGTCTGCATCGTCAGAATAATGATTTTTTATTTACTTTGTCGAGCTATCTTCGAAAAACTTTTATTGAGCGTTCGGATATTTTATTGGGGAGATTTTTAATACATTATTGTCTATGTACGAATTGTAATTTTGTTTTATTTATTTGACCCGAACTACTGTAAACTACCACCAGTTCCAAAATTGGGAGACCTTTCTGAGAAGAACCGGCGAAACAAACTCAGAGAGGCTTTCTATCTCCTTCTTATGTTAAATTACCAGTTGTTATGTGCGTGCGTACTCACTTGAGTCTTAGGGAGTCCGGCGAGGGAGGGCGGCGGGACTCGATGCAGTCCATGGCGTGCCACTCGTTGAGACAGGAGCGGTCCGAGTCCACGTGCCGCTCGTAGTAGGCGCACCATGCGTGCGACGTGCCGCCCTCGAAGTGGTTCAACTCCCGGGCACGACCGCTCGCTCGGTGCAGCGTCTGAAGGGCTGACCTACAAAAACACATACCAGATAGGTATAAGTAAAAGGGAAGTTCTGACTTTTCGAAGTTCGATGAACACGCAGTGGTTACAAAAAATAACTACGAGTATCTATCTCGAGTTTATCTGTGCGCAGTAGACACATTAAGCTGTTGTCCTGTCCTGCTTGCACCCCCCCTCAAAATAAAACATGAAATCAAAATATAGTTCAGTAACGAATGCCTTTATATAGCTTATGCTCATCAATTTCTGATCGATCATTAGCGGACCCCCCCCCCCCCCCTACTTCTGTGGCTTACGTCGTACGCTGTAAGAAGAGACTGCAGTCAGTTTAACAAATGCCAAATACAAAAAACCATGTCAAGTGCAAGTATTAAAGATGCAGTAAAAATATAAAATACATTTTATGATGAATAACAGCTATTTATTTAGTGTACTAAATAAATAGTTATTTTTTATTTCTTAAATTACAAAGAATTCGCAAATGAAATCTATTAGCTTAATGCAAGTGCTAATTTTATTAACATTGAAAGCGTGACCTTTAAGATTTTGTTTTGGACCGGCTTCAATACGATAAATTCAGGCCTCATCAATTTAGCTTTGCCGACTTTGATCAAACCTTCATGCTAATTGCGGCTGAAGGTGAAACACGAAAATGGCATGTAATCTATACAGAACAATATCATCTATAAGAAATATTTCACCCAGACACACCTTCGATATTTTTTTTCCTAATTTATATTGAAGGAAATGAGAAGGTCACGTCCATGACTTCGTTTAAATTTTATTTAATATTTATAATATTAGTATGGATTTCATAGTTATAATTTCATAAAAATAATGGTCAACTTTATCAAATCCACACACATTTTCCCTTTTAAGATGGTGATTCAATTTCCAATAGCTACATGCAGTCAGTCAGTATTTTTTTGTACTATCTGAATTCATCTCAATTGCGATAAACTTATCATAAACTATTAATACATAAACTCATTCGCCTGCTCTGCATGCAATTTTATTTGGTACCTACTTACATAAAAAAAATGGGTGCGTGTACTTATGTAGGTAGGCGCGTGAGAAGTTATCCTTCTTTGGCATCGTTTAAAATTAGTTTTTAATTGCATGCAAATAATTAATTACAATAAATTAATAAAAAGTCTGGAAAAGGACACAGTCAATAAAGTTCAGTTTTAATTTGAAAAAATAAATAAATAATCTAAATATTCAATTAAAATCGCTACTGAATATAATTTATTAGAACATATGTGATTTGCACTTGTATGAAACTCAAACACGTATTCCGAATATACAAAATAGAAACATGTGGATAAATATATTAAATATGAATACCTATAACTGTTACTTTATTACAAAAAATAAAGATGTGGTTTTTGGTTCTACTACACCAATGGTCAAGAGATGGCGCTGTAGTCTCCTGAATCGCGCTTTGGTTCCGTTGTTCCAGATTAATAAATACTTTTGATAGGCCTTCACAATGCAGTCGTTAGCACCCACTAAATAGAGATTCTATTTCTATTTTGTTGGTAGATTTTCTTAATGTACGGTAAACACAAAAATAACGCATGAAGTTGGTCGCTAAAGCGACCAACTTCATGCTGTTAAAATTTTGTGTTACAGTGATGCGCGCGCATCTTAAAATTTCACTCTCATCATTTTTTCATAACGCGCCTAAAGAAGTATAACTTCAAAAATACTACCAATAATAACTAGTTAACTATAAAAATCAAGGTAAAACAGCTGTATGTTAATGTGTCACGAGATAAACTTAAAAACGAAATTAAATAACGAGCTTCATTACAAAAGCGGAATGCGGAGATAAGCGTAAGTATTGGATGGACATGACATGATGTAAGTTCACACTCACCACATGGCTTGCACAGACACCGGCTTGAATATGTGTTGTTGGTTACACACACATACGCTAAACCCTCTGTGGACAATGAATCCCTAATTAGTTATTGTTCTGGGCTTACTTAAATGCACTGAGCTCAAAATGGTGTCAACTCGTCTTAGCTATGAACTGTCATATATCATGTATAATAGTAGCGTTACTGTTATACATGATAACGTGGCTTTGTTTTGACACGAGTGGTCAACAAAAGAGTGTTAGGCAAGGTTAGTATAATGGGAATGGGGCATCACACATATATTCACAACTTGTAATACAATTTTCTTTCTTTCAACGCTTTCCACATTGTTTAATCTTCCATCCTATTATCCTGAAAATATGCGGAAAGAGCTACAAGCAGATATGGTTAGTTATTCAAGAAAGAATAATCGATAGATACTGTCTAATATTTCACTTCTATACGATAACAATTTGTAAAAAATAAAGACAAAAAACGAGTAAAAGCTTTTAGCATTGAAATTAAGACGACTTTATTCGCTACCAAATGTAGAAAAAGTCTATGGGCTTTAATCGGTTTTACACTGAATATACCATATCTTACTGATGAAAGACTAAAATCTATTTGCAATGGAAAGAAAAAATATTGGAGTAGTTACTTAAGCGATAATGAGTAAGATGGATGAATTAAACAAAAACAAAAGTGAAATTATGTTGGTGTATTACATGCTTTTTCGTTCTGTTCCCAGTTCTTTTGTCGATCTATTGAAATAATTGATTCTCACTAGTTCTACTTTTTAACAGACTTCATCAATTCAAAAAGAGGAGTTTGTCATTTTGACTATATGTTTTTCTTTGGGAATATTGTTTACCAAAGGTTGCCATCAAAGGAAACAAAAGCCTAAGCAAGCAATTTTGATAGCTTCGCATCGTCATCTTAAAATTTTGTGTGAAAAAAGCTAGTTCGTTCTTACGCCCGATATTTACGCCTCATCAGAGTTAAGTTTTCATAGAAAATGCTGCTCAGTTTTCATAGGAACTTTAACGATGCGATAAGTTACGAAGCTGTCAAAAATTCGTGCTTAGGCCTGAGAGTTTGTTTTGAGTGATTACCCGTCGCCGTCGAGCTTGATGGAGGTGTCAGCGAGCACGCGCAGAACGAGGCCGACGGTGGTGCGCTCGTTGCAGTCGATGCCGAGCAGCGCCGCCTCGTCGCTGTGGCACACCACCACCAGGAAGCGGGTGCGGCCCGCGTGAGCGCTCTCCAGTTTCACCGCCTGTACCGCACAACCAATACTACTAACTATTCGAGGAGGTGGGTGTCGGCTTTTAGCCTATTTACGACTAGTGTAGTTTCCTATGCGACAGTTTCACCGCCGGTACTGTACAACCAATACTATTTACTACTCGAGGAGCTGAGTGTCGGCTTTTAGACTATTTACGACTAGTGTAGTTTCCTTTGCGACAGTTTCGCCGCCTGTTCTACACAACCAATACTACTCACTACTCGAGGAGCTGGTTATCGGCATTTAGCCTTACGACTAGTGTATTTTCTTATGCGACAGTTTCACCGCTTGTATTGCACAACCAATACTACTAACTACTAGAGGAGCTGGTTGTCGGCTTTTAGCCTTACGACTAGTGAATTTTCTTATGCGACAGTTTCACAGCTTGTACTGGACAACCAATACTATTCACTACTCGAGGAGCTGGGTGTCGGCTTTTAGCCTATTGACGACTAGTGTAGTTTCCTATGCGACAGTGATTGGGGTTTTATTTGAAAATTTCTTTAATTGCTTTTTTATTTTCCTATGCGACAGTTTCACAGCCTCTACTGCACAACACAACCAATACTACTCACTATTCGAGGAGCTGGGTGTCGGCTTTTAGCCCATTTACGACTAGTTTAATTTCCTATTCCACATTTGGTCGGTAATATTTAGAGTTACGGTGGACATATTTAATAAATATGATAAATTCAAACTTAAGTGGTTAGTGCGTTCGGTCTGCGATCGTAGAAGTTTGCAAATGTCGAGCTCTTTCGAGCTTTAGAAGGCACGTTCGTAGGCGGTAGCCTTATCTATTAATTCCATCCATAGGGAAGGCCTGTGCCCCAGCAGTGGAGACCTTCCACCATCGTTATCAAATCGCTCGCCAATTACACAAGGGATTGAAAATATTAAGAATGTAATAAGTTGAATGGGTTAAAGAAGTTTTTTCAAATTATTCTAGAAATGTATTTTATTTAATTTTTCTGACTATGTCAAAGACGTTTACGATTGTAACGTTTCCCTCAGACTTCAATTTAAAAGATCTATTTGTGACGTTCTACGAGAGAAGGTAACTTATGGAGGTTTTTAGTTTCAGAAATATATAATGTTTTGTAAAAAATATGCAAAAACTAGTTATATTTTTTATAGCTTATTAAATAAACACAATGTTTCCTTTAACCTCATATTTTTATTTTTTATTAGCGATGTGCCGAGCCAAACTGACTCGAATGTCTAGCAGCTGTACACGCGTACTCGAGTATATAAAATACTGAATTCGGATCCACAATACTCGACCACAGGTTCCGAATCTTAAATCGAGTACTTTAGCAACCTTCTAGCTTACGCATACAGTCGAATTTTTAATGCCCATTTCACTTTGGAGTGGAGTTAGTCACAAGAAGTGTTGATTTTAATCAGTCGAACTGTTGATTATCAGTAAACTGTGGAATTTAATGTTAAGTTTTGGTATCTTTTTTACTAGTGACTTTGTGATAGGATGGCTCCGAAGAAAAAATCTGAAGTACGGAACCATAATAGTACTCCGTCTGACTGTTTACTGATTGATTTATTCATTAATCTATGTAATGAGATATTAGATTTTACTACTATAATGTTCAAAAGAAAATTTTACTAGAAATAATCCACGCGGACCAGGCAGCAGACGGGACTCGAACCCGCACCCTTCGCTATCCGGGCGAAGCTACAAGGCAGCGCCATCTCTTCGCATTGTAGGTCACACACTACTTTTTTTTTGTAATAAAAATTTCTTTAACTTTAAACATCTAGCATTTAAATTCTTAAATAATATTATATAACTACAATTGCTATTTATTCTTTCAAATGTTTAATACTTGCAAAGGTATTCAGTTGTCATTGTGGATGACATACAATGCGAAGAGATGGCACTGCCTTGCAGCTTAAGAAATAGGGGAAACCACCCAATTATTGGCACTCGTCCTATTATTGGCACTTTGTGTTTAATTCGAAAAAAACAAGGAGACAATAGATTATTCAAGGTCGTTACATATTAAAAAGAAAACCCTAGTATGGTTACGAAATTTGAAAATTGGCAGCATTATTCCTAAAATCTATTGTTACCTGTTTTTTTCGAACTAAACTCAAAAGTGCCAGTAATAGGAAGAGTGCCAATGATTGAGTAGTTTCCCCTACTAGAGAAAATTTCGAACTATGTTACTTCCAACGGTAACAGTATTTTGTGCCCTTTAACTAAAAATATATTTTACTGAAAGTGCACAATTTCGTTTATTATTTAAAAAAATGTATTATGTTCCGTAACTACACATCTTACGAGAATAATTATTGTTGATTTGAATAGCTTATTAGCCGCAGATTATAGAGACATGCGTAGCTCAATACCGACCATAAGGTACCTTTACCCGTGGAACGTCACATTTTGAGTCGCACTGAAATTAAGAGCATATCTGTAACCTAGCAGACTTCTTAAAATTAGTAATAAATATTTTATTTTTTTATGATATTTTAAAGGTAATCAGTTTGAGAGGGATTCGATTTCAGATAATCATCATCATCAGCCTATTAATGTCCCCACTGCTGGGGCTCAGGCCTTTCCTATGGACGGAATAGGGAGATGGGGCCATGACCCACCTAGCGGCCAGTGCGGATTGACGGGTGCTAACGATTGCAGATGCAGCCGGGACCAACAGCTTTATGTGCCTTCCGAAGCACAGAGGAACTCGAGATAAGTAAAGTTTTTTGGTCACCCATCCAAAGACCGACCACTGTGAAAGTTGCTTTACTTCAACGATCGCAGCCGAACGCGCTAACCAGCCGCGCTATCGAGCTCCTCTAATATATTAAGATAAGAACACACCTCAACTTTATGCACCATTTGATATAATTTAAATGTAAAATATGAAAGTTCTAGTAATGACCTTTAGTGGGTCCTTGTTGTCCTGGCGCAGATCTATTAAAGCACAACTATTCAAAAAAACTTCAGGTAATCCAGAAGGCTGGACATTTTATTGAACTTTGCAAAGAATAATCTTGGAAATTCAAAGAGGAAACACTCAGCCTTCTGGGCACCTTATCTGTGGGCAAAGATGCAGGACATATTTTTTATTTTTCAAATAATATTCAGTTTGGTTTTAAGGCTTTACATAGAGTAGATTGTGCATAATAATATATGTAACCAAAGATAAATATAAAATTCTCTAAAACACTTTCGTAATCTTATTCTTACTGGTACGTTCATATTAATTATGAACTTACCGTAAACTTTAGTAAAATAAGTTTTTATTAGCACATTGTTCACCGAGAGGAGAAAGTGACCGATTACCAACGAGGGTGTAGTTTGAGGAATTGCACTTTCTTTCGAGGGATACATATATGTTTTACACTATACCTGCGAGGAAATATTGTTAAAAAATGATCGCAGTATGCAAAATCATACTCACCATTTGCTTTTTCGGAACATTAATAAAAAAAAAATGGGTGCGTGTACTTATGTAGGCGCGTGAGAAGTTATCCTTCTTTGGCATCGTTTAAAATTAGTTTTTAATTACATGCAAATAATTAATTACAATAAATTAATAAAAAGTCTGGAAAAGGACACAGTCAATAAAGTTCAGTTTTAATTTGAAAAAATAAATAAATAATCAAAATACATATTCAATTAAAATCGCCACTGAATATAATTTATTAGAACATATGTGATTTGCACTTGTATGAAACTCAAACACGTATTCCGAATATACAAACTAGAAACATGTGGATAAATATTATAAATATGAATACCTATAACTGTTACTTTATTACAAAAAATAAAGATGTGCTTTTTGGTTCTACTACACCAATGGTCAAGAGATGGCGCTGTAGTCTCCTGAATCGCGCTTTGGTTCCGTTGTTCCAGATTAATAAATACTTTTGATATTATAAATATGAATACCTATAACTGTTACTTTATTACAAAAAATAAAGATGTGGTTTTCGGTTCTACTACACCAATGGTCAAGAGATGGCGCTGTAGTCTCCTGAATCGCGCTTTGGTTCCGTTGTTCCAGATTAATAAATACTTTTGATAGGCCTTCACAATGCAGTCGTTAGCACCCACTAAATAGAGATTCTATTTCTATTTTGTTGGTAGATTTTCTTAATGTGCGGTAAACACAAAAGTAACCGCATGAAGTTGGTCGCTAAAGCGACCAACTTCATGCTGTTAAAATTTTGTGTTACAGTGATGCGCGTGCATTTTAAAATTTCACTCTCATCATTTTTTCATAACGCGCCTAAAGAAGTATAACTTCAAAAAAACAGCACGTTAACAATGAATTTCCGAACTTTTTCTACCCGCTCAGCGGGTACAACAGAAATGAGGTACTTTCTGCTTCAAAAACAAAGCACTTTCCGAGCAGGTGTAGTATAAATACATATTTTTATGCGTCTCTCACTCCTTTCAGAACATCAGCGCTGATGCTTTTTTTTTTGAGTGTGTATGCTGTTGGTCGCAGATGACCTTTACAGCGTCACCGGGTTTGGGGACGGCGAGATCCTAAGGGGACCTCAAGCCGAGAATTGGCGAGTGCCTCTGGAGGTATTCCAGTCGGATGGCGTCTCCCCACGGGGGGAGTCTCCTCTCCGTCTGGAGCCTCCAGATCACTCGAACCTGAGAGGGTCGGCTCAACTAGAGGGCGTCTCTGAGACTCGGACCTCGGCTCTAGTTAGTCGTTGTCGTGGGGGGGTGCGCTGATGCGACAATCGCCGCAGCAACTTATACTAAGACAGTGTCCTGGTTTACCGTTAATATTATTTTTCATTTATATTCCTTCTTTTTTATAATTTATGGTGCATAATGGGGGTTTATAAAAATCTTTTTCTTTTTTTTCTTCCTAAACTGATCGCACTTCAGTCCTATTCACCTCACCGAAGTATCGAAGAAGTTTAGGCATTGAAAACTTTTCACAATACTCAGTACAGTGCCATTCACTTAATGCAAAGATTGCTTTTTAAAAAGGTAAGCATTTTTATTTCTTAGGTTTTCACGCACATCACTCATTAAATGTAAGCATACCATTTTGAGCGTTTCTTCGGGTCGCAGTAAATAAAACATGGCTTGCAGATGGTGCTGTATGTCGGGCTGCGGCAGCGCGCGCGCCGGCAAGCGCGCCTGGTCCGCGCAGCCGCGCTCCGACCCGCCCAGCACCAGGGCTGCGCCCTTGTTCGCGAAGTAGCACTCATTGAGGCTGCAACAAGATGAATAATACATTATTATACTACTAATATTACAACGTGAAAGTTTGTATGTCTACGTCTTTCTATGTTTGTTACTCGCACGCAAAAACGGCTGAATTGACTTGGATGATTTTGGTGCCAAAAAGGAGACCAATGGTCTTCCTTTTACGTTAATTAATTTCTTCACGAAAAACGATAACTTCTACAAAGTGTCAAGTGTCCGCATCCTTCACACTTCAAGTGTGAAGGGTGCGGAGGGTTCGAGACACGCCTTTTATAGTAAAATTTTCTGCAGATTTAAAAATCTAACAGTTAAATGCTTAAAAGTAGTATAGAATTATGTTTGCCTTTTCTTCCTTCAAATGATTAATATTTGTGTATGCCTTGCAGCCTAAGAAATGCTACAGAAAATTCGACACGGCCATTAGGTCTGCGGTAGAATAATGGTCAGTGCATTCGTCCGGATAGCAAAGGGTGCGGGTTCGAATCTCGGCTGCTGCCGGGGGAATTTTTTCTTTTAAAATTTTATTTAGATTTAAATCAGACTCTTTTTTAAGCCACAGTGAATAAGTTCCTTCTGATCAACAGCAAACCCATAAAAAAGTGAATCCCCTCCACCCAGTTACACTAAAGTAGCTGGTGCAGCTTAGGTACGTCCTATAATGAATAAAGTCTCATTGATGACTTGAAATCCGTTCAAGCGTTAAAGCACAACACAGCGGGAAACAACTAAGTAGGACACAAAACTAGGAGAAAAATGTGAGAGAGCAGATATCTGCTCTTTATTGGAACTCGCGAATGGGAAGTAAGCTCACTCTTTATGCTAGGTCAATGTTACAAAACCCTCTTTTTTAATAGCATTGAGCTCGAGACCTTGAAAGGCTTGATGGAGCAGTGGTTAGCGTGTTCGTTTTGCGATCTTGAAAGCTATGTAATTTTCGCAATATGATGAGTGATCATAAATTTAATAAATTTGTCTTTCTGAGGACATAAATATCTCTATAGCTGTATAAAAATGAATTCCCATTTTTTTTTTGTTATGGTCACTTCTTTAATGTTTTCTACTAATGTTCGGAAAAAAAAGCAAGTCGCACAGAAATATTGGAAATTTAAGAAAACTTAACTTTAAACTCAGGATTTATTTTATATTTTTATCCAACGTCTGTTAAGTCTGCTAATACTAATAATTAATAAAATAATTACTTAAATTATAAACTGTTTACACAAAACCAAACTGTTAGCTGGCCGTGTTTTCGTTCAAGAATACAATTTTGCCCTACAGTCAAGCAACAAATTGTCCGCAATATAGGCACACATAAAGTAATTATTTTTTAAATGTAATGCAACCGCAAAATGTATGAATGACGCCATTTTTAGTAAAGTTGTTGTAATCCGTCTTGGCGTAGCGTTTAACCTCCCTTTCACCGGCGGCGCAGGCGCAGGCCGGAGTTCGGCTCGGCGCGCGTGGCTGGCGGCGGCGGCGGGACGACGCGCTGGCTGGAGTGGTAGACCCGGTTGCTCAACCCAACGCCCGCAATAATCATGATTACTCATTGGGTCTTTACTTCAGAAGAGAGACCGATTCTCATTATGACGCTAATAAACAAAACAAAGCGACCTAGATTGTTTTAAGGAAAACCATATTTCAAAGAAAACGCTAATGACACGTAAACAAATAAGCCCCCCTTGTTCGCATGTTATTAGTTAGTAGATATATCTATTATTAAATACGTATATGGCTAAAAATATGAAGACAAAGGTGCGATTACGGCCGCGCAGTGACATTTACCTTAATACGGACGAGCGCCTTTCAAAAATTATATTTGTATTAAGCGTAAAATGTATGATGAGGTCATCCGAAAATAGCGCAACAGGAAACATGTGGGATAAAGATAGTATAGCTACAGAAGGGAAGGTGTAAGAACGTTCAATAATAGAATAAAATTTTGTGTTAGTTATGATGAGCTGCAATTTCTAAATTGACTTCTTGGATTAAGCAGCAAGGGTGATGGTTCTCAAGGTTCATTAAAAATAGCAGTGCGGCGTATTGCCAAAGCTACATTGCCCGCCCATATTGTATGAGCGCAGTACTCGCCGCCTGCCGTCACCACCACCACCAGCCGCTGCGTCATCAGCGACACCGCTGCGCGCGGGCATGCCACTTTACTCGATTTGGTAAACTCAAAGATGCGCGGTTCCCGTTCCCGTATTATTAATCAGCGCAGCGCCGAGCTGAATAATTAGGCCGAGTACATGACCCACAATCAACCAACAACGATGCCTTTTAACAATAAAGTGCCTAACAATTTTACTGTATCAAAAGCAACCATCATTTCTCCCACACCAGATTTCCATTTCGTTATAAAGTTGATATATTATTTTGTGGATATTATTATAAAAAAGTAATTCATAAAATTAATTATATTTAGCTCCATAAGTATTTCCAATTACGCTGGAATTCCTCTTATGCTGTGCGTGTCGCCACAGTGTAAAGAATATTATAAAGATCGTTCCTTGCTAATAATAATAATAATAAATTTGCTCTGTACCATATTATAGCGGTTTTTAAAGGTGCCGTACTCAGAGAGCGAAATCAGAGCCTTGTTACTCAGCTGTCCTTCCGTTTGTCCGTCTGTTAGAAGGCCGGTATCTCATGAACCATAACAGGCAAATACTTTATTTTTTTATGGAAAACGTATTACTATTGCTCTTTTACAACAAATAATTAAAAAAGTTATAGAAAAGTGGGTATCCTGCATACATGAATTCTTTACTATAAGTGCATTATACATATTTTTGGCGTGGATCTATTTTGATTTGCGGCGTAATTTCAAAACAATTTTTCCCTGTGAAAATCTTTGGCAACCCTTGTGTAATTTTTTAAATCGCTATTTAAATGGGCAAAGGTTACTAAAATAAAGAATCTCAACAAAAAATTGATTCATGACTTAAACTTGGTTGTAAACTCGTGACTTAAATCGGGGCGACCACCAACTGCAGTAGGTAGCTCATAAAAACGTCATCGGAGTAGAGGGGCCTTTGTGGGAGGGTGCCCATAAATACAAATCGCCGGATTCAGGCTGAACTGAAGTCTTTCAGCAGGCAATGTCTACCTTGAAGTTGAGAAGTAAGCTTCCTCATGATACCTCATTCACTCACCGAAGAGCAAAAATCTAACGAACCTAGACTCAATCCCCTTATTAAAAACCATTTGTAATTCAATAAACAGGGACAAAACATTGAGTAACTAATCCAATCCAATTTTTGTATTAAATTAACATGGAGCCGGGCCAAATTAACTAATCCGTCTCTTTTCCGGAGAAAAAGTAAAACCCAGAAGATACGTTTAGTCCAAGATCCCAGGCACGCCAGGCCTTAGGTACTTATTTTCTGATGGACAATCTACAGTCACAGTATATTGTTTTAATGAATGTACTGAGAGTGGTGCAAAATACTTTATCGAAAGATGTTATTTGACATTTGTAAACTAGACAGATACAAAATATAAACATACAAGCATTAACCATGATACAGCGCAGGAGCCCGAACATGGTGTGGTTCCAAGAAGACGGGACCACCACAGCACTTGTGGTTTTTATGTTTTATTTTGACTTGACGACTTGGCATGGCCAGCAAGATCTCCCGATTTAACCTCCCCAGACTTTCTTTCTTTCTGATGATTTCTTTGGGGCTACTCGAAGTATCGGGTTTATGCCAACAAGCCTCAGACAATAGCAGCCCTTAAAGAGTCATTTTACAGGAATGCCAACAGTTTTCACCGGAAATCATGGAATATGCGATAAAGCAGGCATCAATTTGTATCAACTCTGGCGGCAGCCAATTGTCGGATATCATCTTTTCCACATAACAGAAAAAAAATTAAAGGTCCTAATAAAAAAAGCCATCACTTTTCACATCAAGATATTTTATTAAGTGAAAACAGTACACAAATACTAAATTGGGTGATTACTGTTGTGCCACCTTGTATAAAAATAAAAAATAACAACATTTTACGTGTAAAATACCTATGTACATTTAAGCTAAGCATCGAAACATTATAAATAATGCAACTTGTAATCTCATAATTTAATCACGGTAAAGCGTACCACGCCTTCAGATTGATAGTAGAATAGTAGATAAATACATAGGTTAGGTACGTTATAGATAAGAGACATCGAATAACTGCTTTTACAATTTAGGTAATTTTGTCATTCCAGGTTTTATTAATAATTTGCATTATGTTTACGTACTCAAACGATGCCAATTTATTGTTAGTGTGATGAATTATAATATGTCATGAACAGTAATAGCTAGAGAGTTGACTATTCTTTAGACTGTTTATTTTTATTTAATAAATTAATATGACGTTAAAAATATAAAGAAAAAATAAAATGCGTGCCGGGTAACGGCAATGTAGGATCTTTTGTTACCCATATATTTATTTTGTATATTTTATGTACATGGTTCATAATCGTATATCTAGTAAGTTCCGTTACAAATAAAAAAACCATTTTTCTCAAAATTCACTCCCGAAGGGGTTAAAATAGAGGATGAAAGTTTGTATGAAATCTTATTCCTTGAGAGACTTGAAATTTGACACGAATACTTATATTAATAAATTATAAAGTTTGTTATTTTTAGTTTTCGAGGGTGTCGAAGTTTTTATATGGATTAATTTTAACGCGCTTTTTGATTTACTCAAAACTTGGTATTTTTACTAAAGACCAGAAATAAAGAATAATGTGTATCAGGGCTTTTCGAAAATCTACCCCTAAGATTTATTTATTTAATGTCGTCTGAATTTATGATTTTATTTACTTTGTCGCGCTACCTTAAAAGACTTTTAATGAGCGTTCGGGTAGATCGGTAGATTTTTAAAACTTTATTGTCTATGTGTGAATTTATCAGCTAATTTACTTAATAAACTACTTATTTTTATAAATTTAAATTTATTTATTTATTCGACCCTAACTACCGTAAACTACCACCAGTTCCAAAATTAAGAGAAAAT